GGAATTGTTATTTTGTACATATTTTTTTTTCAATATCTTTAAAACTAATATCAAACGTTTTTAAACCAAACATTATAATATTTCTTGGAATGTTAAAATTTCTATAATGACATGTTATTTGCATCATATTGTATGGTTTTTTAACGTAAAAGATTTGGGACACATATTTAATCATTTTAAGTGCAGTCATAATTAAATCTACTTTATTTTCACATTTATATAATTTAATTTTGTTTGTAATCTCGCCTCTCATTGGTTGATTTCCAAAAAGGAACGCAAAACATTTTGTATAATCTGGTTTGGTATGGGGACACACCCCCTTGACGACCAGCTTAATCATTATATCCATGCAATCCCCTCATTTTCAGTCCTCGAAATCCATGGAAAATTTCAGATTTAATAAATGTACCTTCAACTTTAAACAATTACTCGTTCTTACCTCATGTAAACAAACATCATGGCTGCTAGATCTATGTATCAGTTATTACCTCCCCTCGCTTCAAATCACTTCCGTTACTACGGTTGTATTATTGCGCGGTAAATTTGAACTGATAAAAAGCGACACAATTTTACATCAAAAGTTGTTTAATTATTTTAAAATTAAATTATAAGGAATGACTTTAATTCTTGGCCATATTATCGAGTATAATCTGGTTTGGGTCAGTTTACACTTTTTTATAATCCGCTTCGCGGATTATAAAGCGTAAACTGACCCAAACCAGATTATACTCGATAATATGGCCAAGAATTAGAGTCATTCCTTAAATAAAAACTTTAACTCGGTTCTCAAATGATGAGAAGTATAGTTCTTAGTAAAGTATATTAAGTTTCTGATTGACTTTTTTCAAAAATTCAGATTGAAAGAAAAACACGGATCCAATCATGGAATCTAATTACAATCTTATCATGGAATTTCTTGGGTTTTTTTTAAATGTAACAAGATGCCCATGGGCCACAACGCTCACCTGAGCAATGCAGCTAGAAAAAAAGCAGAAATCAGTTTATTATTGAAAAGTTAAAACCCAATAGTGGTCCCAATCAATCCTTAAAGGGGAGAGGGTATGATCTGAACAAACTTGTTTCTACACTAACTAAGGATGCTTGCATATTTCTTTGATTACGTGTGGGTTTATTGCCCTTTACATTTGAACTTATATTGTGCATGTTGTGGCCCCGCCCTACCCCAAGGGTCGTGACTTAAACAAACTTGAATCTGCACTTCCTGAGAATGCTTCCATATGAATATGACTAATCATGGCTTTCCAATTCTTGAAAAGAAGATTTTAAAGATTTTTTCTACACTGAAAAAAAATAACTGGTGGAAGTCACTGGGAAGAATAGTAAATTTACTGTCCATACAATCACTACCTCAAAAGTAGTTTTACTAGGTATTGGGTAGATTTACTAGATAACGTTAGTAAATCTAAGAATTCATAAGTAACTTTCACTAGGTATTTAAGTAACTTTACGATTACTACTCCACTTTTCACTATCTTAGCTAGTAAACAGAGTGATTACTATAAAATCACGAAGAACGCTTTACTAGGCACACTAGTTAAATCAACTAGGTAATTCTCTCAGTGTACATGTTTCTATGTAAACTTGGATCCCATGTTGTGGCCCCGCCCTACCCCCATAGGTCATGATTTGAACAATTTTGAATCTACACTATGTGAGGATGCTTCCATATCAATATGACCAATCATGGCTTTGCTATTCTTGAGAAGAAATTAAAAAAAAATCTATATATTTCTATTTAAAGAAGATGGGTGAACAAGGCGGGCAGAATGCCTATAGCGTCAGATACTTTAACTAATAATTGCAAAAAAAAGTGTAAAAGTTGTCCATTTTAAGATGTAAGAGAAAAATAAAACAAAAGGGCCTATGGGCCACATCGCCCACCTGAGCACTGTGGCTGGGGAAAAAAATCAGAAATCAGTATATTATGTCACAAGAAAGGAGTACTGTAAAAGTTGTTATTTACACTGGTTGTTGAGTACGCGTTTGTGACCATCAAACATTACGCGTGTGTGTTATATACGCGGTCGCACTAGTTACCGAAAAAAAATTACGCGGCCTCGTTACTAATATAACATCCGAGTTTTTCCTCATTGAAAATGATAATAAAAAATTTAAAATAATTGCAAACAAACTAAACATATTAATAAGAATTTATATACTGTTTGGTAAATATAACGTCGATGTGCACAGTCAAATGCAGTGAAGTGCGAACAACTGGTAATTATAAATTAACACAAGCTCAAACTTCAAAGTAGGATCTACTTACCTGTATCTGCATGTCGAGTGTTGACAAATAGGTATGTTTGTAGTGACTGTCAGTTTACGAAACATTTTGAACTAATTATTTGAAATTAAGAGAAACAAACACGAATATACAAAGGAAATGAAAATGAGTATCGATGTTTTGAAGCTTTCAATTGCGTGACGTTGGTTTGAAATATTTAAAATGAAGATGCATTTTTCATCGCACAATTAAAAAATTGAAAAGTTAGTTTTCATCATTGTTTTAACTGTATTAAATTAAAACCCCATGATTAAATTCTGTACCGAATATAGCTGCAGATCTGTAGCGTTATGGTTTATGGTCTTTGACCATAACGCTATGGATCACGTAATGCAAACAAGAGGCTCAGGGGCCACATCGCTCACCTGAGCAATTGGCTAGAAAAAAGCACATATCAGATCAGAACTGAAATTTAACTGAGGGCAGGGAGGGGGAGGGGGGTTGTATTTTAACCCCCTCAGGAGGTCATGATTTAAACAAACTAGAATCTACAATACCTGAGGTTGATTCCCTACAAATACCACTAAGCATGGCTTTGAAGTACTTGAAAAGAAAATTTTAAAAGGTTTCCCTATATATTCCTTTTTAAAACTTTTATCGGACACTTGGCCCAACCTACCCCCGGGGGTCAAGATTTGAAGAAACTTGAATCTACACTACCTGAAGATGATTCCACATGAGTTTCATCTTTCCTGTCTCAATGGTTCTTGAGAAGAAGATTTTTCCTATGTAAAACTTTGATTGGCCATTTTGGCCCCACCCTACCCCCGGGGTCATGATTTGAACAAACTTGAATCTACACTACCTGAGGATGGTTCCTCATGAGTTTCATCTTCCCTGGCCCAGTGGTTCTTGAGAAGAAATTTTTAAAGATTTTTCCTATATATTCCTATGTAAAATAAAAATCGGCCATTTTGGCCCCACCCTACCCCCGGGGATCATGATTTGAACAAACTTGAATCTACACTACCTGAGGATGATTCCACTTGAGTTTCATCTTTCCTGACCCAGTGGTTCTTGAGAAGATTTTTAAAAAATGCCATTAATTTTTCTCTAATTCATAATTATCTCCCCTTGGAAAAGGGCAAGGCCCTTCATTTGAACAATCTTGAATCTCCTTTACCCAAGGATACTTTGTAGCAAGTTTGGTTGAAATTGGCCCAGTGGTTCTTGAGAAGAAGATGAAAATGTAAAAAGTTTACAACAACGACGACGACTACAACGACGACAACGACAGACAACGGACAAATTTTGATCAGAAAAGCTCACTTGAGACTTTGACTCAATGAGCTCCTTGTTTGCCAATATTTTTGCGCAATTTTCGTACGTAGAGAACTTCTCCACTTCCATTATGGAATACATACCTTTCACTACACAATTCCAAGCACACTATTTAACGAATCTGTATATTTTATCCATCTCCCAAACCTTCATAGTCTTTACAAGTGATAAATTCCTTGATTGAAATTATTTGTTAGATTGCTGGAAATTCACTTCAAGCGAGTAAATTGCCTGTAGAGACAACTATAAATGGTTGGGAGGTGGATAAAATATAAATTTTGGCTCAAAATATGTCTAGAATTGGGGAGTGAAAGGTAGTTGATTGACTAATACTAGTAAGTGGAGAAATTCTCACCAAAAGTGCGCAAAAATATTGCGCCGTAAATTGCACCTTTTTTGCAATGCTGCTTAACTCTTGTTACCTGACAATAAATCGACAATCTAGTAATATATAAATGTCAAGTTGAAGGTCACAGCATATTGTTTGCTTTTTCTCTATGTGTTTGAATAAATAAAACAACTTTTAAATATCAAACTTTAGATTACATGCACATCAGAGACATTAAATCCATATATCTCTGATGTGCACAAGTAGATAATACTTTCCTCTACTTTTTTTAATAGCATCCAATTTGTATTCCTTTTTGAGCAGTTTTATAGAATGGCCCTATTCTCTGTTTCTTTAAAACACTATTTCCACCTTTTTGGTAAATATATGACATGTACGGAGGGAAAGGACTTAAAATACTACCAGATAGCCATTTTTGCCTAGATGCTGTTCAATTCCTTAATTTGTGTGAAATCCTTTTGGAAATAAGGTCCATGGGCCAAGGTCTATAAGGTCACTTGAGTATCATGAAACAAGTAACTTTCCAACAACTGACGATTTTAACCCCACTCTAAAGTCTAGAGAGTGTGTGTGTGTGTGGGGGGGGGGGCTTAATTTCACAACTTTTACTCCCCTGCACTCAAAAATGCTACATGCCAAATTTGGTTGATATTGGCTTACTGGTTTCAGAGAAGAAGTTGAAATTATAAATGTTTAAATGTTAACGCACGATGAATGACAGACGCACGACGATGGATGAAAACGGATATCAATAGGTCACCTGAGTAAATTCAGTTGACTTAAAAATAAATAACACCTTGCTGTCAGTAGTTTCTTTGGGATTTATCATTAAAAAAGATATATTTTGTGATTTACGTATACATGACTGTATGTTGTGGCACGACTTATAAAATCTTTTTTTAAAAAATTCAAAATGCATCTGACATTGCAAAACACAAAATACATGTACATGTATCATTGAGATGATTTACAAATTGCATGAGAATGAATATAAATAAGCATAAACTGCTTATTCATACTTAATAAAATGACTTGATGATCGTGTCGTAAGAATTTTTTTTTTTTTTACAAAAACATTAATGCGGTGATATCTCCATGGCAATAATTCATAATCATATTTTAAAACTTTATGGAATCAATATATTATTGCACATAAAATCAACAATATTATACAACACCTACATTTTGCAATAGAAATGTATACTTAAATGGTAAAAATAAGATTTGGTATATTTTCATGTATCACAGAATAAACACAGCTAAAGCAACACTACCTCAAAAGGACATTTTTGTCTACTACAATAAAAAGTTCTCACATAAGTAAAAACACCCATGGCCTTAAAAAGGAAAACGAAACAAGGCACCGGAAAGCAGAGGATCTCGTCGCAAGAAAAAAATATTTAAAGAACAGGCTTTCTAATAAAATGAATAGAAATCAACGTTCACTTCAGTTTATACTTAGCATTATACCTTTGGCAAATTACCTCCAAAACCTTTCTTGGACAATATACACACATCCTTTGTATGTGTAAGGTCAAAGGGTACCCTCATATACTCAAGTGTCAAGGACGCAGCCTTAGACTGCACACTAATCAGTTACCGTCAATTGTACATAGCGGATCAGTATATGCTATATCACATGCTGTGCTGTTGTGATACGAAGGATAAATATAATCTTCCATCTCAGCAAAAAGATATATACAAATAACCCCGCTAGTGAACCATAAATGCTACAAAACAGTAACATAAGTAATTAAACGCTAAATGCTGTGCTTTTAGTGCATGCTATAAAAATCTGTTTCAATAAGAGTACAAAAGATCCATTGTACCAATAACTTTTGTAATATCCAATTCTATAACAAGTCTCTAAAAAGCACTATATAGTTTTACATTAAAATATTCCAAAATGAAACGAACTTTTTTTATTCCTTCTCACTAATAAATCTACGTCATAGCATATCCTTTAGAGTGTCGTTTAAATCGCCAGGTTAATTTTTCCCAGACAGATTGTTTACTTCCATTTTTAAATTGCCTTGGCTGACTTTGTAAAAATATGTCCGGGTTAAGTTCAAAATCGTCTCCCGTTTCATGTCCACTGTCGCCGCTTCCATTACTACCGCTCTCGTTATATCGGCTTCTGAGAAAATCTTCGTAAGACCCACTTCTCACCTGCTGTAACGGAAGTCGATCTTTCCCGCGTTTCATGTAGCGCCCCGCAGCGGTCGTACTTTTTACAGTCCTATCGTCATATCCGATTTTAGAATCAGTGTAACTGAAATCCCTGATTGTCTTGCGTCTCATTTCATCCTCGGGCAATTTACTTGCACTAGAATGTCCATTTGATTTCATTTGACTTTGTTTTGGTTTCGAATGATGGTCTCTCTTTTTCTCGGCGTGTTGAGACACTGTTCGATTTGGCGCGTTTTTCCGTTTGTATTTTATCTTATTTCTCCATGTGTACATGTGATCTGAGTGATAATCCTCGTCCTCACTGTCGTGCATATATTTAGAAAAGTCCTCCCCCTGATACTCACGTATCACCTCGCTTCCCTGTCGTCTCGGGAAATTCCGTACCGGAGGACCGACCTCCTTAGGTAATACATCGTCGTCGTAATCCGGTTCCGGTTCGTAGTCCGGTGGCGGATGTTCCTCCTCCTTCTCTATCGAACGAGCGGAAACTGGGGGAGGAGGCGCCGGTCTTTTTTTGTACACAGCTTTAACATCAGCCTCTTCTGTACCAGGCTCGTCTGCCATATCAATATCCTCGGACATTATCGGGGAAGATGGAACATTTTGGTCGTTTTCCTGAAACAAAGGATTTTTGACAGTTTTCTCAAAATCTAAAACAAGGTCTTTTTCGTCCGTTTTTGTCTGCGGCTCCTCTGGTTCATACACTGGATTGTCAGAACCAAACCGCGGGAAAAATTCATTTTCTGGGGGCGTGTCTATAACGTCAGATGACTGGTGTATCGTGATGGGCGTGTCTTTATCACCAATTATCATGTACTTCATTGGCTCCTCGACAGTTTCATTCTTGTCGTTCAGTTTCTGGAAATCCGTTTTATTTGCATCTTTGTCCTTGTAATTAGACAGCAGTAACGATTTCGGCTGATAGTTTCCGATTTTTGGAAGAACGAACGATCTCCCGGGGGGCTGGGGAGCAGGTCGACCCTTGTTAAAGTTCAGACGAGCCTTCTCCTCAAACTTAGCGATCTGAGAGCGGACTGGGAGGAGGTGCTCCTTGGACTCGTCCTGCGGGGGGAAAATCTCAGTCACCGGGGTCCGCTTGTCTTTTTTATCCATCATGATCTAAAATATCAAGACATACCATTATCAAGGGGTATACATGACATACTGATCAGTTAAAGTAATAGTTATTAAGATTTAATCAATAACAGGGCCACCAGTTCTAGCTGTCAAGGAAATAACACACATTCAAAGAGGATTAAGGACTTAACATTGGATTTAAAAATGGAAGTGTATCCCATTCATGTGTAAAAACTGAAAACGAACACGTTTGCTTTATGTACATGTATTTGACTTTTATATGGATAAACGTGCTTTCATCGAAAATTGGGTTAATATGGCGTTAAATTAACAAGACAACCTAACTTACTCATTCAAAATGCCGTTAGTTTAAATTCAACCATGCATGATCAGGATGTAAACTGAGGTCGCCTTTTATCAGGAATGTGTTGGTCTTTGTCATTCCTTAAACAATCTCGCTTTAAATCTACATGTATGAGATTTCTGGACCGGAATCTGACACATTAAATTCCAAAGATCGGCGTGGCTTTACAAAGCAATGGTATCTCTCATAGGTGTATACTGGCGGACGGAGAGTCTGGCCACCATGTAAGATTTTAAGTTAGAATTGACACTACCAGTAAACATTGACATTGTGATTTATACTGAAAATTCCCACAGGAAAGAGCCCCCCCCCCCCCCTTTCGCCTCCCAAAAAAAGTTTATAAAAGCATGTACATCTATACGATAAAAATGAATTAATGCATGTGTGTTGGATACTTATGTTGACCCCTTCTCCCCTTTTTTTGACAAAATGTTCTGGGGTTACCAAAAAAGTCGATCGAGACGAGAGAGAGAGAGAGAGAGAGATACCAGATACTTCACTAAGATCCCTAGAATAGTTCCAATTCGTTTGCAATAAATTTGTTTGAACAGACGTGCCTTGAGAACTTAAGTAAAACAGGTCTGCCTACTTTTTAAAGTACAACAGAGATTGATAGCCAAACAAACACATGGACCCATCGCCTGGCAATACACTTCTGCTTATACCGCAAATTAATGCTCTTTGACATATGGAGTTATCTATTCTAATTAGAAGTACAGGTGCCTTGGAATGGGAAAAAAATTATATTTGGGATTTGTCAATTGCAATTCTTTTGGAATGTATCATAGAAAACGTATTTTATTTTAAAAAGTCATAGAATCAATCCTTATGGTACGGAACGAGGGGAGGGGTGTGTGTGTCCCGTCTCCAAGCATGGCAAAGCAACAACTGTAGTCTTTTGCATTTTCTGTAAAATGTTTTTGCAACAGGAAGTTTTTTTTGATGATAGAATGCCTATTTTTATATTTTAAGGAATCCTGCAATGTGCCTTTTGTTTGTTTAATAGGTTTCAAGTTCCTGTGTTTTAATTGCGAGAACTTACGGTATCAAATACAAGAGTAATACGATATCGTTCTCAACCTGTTTGATGTAGGACGGTGAATCTAACACAGAAAGAATAACTTCGTCCCTAAAACAGTCCCCAATGAATTAACAACTTACAGCAGGTAACATGCATAGGTAGGCCAAATCAGGAATCAGATTATAATCAATTTGCGGATATTTCATTAAATAAAAAAAATCGTTTATAAATTATCAGAATACATTTACATATGGAATGGGATACCTGGTGGAGGACCTTACATTAAGGTGTGGACGGGTGTGGTACCTACATTGCGTTAAAAAAAAACTGTCCCTCCATTTCCTATAGAAACCAATGTTTGGGAATCTGTAGTAACAAATAATATATAAAACCATAAAACGATGATTTAGAAATAGTAAACTTAAGAATAAGATACCCACCTTAAATAGTCCAAAATTTACACCATTTCTAAAACGCAAGTCCCATTACGATCAGACATTCTTGTATAAACAGAAAATGTAAAACGTCACCACTCCGCTTCCATTGAACTTCAGCCAAGCATGGCACCCGTCTATAGGTAGGAATTATTTAGTGGAACGGTGCCCCATTCAGCGCTAGGTACTCGAGTGGAATAAAGAGCTTAGATGATCCCGAAAACTAGGCGTTCCCCATTAATGTCACCATGTGTGACTGTCACGACGTCTGCATCACCGGGCTAAGGTAGCGAGATCGACCTGGTTTTCCGATCAATAAATGATATCGATCAGCTGCTGAAATAAAATGTGCTTTATAGAATGTTGATGGTTAAAGCGCCTTCGTTGTAAATTATGCACATACATGTATCACCAAGATTTCAGAAAGCGTCCCGCTCGTTTGTTTTGGAGACATCTGCCCTTTTTACAGAGAATGACAAATAATGTACATTATATCGGGAATACACTGTATATTTGTTATACTCTACCTTGAAAAGAGGGTAGATATATACTTGTACATGTAATCATATGGTGATGAGAGGGGGGGGGGGGGCATTTCGCCACACATCCATTACGCTTCAGGGTATCCATCCTTTATCCGTAACTCCTCACAGTTTTACAGAAGTTTGATTACATAGTACCATTGTGCACCCCCTACTTTATACTTTGATCCAACAATTTTTGAGGATTCTCAAAGTAAAACATGACCTCTGTCAATTTTATACGTATTTCTTTTTTCAGGAACTCTTTCAACATCACCGAAAATGAAATATATGGAGATAGCAAAAATTAAGCTTTTCAAGCTCAAAAGTCCTTTAAACAATGCAAACTTGGAGCAAAGCAAACATGGACCTCCAAAACATCAGAGGTGGGATCAGGTGCCGTGAAGGAGTGAATATCTCCTGCCATTCAATCAGACTTTTACAGAATTTTTACTACAATTGTTTATCTTTTATTTTACGTTTCAATCAAACATATATTTTGGGTCCCATTTGTAGACATAGCGATTAGCGAAACATTCGGCTTAGTCTTTACAGTATCTGCTCAAATAGAAGTGGGATTGGGTATCATATTGTGAGCACAATGTTCATCCCCCCTCCCCCGTTTTCTGCGATTTTTGTTTATTTATGTCCACCTATGAAATTTAAAATTTACATTTTAATGATAGGAACAAACACTATACATATCTATATTTTAAAATTAGACATGTTTTGCTGGATGAAAACTAAGAAAGTCGTGGCAATTGAAAAAAAAATAGCCAAAGAAAAATACAACTTGCAGGTGCGTGTTTCCAAGAATTCTCGTAAAAATGATATTTGTAGTAGATAAAGGCTTTTAAAATCTTGATATTTTGTCAAGGAAGTAATTTGGGCTTTTATTTCAACCAGTCAAAGCAACCAATAGTAGTACAGTTCAAGAGAAGTATCAAATGATGATGAATATTGACAAGTTCTTTTTCGGAAAGGGGGGTGGTATTTCATCAGATATATGATTTTCATTTTAGGGTAGACGCTAAACAAAGAAAAACTGGAACAGGCTCCTGGGTCGTAAAACATAGATTAGCACACTTTTGATCTCAGTCTTACTTTTGCCTAATTTATGGTTTATTTCTTTAGAAAGCCGGCAAAAGTGAGAAAAAAAGAGCCACTCTAAGAGATCTAGACATATCCCGCAGAGCCAAAGGAGGGGTATTTACATTAACTTGTAAATATGTCATAAAATTATACAAAAAATCCTTTCTTTTTAGAAAAAGAATCCTCAAGAAATATAAGAAACGACGCGAATCTTTAAAAAGTCGGATTTATTTGTTCCGATCGAGACGGGGTTTTCTATTTTCATTCTAAATCAGCGCCACCTGCTATAAACAAAATCTTCGCAACGGACCAAAAAAATCCAGGAATATGAACTGGGAAAACAAGTTTTCCTCTATACTTCGTGAAACAGAGTCAAATCTATCAAAGGCTAAGGTGTTTATATTATGTGATTTGTCAAATATTCTCCCATTGTTCATTTTTTTATGGGTGAACGAGCTGTAGTTTTCACTCCTTATGTAATCCAAGTTGCCTCTAGAACTATCCCTTTGTTCATGTCACAAGCTTTTCTTTTTCAGAGAAAGCTATATACCCCAAAACATGGTTACCCGGATCTGACAAGCAGAGGCTGTAAGTTTAAATGTTTATAATTTAATTCTGTTTGTATTCTTGTCTCTCATTGGTTGATTTCCAAAAAGGAACGCATAACATTTTGTATAATCTGGTTTGGTATGGAGACACACCCCCTTGACAACCAGCTGAATCATCTGTATCCATCAATCCCCTCATTTCCAGTCCTTCGGATTCATGAAAAATTCCAGATTTAATGAATGTACCTTTAACTTCAAACAGTTGCTCGATCTTACCTCATGTAAACAAGCATCATGGCTGCTAGATCTATGTATCAGTTTTTACCTCCCCTTGCTTCCCATCACTTCCGTTACTACGGTTGTATTATTGCGCGGTAAATTTGAACTAATAAAAACAACACAATTTTACATCCCCAGTTGTTTAATTATTTTAAAATTAAATTATAAGGAATGACTATTCTTGGCCAGATTATCGAGTATAATAGTTTACGCTTTTTTATAATCCGCTTCGCGGATTATAAAGCGTAAACTACCCAAACCATATTATACTCGATAATCTGGCCAAGAATTAGAGTCATTCCTTAATTAAATTTATAATGTACAGCACTGTATCAGAGACATATAAAACCATATATATTTTATGTCTCTGACTGTATTTTATCATTATCAAATATTATTAATATGTTGTAAATTTATAGTTATACAAGCTTCATTACATAAATTTTTAAAAGTCATCGCCAATAAATTAATTTTATATTGAGTTTAGAAGTGTAAATCTTTCCCGAGAGAAAGAGAGAGAGAGAGAGCACAATTCAATAGCAACAAATTACATTTATAAGTTAATTTGTCAGATCTACAAAAGTTATCAATTTTTCTGCTTTGATATAAAATATAATGGGCATAAAGATGAAAGACATTTTGAATGTGAAATGAATTTAAAAGAAATAGAGTTGATGATTGATGTTTTTATTATAGTCAGTAGTTCCCTTCCAATGAGGCGTGCGTCCTCGCTGTTAGACATGTCTGGGTATGTCCCGGTGATGACCAGTACCCCCCAGCTGGCTGCCCCACCCCAAACATCTATCACCTCATCTCAACTTGTCAGCTCCTTACAAGAAAAGATGGAGCAACAGAACAGGGTATATCTTTGACTGATATCCTTACTTATGTCATGAAACACTTTCAAGTGCACATAATTTTGCTGTTTGTATACTGTACATTGTAGATGCCTTATTTTTTGCGAGTAGTACTTATTATTGTGAAATGCCTCATTAACTTCAAATCACGAGAACTATAATTCACGCGTGAATGATTGATCAAGAGATTTTTAAGAAACTACTGGGTTCTAACTGACTGGACAGTTTACAAATATGACTTATGATATACAAGGTATATAATCAAAAATTTTCTTACAACTATTCAAATTTTTACTTATAAATTTCTCTTTTTTTATTTTTAGCTAATTGATCAGTTGATGCAGATGGTTAACAAACTTGAAACAGACAGAAACAACTACAGTGAACAAATGAGGGATGTCCGAGGTAGAAATAGATATAGGCATCTGTTTCGAAATAGCACTTATCTGTGGACTGTCTTCAAAATAAACATATTGTCAAGACCAACAGTAGGGTTGTAAAATGAAATGCAGCTAACTACACTTATAAGCTATATCAATGTAGCAGGAAAAGGCAATTTTTTTAATGACAGTATTAAGGAAGGGGTTCTAATTCATTTCATCGGATAATCTTTTAGATCAGTTATATCACCTGAGAACTCACAACCCAAAGCCTGACAGAGGTCTGGACGTGGAAAACAAAATCGATCAACTGCGACGAGACTTACAAAGTGAGATTAATAGCATACACATCCAGCTACAGCGAAACTCAGTGGACCATACAATACAGAGGGACATCAGGGATTTGTAAGTAATATACGAACAGAACACCAAGACATCAGGGATTTTTTAGTTAGATATGCACTACACAAAGACACAGAGACATCAGGGATCTGTAAGTCATTCACACACTACACATTGGCATCAGGGATTTATGATACACTTCACATAACACCGGCTTTAAGGAAATGGAACAAAATTCCTGTATCTATGGAAAATATATAATTGTCTTACTTGTCTTCTTCCATAATGTCCAATTTATGATTTTTTTTCTTTCCTTTAAGGCTATCTAAATTTAATTCTCTGGTTCTCAGGCCAATTTTCTCCAAAACAGATGCGGGAGGGCGGCATTTTATTTATCTTTTTACTGGCAATAAAGTAGATGAGGGAGGTATTTTTTTAAATTTTAATATCCGAATTTTCTTTAACATAAAGATAATTTTTTTAATCACAGATATACTTTCCAATTCTGGTCAAAATTTCTGCTTTAACCATTGCTTATCAGCGTGTAAACATCGTAGGTAATGTCCTTGAATGTATTTTCAAATGAAGTAGCCAAAATCTCATTGAAAATTGCTACCGGAAGTAATATTTGAATACTAAACTACGAAACAAATGAGGTCGGAATTTTTTTTTCCGGATTGGTCTCCGCAATACCAACTTTTTATTTTATCAAAAATACAATAAAATTAGCAATGCGGCTACCTCAAAACGGATGCGTGCGGGCCTGAGAACCAGAATTTCAATTTTATATGGCCTAAGATATATTTTATAATACACAGTGAGAGTATTAACATTTGATCATTTTATTAGTCCCTACATTGTACATAATTCCTTTAAAATGATGTTTTCATCCTGACTATTATTACAGAAAAAATAATGTCCAGGATGACCTTGACCTGATGAGGAGAGACATAGACATACTGAAGTCTAGGATTGGTAAGTTGTCAATAGACATTACAAAGTCTAGGATTGGTAAGTTTTCAATAGACAATACAAAGTCTAGGATTGGTACATGTAAGTTTTCAATAGACATTACTAAGTCTAGGATTGGTATGTTGTTGTTATTATTAATAGACATACTGATGTCTAGGATTGGTAAGTTGTCAATAGACAATACAAAGTCTAGGACTGGTAAGTTGTCAATAGACATTACAAAGTCTAGGATTGGTAAGTTGTCAATAGACATTACAAAGTCTAGGATTGGTAAGTTGTCAATAGACATTACAAAGTCTAGGATTGGTAAGTTGTCTATAGACATTACAAAGTATAGGATTGGTAAGTTGTCAGTAGACACAAGTAGTATGTCAATATTATTAGACGTACTGATGTGTAGGATTAATACGTTGTTATTTTTAGCTCACCTGAGCCGAAGGCTCAAGTGAGCTTTTCTGATCAAAATTTGTCCGCCGTCGTTGGTGTCGTCGGCGTCGTAAACTTTTCACATTTTCATCTTCTTCTCAAGAACCACTGGGCCAATTTCAACCAAACTTGCTACAAAGTATCCTTTGGTAAAGGGGATTCAAGTTTGTTCAAATGAAGGGCCATGCCCTCTTCCAAGGGGAGATAATTAGGAAATAGTGAAAAATTAAGGTCACTTTTAAAAAATCTTCTTCTCAAGAACCACTGGGCTAGGAAAGATGAAACACATGTTGAAGCATCCTCAGGTAGTGCAGATTCAAGTTTGTTCAAATCATGACCCCCGGGGGTAGGGTGGGGCCACAATGGCCGATCAAAGTTTTACATAGGAATATATTGGAAAAATCTTTAAAAATCTTCTTCTCAAGAACAACTGGGCCAGGAAAGATGAAACTCATGTGGAAGCATCCTCAGGTAGTGCAGATTCAAGTTTTTCTAATCATGACCCCCGGGGGTAGGGTGGGGCCACAATGGCCAACCAAAGTTTTACATAGGAGTATATAGGAAAAATCTTTAAAAATCTTTTTCTCAAGAACCACTTGGCCAGGAAAGATGAAACTCATGTGGAATCATCCTCAGGTAGTGTAGATTCAAGTTTGTTCAAATCATGACCCCCAGGGGTAGGGTGGGGCCACAATGGCCGATCAAAGTTTTACATAGGAAGTATAGAAAAAATCTTTATAAATCTTCTTCTCAAGAACCACTTGGCCAGGAAAGATGAAACTCATGTGAAATCATCCTCAGGTATTGTAGATTCAAGTTTGTTCAAATCATGACCCCCGGGGGGAGGGTGGGGTCAAAATGGCCGATCAAAGTTTTACATAGGAATGTATAGGAAAAATCTTCTCAAGAACCATTGAGACAGGAAAGATGAAATTCCTGTGGAATCATCCCCAGGTAGTGTAGATTCAAGTTTGTTCAAGTCATGACCCCCGAGGTAGGGTGGGGCCAAATGGCCGATAAAAGTTTTACATAGGAATATATAGGGAAACCTTTTAAAATCTTTTCAAGTACTTCAAAGCCATGTTTAGTGATATTTATAGGGAATAATCCTCGGGTAGTGTAGATTCTAGTTTGTTCAAATCATGACCCCAGGGGGTAGGGTGGGGCCACAATGGCCAATCAAAGTTTTACATAGGAATATATAGGAAAAATCTTTTCAAGAACCATTTAAACAGGAAAGATGAAACTCCTGTGGAATCATCCCCAGGTAGTGTAGATTCAAGTTTGTTCAAATCATGACCCATGTTTGATCTGATATGTGCTTTTTCCTAGCCAATTGCTCAGGTGAGCGATGTGGCCCCTGGGCCTCTTGTTATTAATTAAAGTCAAAATAAAATATCATAATTATGACCATTTTCTACTTTCAATCCACATGTTTCTGACATCAGTGTTGAAGGCTCCAACATTCAATTGTAGATGTACTTGAAGGCTGTAACAATGAAAGACTAGAATTCAGAAAATGTCATTACATATTTACTTACTGGTACTTATTTTTCAGGTAAAGTAGAAAATGAAGTATCATCTGTTGTGAAAAACAGGAGGGGTGTGTCACAGTATGAGAAGGTCAGTATGAATAAGCTATTTTAAGGACCAGTCATCCTCTGCATAGATATGTAAAAAAAAAAACATTAAAAATGATCCATAACAAATCAACATATTAAAAAACCCCATAGCAATAATGTCTTAAGGCCATAATAAACAAATTGCTAGATTCTCATCCGAACTTTTTTAAAAATTGAGGCGGGCGGGTGGCTTTTATTTTATATTTTTTATTTTTTCAATTTTGCAGATTTTTTATTGACCTGGTCAATCGGTGTAATTTTATCTACAATACCCGAATAAAAGTCATAGTAAAGGTTCAATTATCTCTTACTTCACATCATCACCAATCTTTTTCAACGTATGACCCTTGTTTAAAATATATACGCATGTATTACAGCAATTACCATCTTTTCAGCTGTCAAAATCATGTCGACTTTCGCGGGATTTAAAACGAAAGTAGAATGGTAGATGAATACTGATCCCAATCAGTATTAAGACGAAGAAAAAACAGAAATAAAAAAAATCGAGGCAGGGGTATAAAATCGGGGCGGGCAGGGATGAGAATCTAGGAATATTTTTATTATGGCCTAATCATGACACAGGCTGATAGAGGCATAGTGTAAATGAAACTCTTTTGTACTTGTAGGGACAAAGTCATCAGCCTTCCTTAACTTCAACTGCGGACACTTGGGGTAGAGTCCGGGACCAGTACCAGATACAAGACCTTAGGTAAGTCTTCCCTTAGTACAACTGGGAAAGAGTCAGAAATCTGTGCCAGGGGATGCCTACTGCTATATGGCGCCTGATCCCACCTCTGATGATTTTAGAGGATCGGTTTCTTCTGTTCCCAACTTGTATTATTTGATGGACTTTTGACTTTGATTACGTTTTTTATCCTCATATTTCATATAGGACCTCTGATGAATAATCAGTAATGATAACAATGGTTAATTAAATTAATGGTTGAATAAATTGCATAAATTTCAGTATCCTTTGTGCTTATGTCCAAGTTCTTTGAGAGTAAAGGTTACTGAAATGAAAAATTAAACAAAAAGAATTGTTACAAATTAATGTAAATACACCTACACTTGAGATAGTAAAAATATAATACTGACATTTTTTTTCTAGGTCCACTGTGTCATCATTGAAAAACAAGGTGGATAATTTGGAGTACTCTGTAGGGAGTGGCTCAGTGACACCGAAACAGAAATACACATCCCACAGCGGGGTACACACCCCTCTATACATCAACGCAAAATCCTCCACTCTCTATGATAATGGTACAATATGTTATTTACAGTCATATTTTGTCAGAGTTAAAGAATTTTTAAAAGTTAACATACGTACAACTAGAATTTTGTTATCCTTTATGTTTTAAAATGTCTTTTACAATATACAGTCTTTCAATAGGCATGAAACAAGGCAATGTGATTTTAGATCAAGGAGTATACATGTATGTAAAACTCATGTCAAAGGTCAAGGCTATCAGCAAGGGTGCTTATCCTTGCTTCAAGCTTCATGATTTGAGCATCAAAATACACCTTCCAATTTCTTCATGTATTCTTTTACTATACAAGTTTAAGACAAGAATTTTAATAACTGCCTGTCATCAGTGTTATCTTAATTACCCTAGAAAAATGTATTCTTTACAGCTCTATTTTGGATTGTCTTGCTATTTAAAGTAGGCCTTAATCATTTCAGTGTTTTAAAGTGAACATAAAATCTCCAGTACCTGGGAATCACAGGCACCAAACTCGCTTGAATTTTTGACCCCCTAGTATATTATAAGTAATGTACTAGGGGGTCAAAAATTCAAGTGAGTTTGGTGCCTGTGCTGGGAATTCAGGCAGCCTCTGGATCCCTCCTGACTGTTTATCATTTGATGTTTGGGGCTCTTTATCAGGCAACAATGTCAAATCATGTGCAGATAAATTTGCAAATTTACGTAATTTAAACTAATAAGATTTTGCTGGTCATGACCAAGAGATTTTGTCACCTTGATTCAAGGTCAAGTTATGGGGATGGTAAAATGTTGCTTAGTACACGATAACTTGTGTATGGAACAATTTAAATTCGGTGTCATGTGGAATATGCTTAAACAACTCTTGGTTATTTTTCTCCTTGAACTTTAATTTTCAGGTTATAAATCAGAACAATCTGTAAACAGTGTAATGGACCTAGATGACCTTGACCTCTCTGATGATGATGAAAGTACAGACTTTGAGATGTTTAACCCTCAGAAAGCCCAAATCAGCTCTACTTTAGTGGACTCAGGTGTGTACACAACTACAGCATTTGTCTGGTAAAGGCTAAGGGCACTCTAAATCCAATCACTGTTTTTGCAAAATGGCACAGGAATATTCTGCATTTCTATACCCCCATTCTTCCGAAGGAGAGGGGGCTATACTGTTTTACCCTTGTGTATCTGTCTGCATACCGAGTAGTACCCTGGTATATAGTGCTCAATGGAGTGAATAATAATTGATGCAAAACTAAGCAAATCAAGACATTTTTTTTCCAGATTTGATTTTTTGACTTTGGTCAATTTAATTAATTTTTCATGACAAATGTTTGCATATCTCCACAAACATTTTTTTTTTCAAATGTATCAAAAAGTTGTCACTCTAATTTTTTTCCCACTGATATCCACAAGGCACAACAATTGAAAGCCTCCAGCTCCCCCATTTCTTTACATTAAATTCCTACTAGTTAGATATTTGATTAATGTACATAGTAAAGCATTAGACTGAATTCTGTTTTAAAAAAAAAAGTATACTAGCTAGTGTAATATCTTCCAAAGAATTACAAAAACTGCAAACAAATGTGACAGTATTTATTGCATGAAATTAGTTTCCTTCCTTATTATTTCATGTTATGTTTAATCACAGATGTGTCTTGGTAAGTTGTGATATTGTGGCTTTTTGCTCCAGTTCAGTTGCAGATTTATTCTGTTGCAACACACATATATTGATACATTTCTTTTCATAACTATTATTATACAGTTATGAAATATTTTTTCATATTTTTTTTGTTGTTGATATTTTTTGTATTTCAATAAGGGGTTTTAATTTTTTCATATCATCCCTAAAACATTTAAGAACAACAATTTCTTAAATGTTTAAGAATTGATATATTAATAAGTTTGTATTGATTTGTGTTTAATCACTACTAGAACTGAAAGTTTTATTTCTATAAATGTTCCAAAATGGCACGCTTCCAATATTTATTAGCTCACACATTTGCACTGGCAGATAAAATGATAAAGCTTACTGAAACTCATAGATAGCTGATAAACCAACAAAATCACTGTTTAGAACATTTTCATGTCAATAAAATTCTACTTATGTTAATAGATAAAATTCAAGTTATAAATGTATATTTCAGTGCACTCCAGGTAATTACAGGTGATTTTATTTTTTGTAGATGAAGACATTAACCTCTCTGACCTTGACCTTAGTGATGATGACCCCTTGGTGTTGTGATATTTTACATATTTCTCTTGCCTAATTCATATACGTATGTACTTTGTACTCCTGTCAATTATTTGTAGTGCATTTATTTCATATTATTAAAAATACATGTAGTAAATATACATGTAAAATACTGTTTACGTGTTTGTGTTGTGAATATCAATACATGGAACATGGAATCACGCAGAACCTCTTACTTCAAAACTTTTTATCAAAATTCAATTTTTATATATTTAATTTCAACAATGTTAATGTTTTTAACATTCAATGAAAAAACTGCTCAAAAAGCTACAAAGAAACAAGATTTGTGAGGGACTATTTTTTGTGGTGGAAGGATATTTAGCAGATAATTCTGCAAATCTGCATATTTATTAAATTTAATATCTTGGAACTTTAGCCTTACATACTTTTACTTGGAGAATATTTTCCATTATGATATTGCTAGGAATATTTAATATAGGTCTTAATTTATATTTTTAGAACAAGTTTTACACCTTCCTTCAACAAACTTTGCTAAGAAATGAAGATATGTCAAATAAGTCAATATAAAATTTACACAATTTTTGCATGAAAATCACATATTTTGACCAATATTTCAAAATTAACATCACTGACCCCAAATTTTTCTTTCATTATTTTAAAGTACTCGATACTTGTGACTGATAAGCACTTAAGTCGTAAAAAGCTTGATTTAAAAAAATGTTTTATTACCTATTTAGTTTTTTAATACCCCAAAACATGTTACTTTTTAGTGCAAAAAGGTCACACAATAATTTACGCACATTAATCTGCAAGATTTTTAAAATGATAAATATTATTCAAAATATTTTACGTAACATAAGATCATATTTTTTGCCATGATTACATCTGATAAAATAGAATTAAGGTTTAAGTAATTAACCAGAGTTAAATTTTAAGTGCAAAAAGGTCAACTTCATTGTACCGTAGACCAGTAAGATGAACACTGACCACCTATTTTCTCTGCGATTTTGAGTCGCTCTATATGAGTACCTATCCAAAATATACTTCTCAATAAATCCTTGATTTAACAAATTTCACGAATGACATACCTTAAAGGCAAGGGGTACCTAGCAAAGTTGTAACTGAAGAAATCAATTAAATGTATTCCTTTCGTTAAAATTAGACATGCAGTATCTAAAAGTGACATACTGGAAACTGATGATCAACCCTTTAATACAGTATGCACAATTTTCAAGGTCATAAGTCACTTAATACAGTGTACTATAGTAAGATACAGTAGGTGATTTTCCTATAGATTTCACCAAGAAATCATTAACATTCTTCTGCTGAATTCTATATTTTAAATTTATTCATTTCAAAAGTATACTAAGAACTTGGATAAAAAGCATATCTTTTTGATAATATTTAATGAAAAAAAGGAAATAAAATCTTATAAACAATACAATGTCCTTTAATACATTCTTAAAGTAAATGTATACTAGAGATTCATTGTTGGTGGATTTCATACATTTCTTCTGTAGCACAACTCATGAATATGACCTCTTTTAAACTAAGAGTTGTCATTGGATAATCTTTTTTGAGATGTAAAACACAACCTCATTGGTCTTCCGTCACAGATTCATTTTCAGAATCATTGCCAAGTAGATGCATGGTTGAACATGTCTCCCAGGGCTTGTGCAAGCATGAATGTTCTGTAAATGAGAATAATCTTGCATTGATGCTTCATCAAATATAAATAACTCCATTTACTCAGAATTTTTTGTATTGGAACTGCACATTACTTTTTATTGTAGTTTATTAAGAATTAATTTCCTGGTGAAACGTAGTATTCACTGAGTAAAAAGGAATTTCGTTGTCAGAAACCCATGGTCAGTCTCCCTTTTCTTGTATCCCGTGGGAAACAAGTTCGAAAATTTCATGAGACTCGTCAATATGCCTAACCTAATGTGACATTTTAGGCCAAATGAAAATCGACTTTATCAAATTGATTTGATTTGAACATATTATATTATGTAATAAATACATAAATGGATTGAGCAGCAGGCATAGCCTATATAAGCCCTCTCCACATGAGCAAGGTTAATTAATATACATTACTAGTATGCTACATACGGTTATGAAATTACTGGTGTACAATAATGGCAAAAAGAGGACCAAGACCAAACATGGGTTTCCAACAATGAAGGAAGATTTGAATGAAATGCTCCATTTCCCTAAATGGCTCCAAATTTGCACATGCAAAATAAGACTGAACAAGATGCTGGTGCTGTTCAATTTATTACATTCTTCATATGTATTGATTTTAAACATTCAAATAGAATATTGCACAAAAGTTCATCATCCGGTAACCAGAAGTCCCTGATGAGACTGAAGCTCTACTGATTGTTACTGTCTTATTTAACAAATGAATTTACTGAAATTGACTCAACATCATATTGAGCAAGATTTCTGATTACAAAACATCCTGATTATACAAGTTTCACTGTAACAAAGAGAAGAGAAAAGTAGCTTTTAGATTTGAAACTTTTGAAATATAAATACACTGTACCAATACATATAATTATGATTCTTAGTTTACTCTTATAATAAAATTGGACTAAAACTACTGCATGAAGAAGCATTTTGGGAGAATTTGACAGAAATAGATACATGTGTATTAATGTAGCGTACAGTACTTATTAACAAAACTTTGCCGAGATCAGATCAAAACTGTACTACCGGGTAGGTTGAAAGAATCTATTTTAGTAATAAGAGCAAAACTGTTCAATGATATTAAAAACTGATAGATGAATTATTCATCAGAATATGTTTATCTGTTGTCTATTTGTGTCCATCGATCAAACGAAAAAATGGAGGATGAGTGGTATTCTGGATAAATTTCACAGAAATTTGATGTTTGGAAGCCACGCCTGATGTCATGGTAACACTATTTTCAGAGTAGCATTTGGAAACTTATTTACAGACAGACATAAGACACCCTACTACAGCATTAGTACTAACAATCACTATAAAATTGAGAATCTTTGAAAACCTGTTACACTTATACAGCACAATAAGTTTATTTGATGAGAAGATATCTTGGATTTCATGCTTTACTGAATTTGCCTTGATGGCAAGACTCATTTGTATAATGTATACATACATAATCATACAAATCAAAACTAATCTGTATATTCTTATCAGTATATAAATTATCTCTTTGAAAAAGGAAATACATGGTAAAACAACTAACAAATTAAATTTATTAAAATGAAATTAAAATGTAAACAAATTAAAGCTGTTAAAATGACAAACATACCACAAAACTCATGCCACAATACATAATAAATAAGTGGATCTTGTTAGTAATTGATAAAACATTTTTAAAAATCCTGAAAGACTTGTACACATCCAACTTTCCATGCTTCCAAACAGAATCAACAGGCAGGGTTAATCATACACACACACAGTCCATAGACCAGGTTAGTGTTAAGGCTCTACAGGCAGAGGTTAATTAGACTTGATATACAGAACACTACAGCCAGTCTTTCCAGGGGAATTTCCTCACTGTGTTAGTGAATAGTGTATGTATCCAAACCTAAGAGGTAAAATCCAATGATAGGAGAAATGATTTGTGTCAAAACTTTCATGTTTATATATGAAAATTATTGATAAGATTTTGCTAAATCAGACAATATATTATCAAAATAATTTAAAGATACAAAATTTAATTAACGGTTTATTCAGAAAAGTAAATGAAATTTATCCCTCTCCCAACAAAAAGACAGATGTAGGTATTGAATGAGTTCACACCTTTATTTATAATATACCAAAAGTATATACTGTAAAAGTTCTTAATTGCACGGGGTCATAATTCCGCGGAAGCAAAATCTCTATTCATTCCGCAAGTATGAAATTACGCGGATATCTTGGATTGTTGTGATATGTCCTTAATGAATCTTTAGTTCGCTGTGACAAATTTCCGCAGAAAAATTTGTGTTCGCATAAATAGCGGAAATTAATCCCATGCGGAAAAAAAGTATGTCTACAGTATATATATATATATACTGCTATTAAATGAAATTTGAATAGATTGGATTGTTTTTCTTGTTCTTTCACATGTATTTGTTTTGTAATTGTATAATTAAACCTGTCTTAATCATGTTAGTAAACCATCATCAACAGAAACCGAGCAATGGATGGAATGAAATATCACTTTACATTAGTTTTTTAGGTTAATGATACATGTAAATATATAGTATTACTTAATTTTTGTTCTTTTATATACTGGTAATGCCATTGAAGTACATGTACATTAAGTTGAAATGCCCTTTAGGTACATACTACATGCAAAAGATAACAAGAAAGCATGCTACTCTGAATTGGAACCAAGGTGATCTGCCCCTCAACCAAAAGACAAGAAGACTACAGGGGTATATTATAGAACAAAGGTCAAATTACGGTATGTAAAATGATTGCTAACAAACATGCAAAAATCACAATGAACACAGCATACTTGATTACCAGGTTTGTAAAATATTTTGTGAAAATAAATTATATTCAAAATAAAAGTAAAAATTATATATAATTTAAAATCTAAATAAATATGCATAAAATAGAAATCAACATGTCACGGATTTAAGACCATGAATCAAAGTTAAAAATCATGTATAAATACCAGGTGACAAATAAAATTAGAAGCAACTACAAAGCACCAGTGTAAAAAATAATCTAGCATCAAATGAGGTTACTGTAGCATTTATAAGTAGTGATTTTCTAAGCTTTGTTGATCAACATATTGACTTATTTTCATGTTTATAACAGAAGACACCATAAATATAGTATAAAAGAAGTATTCCCATTTCTGGTAATGTACAATATTGAAATTATTTTCATACAAATCATACTAATTATTTTTTGTGGAATGGAAAGTTATGATTTGCAAATTTTGTTTGACATTTAAAGATTAACTGTATTTACCCAAACATCATAGCCTAAACTTAATACATGAATCAACTACTCACAAAAGCCAAATAGAAAGCAATAAGCACACAGCCAGTCCCTGAGACAAAGAACAATTTAAAGGGAATAATTATGACAATGGTTCCAAGTCTATTTCATTGACAAAAGGCATTCTACCTTCTGTTTTGTGTGTCTGTCTGGGGGGCAGCAGGAACATGATGGAGAGGGCCACCAGGGCGTGCCACACGCTGTGTATATACTTGTAGTTCTCCTCTGTCTCTAGGAATGTAAAGATGACCACCCCCGTCCCGGCACATAACACCCCCGGTAACAGGAACAACAGGTAGCGCCGCTTAGAGGGGTACAGCTGACGTCTCCGGACACAGCGTAAAATCTACAAAAAGTTAAAACATGAGAGACTCCAATTCATTCTTTAAAGCAGAACACAGTTTTATACTTGTAAATTTGTCAAAAAGGGAAATTTTTTAACAGTGCTTTTACATGTATTTGAATGTAAAAGTAACTTTGAAAATTAACAATTCAGATGACCAAATAATAAACCGGTAATAAATTATTTTTTTTGGAAGAATTAATTTACCCATGAAGTCAGCATAATGATAATGCCGAAGCAGATGGGAATGAGGAACACATAGAGGGAGTGTTTATCGTACTGCATCCCCACCGCCAGCCCCAGCACCCCCAACATGACTAGAAAACTCTTCGCCTTCTCTGGCAGGCGGGCCATGGCTAGCGTGGTCACCCAGAAGGATGTGTAGGATCCAAAGAAGTCACAGAAACTCAGAACATCGTACTTCATCATACAATATTGGTAGAGGGCTTTACTGGAGTCACAGGCGTGGTAAAACTGAAAGAGGAAACATCACAAAACATTACACAACGAAACCTTATCAGGTCAAAATTCAACTAACTTAGGCTGCAGTTCTGCACTCTCTGGAATGGAGAACATTGGTTATCAATCCCAAATTTTTTCAGACCAGTTATTTATACCCCTGCAGCTATCCTGGTTGAAGGTTTTTCTTTGAAATAATGTACATATTAAAACACTTAAGATTTAATAATTGCTTTCTCAGCCATTAAGAAGAACTGTATTATAAAGATACAGTAAACTTACTGTAGAGAAGAACATGGTGAAGAAGTAGACCAGAGCCTCCAGGAAGTATCGGCGATAGAGAGCCAGGCCGATACTGGGGATAAAGAACAGGTTACTGAGGGACAGGAGGAGGGTCCCCAACAGAATGATATCATTACTGACTGCATCACGTCCATCAGTACACCCGTACCCAGCCCAACCTAAATTGGGAACCATAAAACACTTAAATGATACACTTTCTCAAAGTACTGAAAAAAAATCATCAACCAACAAATCAAAAAATGGAAAATATTTCATGTATTTTATAATACAGCATATATGTTAATGCACATTAACAAAATTTTGAAAGTATTAAAACATATAAAAACCGTTTCGTTTGCAGTGTTTATATCTATTCTAAAACTGTTTAACTGTTTAACACACAGCAAAATACTTAATATGCATTTATAGTCTACATACATGTAAAGTTCTGCATACAATCTTTTCAAGATGTTACAAGTTGAAGTTTGAAAACGTTTCTTGGATATACATGCAAGTTAGATACATCAAATTTGTTCTTCACAAAATTCAAATGTTTATTTTTAATTTTTTATTCTTTTATCGCATAAAGGTATCAAAATTGTAAAAGCGAACTGCGGTACCACACAGTGAAATTGACAGTCCTAACAACATTATATTGAATATATCCTCAAGTTATTTCTTTAATTTCTTTTTTAACTCCAACTCAACTTCATTGTTGGATGTACCTGTACTCTTATTGATTTTCCTATTTGCTATGGTTGACTTGCAAAAACTTAGTATTGTAAATAAGGATAAAGTATTCTTGTCAAGAATACTTGACTTGTGTAAAATTTGACATTTCTGCATCACATTCTCTATCCAGAGTTGTCGTTCTCACTTCTCTCCCACATACACCTCTGTCAATGCTTCTTATACAAAATTCTTGGAAAAATTGTAAATGATTAAAAGTTGTATTAATAATAGTTTTTAATTGTGTTGTGATCGTGGGGGCTTCGTTAAAACAGCCAATCACATTAAATTAATCATGTTTGGATGGTAAGATGCCGTTCTTTTCACCTTTTAAAACATTTTTAGACTTTCTATAGTTGTAATTTGAAAGATTGAACAAATAAATGAATAATTTCTGGACTTTATAATATACACGATACGTATCACACAACAAACAAGAGCCCCAGGGGCCACATTGCTCACCTGAGCATATCGGCTAGGAAAAAGCACAAATCAGATCAGAACTGAAAGGTTCACTGTAGGGGGGAGGGGGCTTGAATTTTAATACTAATTGAGTTTGCCTTCATATTACTACAGCATATGACTTTGCTGTTCTTGATAAAAAGATTTTTTAAAAACATTTTCTTCCTGTATATAACTTAATAATTTGAATTTGATTCCCCATTGTTTCCCTCCATACCCTAAAGGGCCATGATTTGAAAAAATTTAAAGCTTCAATACATGAGGATGCTTAAATGTCAATATGACTAAACATAGCTTTTCTGCTCTTGGGATTTTTTCCTTTATTTTTCTATGTAAAACTTTGATCCACCATTGTGGCCCCACCTTACCCTTGGTGGTTATGATTTGAACAAATTTAATTCTACACTACCCGAAAATGCTTCCATATAAATACTAGTATTACTAATAATGGCTTTGCTATTCTTGAGAAGATTTTTTTAACTATATATTTTAATGTAAAACTTGGATCACCCATTGTGGCCCACCCTATCCCTGGGGGTTATGATTTGAACAAACTAGAATCTACACTACCTGAGGATGATTCCACATAAATATCACTAATCATGGCTTTAAAGTACTTGAGAAGACGATTTTAAAATATTTCCCTATCTAGTCCTGTGTAGAACTTTGATCAGCCATTTTGCCCCCCCCCCCCCCAATCCCCAGGGGTCATGATTTGAACAAACTTGAATCTACACTACCTGAGGATGATTTCACATAAGTTTCATCTTTCCTGGCCCAGTGGTTCTTGAGAAAAAGAATTTTAAAGATTTTTCCAATATATTCCTATGTAAAACTTTGATCGGCCATTGTGGCCCCATCCTACCACTGGGGGTTATGATTTGAACAAACTTGAATATACTATCTTAGGATGATTCCACATGAGTTTCATCTTTCTTGGCACCGTGGTTCTTGAGAAGAAGATTTTTAAAGATTTTCCCGTTATACTCCTATGTAAAACTTTGATCGGCCATTGTGGCCCCACCCTACCCCTCGGGGTCAAAATTTGAACAAACTTGAATCCTCACTACATGAGGATGCTTTCACATGAGTTTCATCTTTCATGGCCCAGTGGTTCCTGAGAAGAAGATTTTTAAAGATTTTCCCTATATACTCCTATGTAAAACTTTGATCGGCCATTGTGGCCCCACCCTATCCCTGGGGGTCATGATTTGAATAAACTTGAATCTACACTACCTGAGGATGATTCCACATGAGTTTCATCTTTCCTGGCCCAGTGGTTCTTGAGAAGAAGATTTTTGAAAAATGCCATTAATTTTTCACTAATTCATAATTATCTCCCCTTTGAAAAGGGCTTGGCCCTTCATTTGAATAAACTTGAATCCCCTTCACGTAATAATACTTTGTGGCAAGTTTGGTTGAAATTGGCCCAGTGGTTCTTGAGAAGAAGATGAAAATGTGAAAAGTTTACGCCGACGCCGACGATGACAGACGACGGACAAATTTTGATCAGAAAAGCTCACTTGAGCCTTCGGCTCAGGTGAGCTAAAAATTACGATATACCGGTATACTGATAAAATCACACATCCCTATATTTTACCCTGCTATTTTTAATTAAGGCCTCACCTGAGTAACACTGACAGGTGCTGAAGATGTGAGCACCACTGATGTACTCCTGACACTCACCTGTGTAACACTGACAGGTACTGAAGATGTGAGCACCACTGATGTACTCCTGACACTCACCTGAGTAACACTGACAGGTGCTGAAGACTCACCTGAGTAACACTGACAGGCACTGAAGATGTAAGGACCACTGATGTTCTCCTGACACTCACCTGAATAACACTGACAGGTACTGAAGATGTGAGCACCACTGATGTACTCCTGACATGATCCAAACGTCCCACACTGACCATCTACACACCCCATGATACTCAGGCTCACACTAATCCCAGGTAAAATGTGACATGGCTCTGTCCTAAAACACAAGCAGTTACAGTTTATACTTCAAACATTTACGTTTGCATAACAAAATTTTGCAAGCATTGTGGGGCACTTGGACATTTAATAATGTACATTTATCTTTATTTTAATATAACAGAATAGTTTTCGCTTTCAACTTTTGAGCAACTTACTTTTGTGGTCCATTAAAAATGTTCTTATAATTATTAAATCTGTTATGCAGTTACTTACTGGTTTGATGTTTTGTTGGTACACTGGCTATGGAGAGCGAGGTACCACGTTCCTGCCTCTGGGTAGGGGATGTACTGAGTGATGGGGGTGGTAGAATTAGAGTGGACGGTCAGTGACACACCAAGAGGGCACCGCCTAATGGTGTCTTGGTGAGGGAGATAACCCCTGACCAGACAGATCCACACAACGGCCTCCTGTTTGGGGCTCTGAAACACAACAATGAAAATATATTCAGTTACTTGGTCAGTTGTTAGCTAAAACTGTTCTACATTATGGTTACAATTTGCATGGTCTATCATAAAAAAATATATATGTCAAGTTCTGATTTGGGTATAATCATGCAATTTTTGACAGAGTTATGCCCCTTGGACTTGGAAAAAAATTCAATATTTGGGGGAAGGGGTATTAAAAAAATACAAACAATCCCCTGATTATTATCATTTTAGGTCTAAAATATTGCATTCAGGGTTCGAAATTAGCGAGAAATACTCGCAAAATGCGAGTTGATTTTTAAAACAGCGAGTAAAAATAGAAGACACTCGAAATTTTTAGCGAGTGGTGATTTTTGACCCAAGTAGTCTTGTATCCATATTTTTCTGGTAATTCGTCTTGCTTTTTTGAAATTTGAAAAGAGTCACAATGCATTCGCCTGATTCGGTAAACCTCGGTTGATTCTGTCACCATTTCCCAATCAGCTGATGCAATTTATACAAAAATGTTTCATTGTAGTTTTATTTGACATATAAAATGTGTCAACCTTGTCAAAATTTACCTTAGATAAAAAGAGTAATCATTAGTTTTACACCAAATAATTTCTCCCATGACTTTTTGAAGATCGTTTTCTGCAGCTAGACAGCCATGTTAGGTGCCCGCTGTAAATATCACACCTGGTTAATTATGCCCGGGATGTTTGACCCCATTATTCAGTAGCCAAAAATCCCAACCTACCTACCCTTGATCATATTGATTTTCTTTTTTGGAATGTTACAGGAATTACAGGAAATTAATATATTTTAATTTTTTTGTGTGTTTTTTTTTAGGCCAGATTATCTTTTTTAATGTAAAATCATTGATGTTCTTAATTCTGTACTGACCTACTATAGAAGGACCTGTATTATTATTGATTTAAATGAGCATGAAAAAGAAATTTAATCCTTCTTTTGATTTTAGCTTGTTGATCTTCATTTTAGCCTGTAGATTTTATATGTACAGGCTAAAATTAGCCTGTGGTTAAAAAAGTTAATTTCGATCCCTGGCATTTCCAAATTCTATTGACAATGATAACTGCAAGCTTCTCCTTAAAGATGGTTTTCTTTTCAAAAAAGAAAAAGAAAAAGAAAAAAGTCTTTGAAAAAAGTTTTCTCATTTTCTTGTCTATTTCATCATCAGAATAAAGATGATTAAAATTTAATCAGATTTTGTACATGAAAGATGTAACTGATTCATAAATCTCAAGATAAGATATTTGAGGTACATGACATTACTAAATAAACTTACTATTTTAAAGGGAGTGTTTTTGGCCTGGATTTTGAATGTTCCCCCCAGATCCTTGTCAGCTTCCAGTTTGAGATCCGAGATTAACACTGCCTCATCTGACACCATTATCTCATTACTCGGAATAGGATTCAGGAAAACATTAGGGAAGTAGAAAGACGCTTTGAAGAGATCCTTTGATATCTGGAATCGCCCAAGGCTTGAGATCATTATACACACGTTATCCTCAGCTAGACTCAAGTTCACAGCTTTTGGGGCCAAGGTCATGTTACTATTTATAGTACTGTTGTCTACATTAGAGTGATTGGCTAGGTCCTGTATTCTAATGGTTGGGTCCTCCAAACTGTTCTCATCAGCAGGAGTAATTATTTGGTAGATATCATTGACAAGACAATCTGAAAATTTATTTATGGAAATAAAGTAATCAAAATCAACTTCTTTGCAAAAATGTATCATACATCTTGAAGAAATACAAAAAAAGGAAAAAAAAGGTACTCCAATTTAACATTGTTATCTTCCTTAAAGTATGAACAAGTTTTATTACTTACATTTAGGACTGAAGCTGAGCGTGAAGTTGAGAGTGCCACTGCCCTTATATCTAAATCTGACATAATTCCAGTCTGTGATTACTGGGGACTGGATGTCAATTTTACACTGAGTCTCATTCTGACAGTTTACAGCATTGTCTGTGGAGGGCAGGCTACCAGTTGAGGTGTCCACCAGTACAGAACAAGCATCACTTGTCGAGTTTCCTTTCTCCTCAGTACAATCACTGAGCTCCACAAAGTAGGCGTACATATTGTCTGACAACCAGAACCTGGAATAAAGAGAAATGTACACACTAAGCAGCTATTTAATTCTTTTTTTCTGTTTAAAAACATTACATATTTACTTTCCTATAAAACCATCTGACACAGATAATAATAATGCCCTGCTCTCCTTGAATGTTTCCGACTTACAGTCATCTAATACTACCCCCTGGTGAGCCTGTATGTCCCTTACCTGACAGTTTTGTTTGGCCCTTCTGACCCCATGATACTGATATCTATCCTGTCTTTGATATCCACGATCTTGATATCTTCCTGGACGGCCGTGATAACTCGCACTCCGTACCCATACACACATTTCTTCTCATTAACTCCCTGTCATTATAACAGTATTGACACATGTAATATGATGTTCAAGTACTTACATGTAAATATATATGTAATACAATGCTTTCTCTCTTAACAAATTATTCAGATCACTACTAATGCAGTTAATGAATAACTTTTCTTACAGTAAAATAACTGTCCTTACATTACAATCCATGCAACTTATATTTATAAGTGTCAAAGAGCTACATGTGCAGCTTCACTATCTTAAAAAGGGCATTAAATTTATTTATAACAATATACTTAGAGTAGGAAATGAATTTTAAAGAAATATGGGTATACACTTTTGCACTGAGTAAGACATTTACATATCATGCCTTGGTACATTTCTAACAAGCGCTGTTTATCTTCACCACAAACCTTTTGAGTGATCTTTTCATCGGATTTCTTTGGTAAAAACGCTGAGATGTACCAGGTGCCTGACTGCGGCGCTGGTAAAACTAAGACAGATGATTGGTTGTTAGTGATGGAGATGACATGGTGTTGTAGTGTCGTCCTCAGGTGGAACTTATCAGGGAAGGACTCGTTATAAGGGGTCCCAATAGGGTATCCTCCCGGACGTACATATCTAAATCAGAAAGAAGTCTACATGTAGGGGTCTCATTACAGAATGTTCATTTTTTGGCTTTTAGAAAATTGCCTCTAAGTAAAAAAAAAAAAAAACCCAAAATGTTTTGAACTATCTTGTGCTTCAAATCAAAGAAAAATATATTCCAATGATATGTATTTTTCGGTCTAAAACAATGAATATGATTCATATAAAATAATTTTTTTTAAACTTGAAATTTCCTTGATCACATTTACAGAGGTTCACGTACACATTAACGGTTTTATGAGGACAGCTGAGATCTGAGGCAGAACTCCGGATGTCAATTAATGCACTGGCTGCATTAGGGGGAATGTTTACCGACGTCAGACCAGCGGACTGGTAACCTCTGTAATCGCTCATCTGAACCAGCACCGTCCATGATACTGTGGTGGAATATACTGAAAAAAAAACAAGAGGTAAAAAAAAATATTATTATTATTAAAATACAAAAATTGGCCATTTATTGTTTCTTTCAACTTTGCTTACATTACAGGTGTATTCTTGGTTTTGTTAGTAAAAGAGTCAAATTGTATAAAGACCTGCTACATATACATGTACAAAAACAACAACAACAACAAAAAAAACTGGTGGTTCTGATATTAACGACCTTCCTACTCAGTACTGTATACTATATTATATAAAAAATAGGACAAAATCCCACAGGTAAATGCTTATGGCAATAGATTTTTTTAATTTGCAATTAAAGAAAAACTTGATTGGTTCATTGTGAGATCTATAATCATGATGATATTAGTTAATTCTGGGAAATGCGCTACTTTCTCTATCCTCACGTTTTGATAATGTATATCAAAATTTCTTTCTAACGATTGACATGTGTTTATTTAATAAATAATCATGTTTATAACGATATATTCCCCTAAATGGCATAAGTAGAGGCCTGTACCATAAACATTGTTCGTACATAGCTAGTTTTAATTCAATAATTACCTACATTCCACGAAACATTTAACAAGGGTCAGAAGCTTCAGAGTCGTCCATCTTTTAAACAAAAAGTTTTACAGAATCAATACTGTACAATGTATAAAAACAAGCATGTTTACTTACGTTCAGTTGAGGAACTATTGAACAAAAGAAATAATACAGTCAAACAAACATATCCCCCTTTCATAGCAAAACCGGAAGTAAACAGAAGTATGTCGAACCCGACTCGTTAAACTAAATATAATTTATTTTGTTGCAAATAACGGTACAGTATTATCTCAGGTCGATTTTGTTTACAGCTTTATTTTTGGAGCTTAATTTTTATTTAAAAAATAGACTGATTAGACTTTTTTTTTCATTCCAAGGACTTAAACTTGTTCAGAAGGTAAACCATGATGACGTCATTTTCTAAACAGTCATGTGACGTATGTATGCCGAGGAAAGAAGATGGTTTGCTGCTGTAGGCCTAAAACAAGAACTACAAAGGTGAAACCACTTAATGTAAGATATGCACGTTGCATAACAATATCAACAACTAAAATTCGACCAACGAATGATGCGGGGGGGGGGTTGATAGATAGATAGATTGATTGTAATGTATGTTGTTTAATGCCCCCTCTCGAGAATTTTCCAACGTTATAGATAAATAGGGCCTACTCTTTATAACAAGAGATTTTTCTCGCTTTTTGTAGGGAATAGAGACGTATTTTCTTACTCTTTTTTCGTAAAAGCTGTCCAAAGTAAATTCTACGTTTAAAGTCACCTTCGCGCGTAGGTTTCGAAGAAATTGGCCAGGCGCGGATCCAGAATTTTTTTCCGGGGGGGGGGGGCACCCCAGTCAAAAAACCTATTTCGTGGAAGGGGGGTGGGTAAGCTATGACTTCTATTACCTCAAATCTTCTATTTTTCATACCAATTTCACACCTATTCGCGTTTACCAGGGAGGTCAGCGTAATCCAGGGGGGGGGGGGTCCATGGTAACTTCTTTTCTGGCTTTAGTATATACATTTTTTATCCTTGTAAATTCCAGGGGGGGTCCTGACCCCCCCCCCCGACCCCCCTCTAGATCCGCGCACGTTGGCACAAAAACAAACCAAACAAACATTAATGGATTTGTTCCAATTTTCTCTTACTTTTAAGCAGAAACTGCATATTATAGACAAAGACAATATATATGGGTCCTCTGTTTCGATTTTTTACTCTGGATACTTTCACTGAGAAAGTATGAAGTATAGAGAAGACAAATATAGTACTCAAGCTCAAAAGTCCATTTAAACAATATAATTTGGAACAGAACAAGTAATAAATACAAGTTGTAGCAGAGCAAACACGGACTTCTAAAACAGTCGACCCATCACACCCGCTATGTGCACTTTTGATGATTGGGCAAACGGTAAATTTCATAGGAAATTCAGTGTGTAAAGACTAAAGAGTACAATTCTCTGTTATCCTTTGACATTCAGTAAGACGTGACATTCTCGACGTTACTTAATCACCCCTGTCAACGCGCGATCGGCAACGCTGATGCGATCGGCCCGGCAACGCAGATCAAAACATTGAAGAAGAAAGTATTGTAGGGGGTAAATTTAAATAGTTTTGTATGTGCTGGAGTGTAACCAGCTGAAAATAAAATTAGAAAACATTTAATTTAGATAATTATCTACAGTTTAGGATTTACCGAGAGTAAATTTGTTTCACAGTTTCTGTGCAAATGCTACCGATCAAATCGACAATGTTCAAAATATCAGATTTTCATGCTTTGAAATAGTTTATTGTTGTTATTACCTACGAACATTTGCTGCTTTTGTTATGTAACGGTTCTTGCAAGTATGAACTAAATGATTTTAAAATTAAAACTACATACATTATCTTAAAACAAATTTTATCTGGAAAATTTGACAACCGCGAGGCGATCGTCAACGACATGTATCTTTTTATGAAGCGATCGTACAACATAGAAAGAGCGATCGTACAACACACGAAATAAGAATAGCACAAATCAGAAAATCTTGTTGTCAAAAGTTTATTTTGATATACAATAGATATTTTACATTTAAATTAGGCAATCAGTCATTGTTATATACCTTTTAAACTCTTAAAATTGTCCTCCATTAATAAAAGAAAAAATTGAAATTAACTACATAGATTAAAGAGATAAAATTGAAAAAGAGTTTGATGGCTAAAAAAATGTAAAGTAGAAAATTTACCTCAATTTTCATAACAGTGTCACCCCCCCCCCCCCAAAAAAAAACCTAAATATCTGAGATGGTTTATCATGCAAAGTGTAAGTAAAGGAACATTTTCTAAACTCAAAATTCAATTTTCGGAAATGTGTTGTGTGGGAAGGAGGAAGGGGGTGTTATGGTTCAAGTTCTTGAACGACCAAATTTTATCCAAAAATTTCTTGCTGCCTTACCTGGATTTGACTATATACTGCAAAAGGGGGACAACCAGTCTATTGGTTTAGCCCCCCCCCCCCAATTTCAAATTGCCCCCCCCCCCTTCAATTTGCTTTTTACGCCTATGAAAGTAAATTTTTTCACCCCACCCCGATTCTACACTGTACATGTACGTGCATGATATTGAAATTGGCAATTAATTTTTAAAAAATACTACTACTAATAATAATAATTAAAAAATATATTGTAATACATAATGATGTTATATTAACACGTGCGTGTACAACACATTTTTACTGAAAACATTCGGTAAAATTGCTAGGTATTCAAATTCCTTTGATCGTTATTTTTATAGTATTAATACATATCTTTTTTATTTCCTGAAAAAAATTCAGTTTTTGATATGTATGCAAACTCCTGTAATTGAACTGCCATTTCATAGACAATAAAACTTTTTTTTTTTCTTTATTGCTAAAATTCGGTCCTATAACACTCTATAGGTATCTGTTTTAAGAGGTAGTCCACTGAAAATCAGGCAATGGGTGGCACATCGCATGTCATGGATTTTTATTAATTTTTGCATATAGACTTATTAAAGCAAGTGTTTACACATGACAATATCAAAAAAATTTTTAGTGCTCCTCTAGTCCTATTTTTGGTAAGTGCTCAATTTTAAGTGCAAAAAGGTCAACATGTGTTTAAAAAAAATTCATGTTTTTATTTTGTTTTATATGTACCAGATACGCAAAACCTGGATGTGTCTATAAATATTATTTATACCATAGACTCTTATCTTTAGTTTTAGTAATTAAGACTCCAATTTATATTTATTTAGAAAAAAATATGTGGTCCAAAATTGAGTTTAACAAAAAGTTTTACAGAATTCATTATCCAATTTTCATTACGTTATAAAACCCAATACATTTCAATGACAGATTTTTTTTCTCATGTTATTATGAATACAAATAAAACAGTCACTCAATAAAATAGTGGGCCCCCGTATATAGAGAGAAATAAAAGGAGTCAAATTTACCTATGTTTTACAATTTTTCAAATAACGGTACAGAATTATATAAAGAAGGAAATTTAATTGTAATGTTAAATTTGGCTCAATTTTTATATAAAAAATTACTTGATTTATTTTTTTACATGTCCAAGGACTGGCAACTTGTTTAGTTTTATAACTTTACACTTCTTGCATTATTTTCAAACAGTCATGTCGGTTTTATTTCGAGGAAAGAAGATGGTTTGTTTTTACCGTAAAACTAGAAATATTTTGCATTTAATGTATTAAAAAAAAATATGCTGGTCTTTTAACTGTTCAGTTAGTCAACTGTTTTAAAATTATTTTATCCATGGATTCAAATGTTTATACAATGTATTTAAAGTATTAATGTCTTTTACGAACATGAAGATTACAATCATGTATAACATCTGTTCGATTTCTTGATACTCGGTATTAAAAAATCAAAGTATTTGTACATGCATTATGCAACAACTGAGAGTAAACAGCTTATCTTATTTCCAACTAAAGTTTTTTTTTTAATTCTCTCGTGATTTAAAGAGTTCAATTCTATCATTGGCGAAAATATACTTGCACTACCTAAATGCTGAAAATTTTTAAATGTGCACAGTCTCGGCTTTATCCAAATTTTTTAAACCTGTCATCTATAAAAGCCATTTCCCCTATATTTTCATCTTATAAAATTTAATTTTATATTAATAAGAAAATAAGTTATTTCATGTATAGTATTATTATTTAAGAGCCTAGAAATCGCAAGCAAAAAGCCGGGACGGGGGGGGGGGGGGGGGGGGGCAAGGCGGTAACTTCTTTTTAAAAAATATACATTCATTAACCCTGGTAAACGTCAATGTACAGAAAAATACAACGTCACTGCGAGATTAAAACGACGTCACAATTTCCTTGACATTATTTTGCGGGCTTTTCAATATTTCGGGTTAACGCTAAGTGCGCGTCTTTTACAGGAATGTGTATAGGGGGTTTATTCGTTTGCGTTATATGAACAAACTATGAAGAAGTTCTATATTTATACAATTTGCATTAATTCTGATTATTTTATTAAGATTTTTTCAATTAGTTTTTTTTTATGTAATTCTAATAAAATCAAACTGTTAAACGATTGCGAGAAATGAATAAACATCAAATCAGACGCAGATTCAAAACAGTGTGATATACAATGATTATCATTATTTCTAAATTTTTGAAAGTAATTGTAAGTATAATTAAATAAAATTGAAAAAAAAGTATAGACCAATTTAAAGGTAATTTATATTCCTAATTTTATATGTATTCTCCATCTGCATGCATTGCAATTTCTCACGTTGTGCGGTCTAAAAAACAATAATAGAAATTCAAATATTTGACATGTCTTTTGGCGCACAGATTTATCGCTTTCATCAAAAAATGAATAAAAACCAAAATTAAATTATACAAGAAAAAGTTATTATTTTTAAAGAAAAATTTCCTAACATAATAACTTTGACCAATGAATTCAAATTATTTATCGAAAACATTCATTCTATAAAATCTAAAGAAAATAAAATCTCTTCACATCCCAATTTTATAAGAAATATTCAATATAAACAATTAATTATTTGTACGCATAGTTTAGTAAATCAGTTTAAAAAAATGTTCAAAATATCGGACATGTACAAAATTACTTTTACGAACAGCTTTTGTTATGTAACGGTTCGCAAGTATGAACTAAATGATTTTAAAAAAAATACATTTTATATAAAAATATATGACAACCGCTATTTAACATGTAGGATAATGCACTCTGAAAAGTAACTGACACAGAAAAAGAGAAATTATTTATTTTTAATAGTTTTATTTTGATATGCAAAGAATTTACATTTAAATTTGGAAAACTTGTAACTATTTTATATACCTTTTAATATTAGTAAAATTGACCTCACATAATAAAAGAAAAAATAAAATTCTTCACATCCCAATTTTAAAGAAATATTCAATATAAACAATTAATTATTTGTACGCATAGCCTAAGTAAAAGTTTAAAAAATTTTACATGTACAAAATTTTTTAACTGAGACACCCCCCCGTGAAAAAAAACATTTTATATAAAAATATATGATTATTTAACATGTAGGATAATGCAAGTGAAGAGTAACTGAACAGAAAAAGAGACATTATTCATTTTTAATCTTTTTCTTTGCGCTTTTATGCAAAGAATTTACAAACTTCTGTGGAAAACTTGTAACTATTTCATTGTGACGAAATATTAGTCAGGTATATGACGTCACTGATACATCAATGGAAACGTGGATTCAACCTGAATAATACTGCCAATCTTAATCTAAATATTACGTTTGGAGGCGAAAATGAATTTCTATATTGAAAATAAAGTAGTAATTTTTTGTTAAATAATTTCATTTTGTGTATATATTCTAAATATTTCACTAGGATTTCGATAGTAAGGTGTTTAGCAGATTTACCGTACATGCCACGGCATAATATTGACATCGCAAAATTTCATAAAAAATCTCTATATTTTGAATAATAATTATCAAAAGTATTTTGTAATACATAATTTTATTATTGAAACTGAAAGACGTAAATACACATTTAGTTCAGCATGAAAATAGTCCTGTAAAATAAGTATTCAAATTCCTTTGATCGTTATTTTTATAGTAAATTCAATGGTTTATATTATTTCCTGAAAAAAAAAAGGATATTTTACTAAATAAGCAATTTTAAAACAAATCTTCGATTACATTATTCCATTTGGACTACATTGATATTGTTTTCAATAAAATTTTTATTCGTCACATTCGCTAATGTGCCGCCTATTAATACAACCCTGCCTGGTTTTTCGGCGGACTGCCTCTTAAACAATAATCAAATAATATCAAGTTTTAGGGTTCCATGGACTTTTAAATTTTGTTCTCTTAAAATACGGACATTATTCAACTAATATACAAGAACGTCAGTTGAATTCGCTCTTTCCCTCTCGAAAGCAAATGCTCGATAACTCGTTCCATTTCGACAGACTTTCCACCCATACCACATGGCTATCTATTACTTTATTTCATTAAAAGTATTTTATAAATTTCAAGTTGCACGATTTCTTTGTTGTACGATCGCATATAGGGTCGTTGCCGATCGCCAAAACGTTTGGTATGTGTTCACTTCAAACTGTTATTTCAACGCTTTCTATTTGATGAAGAACTTAAAATCGGATTGAACATTTATGATTTACCTATTTACAATGCAAATGTGCCTTTTGGACTTTCGGGTATACGTAATAAGGTAAGAAATACCACTTAAACGAGCTTCATGTGTCACGTTTACGGTTAGGGCTGTCACGTTCAAGGAAAACTTAACTTTAACATAATATATGGTGATTTTTAATGCGTAGAGGACTTTTATGGTGTTAAACATGTCTAGTAGCATTTAAAAAGTCAGAAATGTTGAAGGATAATTGCGAGGAAATAGGACAAAATAATGTTTTATTTAACCTCATCTTCCTCATGTAGTTGAATTTAACTATCCGCGTTGCCGATCGCGCGTTGACGGGGAAGTTAATTAGCGTCTGAAATTTACGCAGCCTTTCATTCACTGTTCGGGCGAATGTCAACGAGTGTACAAGGAACCAATCACAGCGTTTCGTACGGCAGATAGGCGGGGCTTAAGTCATCTCAACGTTGTCAACAACAATTTAAATTGCTGATGTTATTAATTTCTTAACAAATGAGAATTTGAGAGGCGCTAATAACGTAGCTTTAAGAATGCCACACCTCATTGAAAGTCCTAGGTTGACAGATAATTTTACTGATGGTCTAAATATCTTGGAATCAAAATTATCGTTCAGCATAAAATTTAGTTAATGTAATTTAACATCCTGACAAGCCTACCGTATCGACCATGGAACATGCGAAATAATAGCTGCAATAATGTAGCCCTCTCTGATTTTTTTTATCTGATGTTTTCTGGAGAGGGCTACAATTCCACAGCATCTCTGTAATGGTGCAAAAATATTTTTAAGATACGGGGGACGGCAGGCAGAAAAAATAGTTTTTATATTCAACTTACATCTAATTAGACGAGATTTTTATTCACTGTCGACAACATAACCCGTTAAACGCGAAAAACATGTAAAATAAATCTTCGCCAAGTTCGTGTTTATCTTCAACAGCCATGACAGTTCACGCGTGACGTACCGAGACTTGCGCTTGAAATTTAAAAAAACTAAATAAAGCAGGTTTCGGTGTTTATAAGTAATTGTGATGAATAGTATCACTAAACATCGATAAATAAAATCACTCCATGTGTTATTTTTCCGTAAACAGCGATATTTAGGCTTAAAATAAGGTAATTCCAAAGAAATCCGCTCCTTATAGATCCTTAATCTCGTTGGCTGTCCCAGAATAAAATCTGTCAAGGTCAGTAAACATGGCGGATAAATTTAAGTTGTGATGTTGACATACACGAAAAATAATTGATATATGGATTGTTCTGTATATTTTTGGATTGATTTATGTCTTGGATAACTGCATTTTTGGAGTCAAGGTAAGAAATGTTAATAAAATAGCCATTTACTAACAATTTGAGCCGAAATCCGTGCGGGAGCGAATCGCTTCCGCAGCTGCACCATTACGGTGATCCTAAGGAGTTGTAGCCCTCTCCCAAAAAAAAAAAAAAAAGGAGGGAGAGGGCTACATTATTGCAGCTAGCGAAATAATGACTTTTAACGAGAACGTTGATATCCTTGCTTCGTCAACTTGTTTGCCAATAGCTTGCCTCGTTAAAACGTAGAGCATGGTCATGTGTATCGAATCACAGGGAGACACACACCCCATATTCAGATAATAAATAAATATATCGCTACACAAGTAAGAAAAGCTGACGATGGGAAAAATAGAGTCATCACCTTTAACATCACGACTTGCGTTATCATTAACCTCTTTTTCTATCAAAATATCGAAACTAAATATGAAAATTATTCCATCATTTGTCAGAATCTGTGGTATCTATTGGGATAAAATAATATTATTGAGAACATTTATTAACACGTTTTAGGCTGAAGAAGATGAAGAATTACCCGAGTTAGATGACGGACCAATCGTTGACAGGCAATGCCGTGACGTCATTTTTCTCATCATCTTTGTCCTGTATATTGGTGGCATGGTAAGAATTTACCCCTCCCTGTTTCGTAATTTTCTTACTTTAACCGTCCTGTAATCACTGAAAAGCCCCGATACACTGCCTCTATCTTGTCCCGCTAATTCCTATATATCTACTCCACCTCAGTTCAGAATCAGATTTAAATCACTCCCGGCTCAGTTTGTTTGTAGTACCCATCCATATGTTGTATTTGGTTTACCATCTATCCTACGTCTCTCTGGATGACGTTTGTGCATGTTCCACTTTACTGTCTTGTGGAAAATAAATGTTTGCTGTTCTTTTTTTACGTAATACTTGGACTAAGTTGGACCCCAATAACTGTTAAGACCCTGTCACACCGACCTACGTTTACACGGAGTCATTACGGCGTTGTAAAATTTTTAAAATCGCCGTGGAATCGCAGGAAAATTGCACAAATTTCTGTAAAATTTTCACAATGTGAAGATGTCACAGCGTTCCTACGGCGACGGTCGCGATTCTACGTCGGTCTCATGGCGTTCTACTGCGTTCCCACGGAGATCTCTCGGCGATTGACTGTGCTTCCGCGGAGTTTTCACGGCGCGTTAGGAGTTTTCACCTCGTGTTCACGGCGTTCTCACTGCGTTGGCTGCGTTCACAATACGTTCACAATGCATTCTATACTCATTGATATATTTTCAGCAAGAATGTAAAACATTTTTGTTTAAAGATTCAAGTTACACGATGAAAAGACTTCTAATCATGCCAAGAAAAATTCTTAATACTAGTAATTAAAAATGTTCTATTTAAATAATTTAGTACTAAATTATTTATACTTTTATGATTAAACTCCTTTTTTTCATTTTTATCGGTTCAGATGTGTTGTTAAAATTTCTTTGATTTTATTATGAACGTAAAAAAAGTAAACACACTGAAAAGTTTTCTACAGAATTTAAGTGAAACAACAGAGCAAGTTCTGGTGTAATTTTCTCTTCCAGGTTTTACTTAAATGCTCCTAATGAATCAAATACGTTGGAATTATGATCCCATTGCTCTTGTTTTGTGAGCTGCCTGACAACGCTCTAACAACGCCGTGAAAGCGCATTGTGATCGCCAACGGACGCTGTAGAAACGCCACGGGAGCGCAACGATCGCAGTGACAACTCCGTGCTGTCGCCGTGTCATCGCAGTCGAAAAAATCACAAGACGATAAATCTCATTAGAAGCGCCGTAGAAACGCGATAGAAACGCAATGACATCTCCAAGGACTCCGCGACATCTCCGTGAGGTCTCCGTGGAAGCGCAGTCTTCTATACTGCGTTCGTGCCGCGATCATGTGCGTCTTCACGGCGTTCGTACGGAGCTCCCACTACATTGTTGGAGATCTCACCGCGCTGCTACGGCGATCATACTACGTTTCTACTGCGTTCTTATCAGACCGCGATCACACGGCGCGTACTTTGTGCATGCCCAAAGTGATCGCCGTCCTCTGACGTTCTAGGAGACCCTACGCGACCCTACGGCGTTCAATGCAGATCTCAACCCCCTTTCTTTTCATCTTACCTGTATAAGATCTTGTATAAGTTGCATGTTGTTTCTTGAAATCCATGAGGCAGGGTGCTTTGCTCTTACAATACAATTAAGCTAAAACTTCAACGTTTCTACGTACACTCTGAGTTTATCTTATTACAGGGTTATGTTGCGTACCGCGGGATTTCTCAGGGAGACCCCTACCGTCTGATTTACGGCGTGGATAGTTGGGGTAATATCTGCGACAAAGAAAACGCGCCAATTCCCGGAGTTTCTTTGTCAGGCAGGAACATGGTGGGGAAAATGTAAGTCGTAAAAACCTTTTAAATTTTTGCTTCACATATAAATACAGTATATTCTCAAGTTTTATTGCTGACAGTTTAATTCCTATTCTTTCATTCCCAGGAGGACCTTGCACCTTGACCCTAACTACTACATGACCTTACTGACCACACACTTTGTTCCGTCGATAAGTAACGATCCTGACATTGTCATCTGTTTGTCCTTCTGTCCAAACGAGACGCTAGGGTCGGCATCAGACGCGGACGCATACATGACGCGTACCAACATCAGCCTGTGTCGCTATGACACCGCGTCTTACGTCAGCGATAACGATGTTTGTCTCACTCCAGTCTCGCCACAGTACGTAGACCATAAAGCTGATCCAATTAGATCAAAATTTAACTTTCTTAAGTGGAAATATGGAATTAATATTTCACCAATTTTCTTGTAGTACTAGTGTGTTTTACCGTTGTATTCCCGATAATGTGGTGACCATGATCAAAGGAATGTCCGGGTCTTTTACATCTCTGCTTAACGGCATCTCCGGGGGGAGTTTCACTCAGGTAAAAATAACAATTCCCTAATTCTCCACGTTCTCCGACAACTAAATCCTACATAGACGAACAAAGAATATTTTAATTGAAAATAATAGTAGTACTCCAAAAAAGCAGCTTATAATATATGACAAATTTGTTTGCTTTGCAGAAAGTCATCTCTGATCTGAAAAACACTTGGGTAGAAATGTTGTATCTTGCTGCAACAGCTTTTGGTAAGTGGCGACTTTACATGCAAATATCAGGCACGTAGCAACGGGGGGGGGGGGGGGGGGGGGGGTTAGGGGGGCCTGGCCCCCCACTTTCTTCCCAATATTACCTTTACTATTGAAAATGTCCATTGAAAGGTTGGTTGGCCCCTCACTTCTTACCACAGTATAGTGATATCAAGGAAATGTAGTATTGTATGCAAAAAAAAATTGGAAGTGGAAGGAAATTGGCCTTGAAAAAAGTTGGCCACCCCCCCCCCCCCCCCCCCCCCCCCCCCCCGCCCGCCCCTCACGAAATAGGATTTCGTGGTTTGGGCAATTTAATTTTTTTTTTTGCTTGTTAACTATTACAGGTAAGTAAAAAAAAATTCTATGGTTGCCCCCCCCCCCCACTTTAAAAAACGATGCTACGTGCCTGAATATTGGTAATTTATGTCATATCCACGTGGTTCTAATGATGTGGCTTGGTCTATTACAACAGGGACTTCTATTCTGGTGGTGGTCTTAATGTGGCTTCTAGCGGCTGTCATCATCTGGATGCTCGTGTTCACCGTCATTATCTTCTCTATAGGAGCCACCGGATATTGCTGGTGATTTGCCATACTATTTCAAAGATATTTAAAATATCAAAATTCATGTTGCCTAGCAGGCGCGTACCCAGGCATACCTTTGTACGCACAAACATCCACATCATTTTCGAAAAAAAATAGAAAAGAAAAAGAGAGAGAGAGAGGAGAAGAGAGCGAGATAGGCGTAATATTGTAAAGCGTAGTCATCATTTTTGCAAAATATCATTAGTATATTATAATTTCAGAAATAAAAAAAAATACTAAGAAACAATTTAGAATTAACGAAAAAAAAGATAAATGAAAATCAACAGAATCAGTTTGGGGGGGGGGGGGGGAAATACGATATTATACACCTAACTGAAATCAAAAGATTTTCCCGGATTTTGGTTTACTATCGAATATTGCTGATTGTTTTTATGCGCCCGAATTTATTCGGGGCGCATATTGTTTTTGTCCTGTCTATCTGTTTGTCTGTTTGTTGTCAACTTTAACCTTCGCCATAACTTTTGAACCGTGAGACTTCATATTTGGTATGCATACTCCACTAATTAAGCACTTTCAACCGACACCAAGGTCAATAACCTTGTAACCTTGACTGTGACCTTTATACTAAAAATAGCGTTTCGAACTTTCGCCATAACTGTGACCTTTATACTAAAAATAGCGTTTCGAACTTTCGCCATAACTTTTGAACCGTGAGAGATAGAGACTTCATATTTGGTATGCACACTTCACTAATTAAGTACTTTCAACTGACACCAAGGTCAATGACCTTGTGACCTTGACTGTGACCTATATGCTAAGAATAGCTTTTTTCGAATTCTCGCCATAACTTTTGAACCGTGAGAGATAGAGACTTCATATTTGGTATGCGTACTTCACTAATTAAGCACTTTAAACTGACACCAAGGACAATGATTGTGTGACCTTGACCGAGACCCATTTGCTAAAAATTGCTTTTTTAGAACTTTGTTGCCGCCGGGCGCATAGTGTTTCACAAACACATCTTGTTCCAAGTGTAATTATTCTTAAAGAGTTTCTCTATTGTAGATTGCACAGAATTAAACCACAGTCGGTTCCCTTAAAACAATCGATAGTTTTATCTAATGCCAAAAATTTCAATTTCTATTAATGGAAATTAACTTCCAACCGCAATGCTTAACTTCTGTAACGATACACCCCCTCCCCCCCAAAAAAATTAACCTAATATGGGATTCATGCGAGACTTAAAAAATCATAATTCAGCTTTATATATGAACATCAAAAATCGAAAAATTGGTAAAATTCAGTTTAACCTTAAAAATAATAAGGCCTGTTTAAGTATTGACATCCGTAATACATTGTACTACCTTAAAACCAATAGTATATTTCGTGGTCTGTCTAAACCAGTCAACCACTCTAACCAACTGTCGTACGTTACCATAGTTACCATACGTATTTTGTCGAGCTTCAAAAGTCTAAAATTGTTTTAGTGGGTTCGCTTTTGGACAGATCTTTTCTCATTTTTAAGTTACTGTCCGCATTTTGTACAAGGGAAGAACAGACCTTAAATTTGGCTGCGTAACAAACCGAAAAAGATAAGAAAAATGCTATCAGAAGGGTCAAACATGCACATCGAAAATTCACCAGCTTCCAGGGGCTTTGCATTAAGGCGGCCCCCAAACCCCCAGCCTATCCAGGCGTCCACATCAAAAGAACCCTGGCTACGCCCCTGCCTAGAAATGTTGATTTGTTTTCTGAAGGTACTACTGGTATCACTTTGATAAGAGATACAAGGGTCTTAGTGCAACAGAACAAACAGAAGCTGAAAAAGAGAAAACACAGACTTGGCTTATCTATGCTGCAGTCGGCAGTGGAGTTACGGTAGGTATAATGCTGAGATCGCCATTGAAGTAACGGTAGGTTTGTATGTCGCGGTCGCCATTGGAATAGCGGCAGATATCTATGCTGCGGTCGCCATTGAAGTAACGTAGGTTTGTATGTCGCGGTCGCCATTGGAATGGCGGTAGGTATCTATGCTGCCTTCAGCAGTGGAGAACAGCAGGTATCTATTCTGCGATCGCCGGTTGAGTAGCCTATCTATGCCGCGTTCGACCGTTAAAACAAGAATTATCCATGCTGCGGTCACAAGAGGAGAAACGGTATATCTATGCTGCGGTTGCCAGTTGAGTAAGGGAAGGTATTTATGCCGCGGTCGCCAGTGGAATAACGTTATTTCTTTCACTAAAACGTGTTAACTTTTTATCTAATGTTTTTTAAAAAATGTAAAGTTGTATGAACGCTTGAAGTTCTAGCGACAAATGCATTTATCTAGATCTTTAGTAAAGGCTAGAGAGCTATGACAATAAGACAGTAATCGGCCGTTTTTAACTTTTACAGTTGATACTGCTGCTTGTGTTGCTCATCATGAGAAAGAGAATACAGCTGGTGAGGTTCTGAATATATTACACTTGTATATGTATTTATAAATGTAATTTAGTGCTAATTTGATATGAGAACATGATTGATCAGTGCATTAAACACCATTGCACAGGTAGTGCAGCTATTCAAAGAAGCGGGGAAGGCATTGAAATGTGTGCCCTGTCTGCTACTTCAACCCGTCTGGGTGAGTACTGCAGTGACGTCATCAATTGTGTCTTTTTCATGGAGAAAATTATTTATTCTATTTTATTATTGATATATATATATCATCTCCAAATAAGTTATACCCAGCTAAGAGACCCGTCTCCTCATGTTTAGTTATGTGGCGGTCAGCCGGGTTCGATCGCCGGTGGCCAGATAGCTCAGTTGGTAAAGCACCTGAGTTTCAGGGGCCCAGGGTTCGAATTCCGGTCTGGTCCGCTGCATTTTCTCCTCTCCCGTTACATTTGGTGCCGTGCCATGCCCTGGAAATGACAGGTGAAGGACCTGCCAGGGAGCCTGGGTTGGGGTCTTTGGAGGGCCAAAGACCTTTAAGGAGGGAGGAATGTGGCGGTCAGCCGGGTTCGATCGCCGGTGGCCAGATAGCTCAGTTGGTAAAGTTTCAGGGTTCGAATCCCGGTCTGGTCCGCTGCATTTTCTCCTCTCCCGTTACATTGATTATTAACAGACGCTGCTGATACTGATTGGGACTGTGGTGGCGCTAGCTGTGATAGCGGTGTATATTGAGACTTCTGGTAAGCCAATACATAATAGAGCCATTCCATTCTTCTGTTAAATTCCTAAACATGGATACTAGTTATAACACAAGTATTTCTCATTATCGTCTTTCAGGACTACCTGTAGTCAACAACCAAACCCAGACAGTGACTTACGAGATGGAGGGGGCTTGGCAGGTAATGGTCATGTGACAAACCACATGATCAGTCTCGCTAAAAAAAATTACTATCTGGTATGGATGAATTTCTCAGAAAAAAAATCCCTCCACAAACCATAACTGGTATGGTTGTTTCATTTTTGTAGTATGTGCGATGGTACCAGATCTTTGGCCTTTTGTGGATCACTGCTTTCATTATTGCATGTCAAGATTTCGTCATAGCAAGTGCCATTGCTACTTGGTATTTCAAAAGGTACCTTAATCAGAAAATCGTTCCTTTTTCAGTTTATGTAAATCTATCTAAATGTTGCAAGATTCGTAATTTTTGTCCGTCTTTCTCCATTTCAGAGACAAGTCTTCCATGGGGTGTCCGATACTGACAGGAATATGGAGAGTTATGAGGTGAAAATATATTAATAAAACACCAAAACTATTTTTGTATTTGTATTTGAGTCGTGTCCATGAGTTTATTTTTGCAGGTATCATATGGGGTCCATAGCTTTTGGGTCCTTCATCATCGCCTTGGTGCGTTTGGCTCGACTAATTCTGGCGTATATTCAGTCCAGGTAAGTCAGTCTCTCATCATTTCTAAATCCCTCACTACATTACGTATAAATTAAAACCTTTGCTTCTTTATTTCTGCAGACTGAGGGATAAGAGCGGTGCTGTTGTGGACTTTATTCTCAAGGTGTTACAGTGCTGCCTTTGGTGTTTTGAGAAGTTCCTCGCATACCTCAATAGAAACGCCTATATTGAAATAGGTAAGTATCGTGTGAATCTCATAAGGCATTGGTTACTTTTAGAAACACACTACTAATACTAGTATTAGCATTAGAATATAAGTAAAACCAGTAAGTTGCTTTTGAGGTGAGGAAATTGATTAATTGTATGTTGAATAACATTCCATTCGAGAATTTTTTTCACGTATAGAGATTTTTGTGAAGGGCTTCAAATTTGTAGTGAAGAAACTTTATTGTGTTAACGCCTGTCATGACATGTGACCTTGGTTTTTAAGGTCTCATCCCAGGGCTCTAACTGGAGACTAATTTAGTCGCCATGGTGCCTTAAGAAATTCTGAATGGCGCCAAAAATTTCTCTATCAGTCGCCAAAATATTGGCGACCATTTTAAAAGAAGACTAACCGATCATCATTTCGAAACTATAAATATTTTCAACATTTTTTTCTCAAGTTTAGATTCAATTGTTCACCTTCTTATTTGTTGCACCTGTCACCAATGGGCTCTTTCTGGGATCATCATGGTACGTCCACATGTCTAAATTGCGCTTGAGAAAAATTTTCCTTGCGACTAAAAATTTTCATTGGCGACTTTTTCTTGATAAGGAGCTAGCTTGCGCCTAAATTTTAGAGGGCTGCAGCCGAAGGACCCGCAACTTTCTCTTTGTAGTGCCAAGCGCTTGGCAAAGGAACAGTTGCTGTCTACTTTTTATCGACTTCAGTCAGTCGCCACCGGGATTTTACCCACAACCTAGTACCAGATCTTTGCCCCATCAAATTTCATGAAAGATAATTTTAAGATATCATTTTTACAGGAAAAAAATAAGAATACTCCTTACTTTGGGTACATTTTTGTTTCCTTTGATTTTTTTTTATAATATTGTTTATTTATCATTATTCCTTTTTAGCTCACCTGAGCCGAAGGCTCAAGTGAGCTTTTCTGATCAAAATTTGTCCGTTGTCTGTCGTCGTAGTCGTTGTTGTCGTTGTAAACTTTTCACATTTTCATCTTCCTCTCAAGAACCACTGGGCCAATTTCAACCAAACTTGCCACAAAGTATCCTTGGGTGAAGGGGATTCAAGTTTGTTCAAATGAAGGGCCACACCCTTTTCCAAGGGGAGATAATCATGAATAAGAGAAAAATTATTGGCATTTTTAAAAAATCTTCTTCTCAAGAATCACTGGGCCAGGTAAGATGAAACTCATGTGGAATCATCCTCAGGTAGAGTAGAATCAAGTTTGTTCAAGTCATGACCCCCGGGGGTAGGGCAGGGCCAAAATGGCCGATCAAAGTTTTACATAGGAATATATAGGAAAAATCTTTAAAAATCTTCTTCTCAAGAACCACTGGGCCAGGAAAGATGAAACTCATGTGGAATCATCCTCAGGTAGTGTAGATTAAAGTTTGTTCAAGTCATGACCCCCGGTGGTAGGGCGGGGCCAAAATGGCCGATCAAAGTTTTACATAGGAATATATAGGAAAAATCTTTAAAAATCTTCTTCTCAAGAACCACTGGGCCACGAAAGATGATACTCATGTGGAATCATCCTCAGGTAGTGTAGATTCAAGTTAGTTCAAGTCATGACCCCCGGGGGTAGGGCGGGGCCAAAATAACCAATCAAAGTTTTACATAGGAATATAAAGGAAAAATCTTTAAAAATCTTCTCAAGAACCACTGGGCCAGGAAAGATGAAACTCATGTGGAATCATCCTCAGGTAGTGTAGATTCAAGTTTGTTCAAGTCATGACCCCCGGGGGTAGGGCGGGTCCAAAATGGCCGATCAAAGTTTTACATAGGAATATATAGGAAAAATCTTTAAAAATCTTCTTCTCAAGAACCACGTGGCCAGGAAAGATGAAACTCATGTGGAATCATCCTCAGGTAGTGTAGATTAAAGTTTGTTCAAGTCATGACCCCCGGGGGTAGGGCGGGGCCAAAATGGCCGATCAAAGTTTTACATAGGAATATATAGGAAAAATCTTTAAAAATCTTCTTCTCAAGAACCACTGGGCCAGGAAAAATGAAACTCATGTGGAATCATCCTCAGGTAATGTAGATTCAAGTTTGTTCAAGTCATGACCCCCGGGGGTAGGGCGGGGCCAAAATGGCTGATCAAGTTTTACATAGGAATATGTAGGAAAAATCGTAAAACAATCTTCTTCTCAAGGAACATTGAATCAGGAAAGATGAAAGTAATGTGAAATTATCATGAGGTAATTTAAATTCAAGTTTGTTCAAGTCATGACAGGGGTTCAAAATTTTTTTTGTCATGGTCAAGTCCAGGACTTAAAGAGTAAATTTTAGGCAAGTCCCAGGAAGAAATTTCAGAGTCCATATTTACCTATACATCATTAAATTTATGTAACTTATAATTTATTTTCATTTGTTGCATTGAATGAATAAAGACTATATGTATTAACATGATTAATATATGTTTTATTTTTCCTCCTTAAACTGTCATATAGTCAATTATTAGTCATACATGAGTATTTCAACACAATACCAGACTGATAGATTACTGGTACATTACAATAACTTTTACAAATATATACTCACTACTAAATAAACCATCTGTTACAATAAATAGATATTAGAATGTGCTGTAAGTCACAGCTAAAACCGAAATTTAACAAACTCAATGCCGTTTGTCATATAGGAGGAAACATGAGAAATTGCGTAAAAGCAAGAGTCTAACCGCAACGGAAAATAAAAAGACGGATTGTATTTTCGAAACGTTCGTAATGTTGTATGGGTATTTTAATGCCCGCAAACCCACATTTTTACTTCATACATTTGAGAATTTGCTTTATTTTTAGCTTTACGATCATTTTTTTAACTTATAAAAAAAAGATAAACAAGAAACATAGCCAAGTCCCAGGACTTTGGTGAATTCTAAATGCCGAGTCCGGATCCGGAATTTGTTAGTCCGGGACGTCGGGCTTGAGGAATTTTGAACCCCTGAATCATGACCCCCGGGGGTAAGGGTGTGGCCAAAATGGCCGACCAAAGTTTTACATAGAATTATATGGAAACCTTTTTAAATCTTCTTTTCAAGCACTTCAAAGCCATGATTAGTAATATTTATATGGAATCATCCTCAGGTAATGTAGATTCTAGTTTGTTCAAATTATGATCCCCTTGGGGGTTAAAATTCAAGCCCCCCCCCCCCCCCCCCCACTTAAGTTAACTTACAGTTCTGATCTGATATGTGTTTTTTTCCTAGCTGATGTGCTCAGGTGAGCGCTGTGGCCCCTGGGCCTCTTGTTAAAAGCTTGCTGTGACAGTTCAGTACATTTCTTTTCATTGAAGCTATCTTCGGACACTCTTTCTGTACTGGAGCCAAAAAAGCATTCATGTTGATTTTGGAGAACGCTCTGAGAGTGGCCGCCATCAACTCTATCGGGGACTTCGTCCTCTTTCTGGGAAAGCTCAGCACTGTAGCAGTGGTCCTTGTCGTCGGCAACGAATTCTTCCGAGTAAGTCGGCAGAATATACTGTACAAATATCCAGAATCCACTTCCGTCGTTCTTACGTACGGTATCATACCATTATTTTTCAAGAAAAGAGAGTTGTATCATATGGAGACCTATTAGATGAAACTTTTCGATCTCGTTCCTTAGTTACTTAGTATATTCAATTAAGATTAAATGTGTGGCAAGTCTAGAACTTCAACCATATGTCATGTACTTTCTCTATTAGCTACCCATGACGTTTGGGAATTATCTTACATTATTCATTTTTCAATTCTTTTTTTAAGAAAAATTAATACTTGTATTAAAAAGGGACCCATTATTCAAGCTTCAATATTGGTAGAAAAGCGTTATTATGATTCAAACACCTCTGTCTTGATGATATCGTCATCATGCCTTCTGGCTGACTATGCCTCCTTCCCTTTTACAATACTCAAATGCCCGTTTCTTTCTTTCCCACGAAATCCGTGAGCCTGATCTGACATTGACGATATCCGCCTTTGTAGGGACATGAAGATGTCAATTTTGCATTTGTTCCCATCACCGTTAGCTGCGTGGTTGCCTTTGCCATAGCGCATTGTTTTCTCCTTGTCTACGAGGTAAGAATTTACGTCTATATTTAGCGTTACTTCGTTGTTCATTATCAAAATACTAGTAAAATATTCAGATTTTTAATGTTTTTTTTTCATAGATTACGATCGACACAATTTTCTTGTGTTTCTGCGAGGACTGTAGAGAAAATGACGGGATAAACAAACCATATTACATGAGCAAAGACCTTCTGGTATGTCATTTACAAATCAAATACATCATCAACTGTATTACATGACTGATGAGCAAAGACCTGTTTAAAGTTGGAATTTCTATTCATTTCATCCCTTCTTCCAGATTTTCCTACAGAGTACAGAGAAAATGATGACCCTGAAATGCACAGAGAAGACAGAAAAAAAGAAGAAAGGCAAACCAACAAAGGGAGAGACAGATCTGGCTACTGTGTAAGGGAGAGAGGTGGTCTGGGAAATAGCTCCAGTATTAAGACTAACTGTGGAAAAGCAAACACAACAGAACTTTGTGACACAGAACCATTTTTACTGCTTTATTCTCCCAGCACATGATCATTACATAATTAATGTACTTTGTCAAAAAAGTTAATAAACAAGTTTACAACTATCTAGTATTTTTTAATATCAAATTTTAATAAGTTTTACATATCATTAAAAATATATAATGATTTTTAGAGACATAGTGATGAAAGATGATATTATTTACAATATAAAGTCCAAGAAAATGTCAGTGTCCAAAAAATCTGAAATGAAAAAAAAGAAACCCTTTATATATTGTAAAAAATATTCATAAAACGGCTAATAATGGACAAGTAATTGGTGACTTATAATGCTGCCTCGATGTATACTCACACTAGCATAAGAAACATCACAAATATGTTCCATAATCCAATGAAAATTCTAAAATATCGTAAGCTCTGTAAAAATTCACGGACTTTTTCTCCTATAATGAAAGAACTCAAAACTAAAAATATACCCCAAAATTGTAACATGTATGTACATTTTACAACGGAAAACAAAACTAATTTTAAATTTGTGCTCCTTCATTACTCTGCCAGTATAATTATAAATTGGTTCCTCCGTCCCTGTATCCCAAAGGGAAAATTTAAAAATAAATTTCACTGAATTTTAACAAGTTTCAAAACATATGGGTCAGGGGAGGAAAATGGACATAGTAAACATTAAAAGACCAAATACACGTAGTTTCTTTGTGTATGTGTATCCATATGTGCTCCCCTTTTCAAGATATTGACTTCTGTCCCAAATTGCAAATCTTAATGCATCCCTCTCCCAATCTGAACTTTATGTCGGATATAAAAAGCTTTACACTAAATATAGACCCATCGTACTAGTGTTGTCAAATCGGTTGAAAATCAGAATCGATTAATCGGTAGCATCGGTTGACCTAACCAACTGATCATCGGCCAATAATCGAATCGGTAACTTTTTGCATAAAATAGGCATTAGATTTTATAAAGATTAGAATTTTATTGTTAAATAATGTAAGTAAAGGTGCATTGTACATGTTGTACAGATCGAATTTCTAAAAACAGTATATATGCAGTTTGATTAACAATTTCAGTAATACAGAATTTTTCATGATTAGGAATTACTTGGTCTTGGAAAAGTAAGCATTGACAGATCAGGTTTTAATTTATATGATCATCTAAAATGTATATGGAATTAATTTTTTAAACTATTATAAGACATTTAATATTGCGAATTTCTTGTAATTCCCTATGAAATGACAGGTGAATTCCCCCAAATACTGAAAACTAATATATTTCATTTACACAAGTAGTTTAGTTTCTTCAGTTTAGAAATGCAAATATCATTATCTTTTGATTTATTTTAAACAGATTTTAAGTACATGTATTTTAAAATAGTAAAGGACAACTCTTGAAAGATATATATTTTCATAACAAGAGCCTGTTCTTGAAATAAAAGTGAGAAAACTGTAAAAAAAAAAAAAAGATATGTGCTGAAATATACCGATTAATCGATTGTTAAAATCTCCAATCGATTGTCTAAAATCGACAGCCTTTCCGACCGATCATCGATTATAAATCGATCATCGTGACAACACTACATCGTACACTAAAACTTTTTCATAACTTATTGTAAAGAAAATTACCTAGGGTTGGTTCAGGATTTACTTCATATTGGTCACTCTTTCCCTTGACTCTGCAGCAAAATTAAACAAAACATGAAAGTACATCTATTTTCACCAATGAAGTTTAAAAATAAAATGTATGTAAATTGAAAATCTCTGCTAAATACTTACAGTTTGAAGTTCAAGATAGCACCAGCATTAACCAACAACGTCCTTAATAAAAAGACACAATTAAATCAACTTAAATGCATCTTTTAAACAAGATATGAACTATAAAGTTGCCATCGTGTACAAGTGTACGTCATCACAGAGAGTGTATGATAATGAATGGTGAATTGGTGATCAATGTGCGGTAAAACCAATTCAATTCAATTCAAAAGAATAGAAAAATCATTAAATCATGAAAACTTACCCAAACAATATCAAATCTGAAATCATGTTAGAAGACTACGAAGACGGAAGAGTTGTCAAACCATTTCTAAGTAACTTGAACGTTAAATTATTCGGCTAAATTAGTACATTCGTTCCTCAAGTGTTTCGACTGACTCAACTTATGTAGTATTTATTTGTTTGTTTGTATGATGTTTAATGTATCTGTCGAGAATTTTTCAGTCATATGGAAACGCCACCACTTGCCGGTGGAGAGGTGCATATTTTGTCTTATATTCGGCACTTAAATTAATACGGCCATTGAGTTTTCGTGCCAGCACCTACTGCGACCCGGGACCTCGGTTTGTATGCGGTCTCATCCTAAGGATCTGTCTCCACATCCCACAGTGGGATTTAAACACTTGACGTAAGGATCAACTCCTTACTCCGTGACCAACTTATGTAGAAATTTTAGATAAAGGTCTTCTTATTGAAATTGGTCGCCCGCGTGACGCAGTGTTTAGAAATTAGAGCGTCTGCTCTAGAGTCGCGAAGTAAGGATTTGATCCTTACTTTGCTCGTTCGAATCCCACTGTGACATGGACACCGGTCCTTCAGGGTAGACTTTATAAACCGAAGTCCATGTCGCAGTGGGTGCTGGCACGAAAAATATGTTTCCCTGCTCAATGGCCCTAAGTGCCGAGTATAGGACAAAAATTGCAGCAAGTGGTGGCGTCTCCATATGAGTGAAAAATTCTCGAGAGGGACGTTAAACAATGCATAATCAATCTTATTGAAATCGTAAAAATATTTTTTTGCTGGTTTATTTTATATTTGAAAAGGAAATGGTTTACAGTTTCACCAATTTAGAATATTTTAGTGGAAATTAAGAAGACCCCCCCCCCCCCCTTACTTTTTTAGCTCACCTCGACGCAGTCGAGATGGGCTTATGATTTATCGCCGATGTCGGCGTCCTGGTGTAAGTTTTTGAGCAGGTTCATAACCAATGCAAGTATTTATATACCCCCTACCTGGTCCAAGCTTGATTTGATGCTGAGTCTAGGGATGGACACTTACAGACTTGCTTCGGATGCTGGATCTGACCTATATATATTTTTTTCCAGATGAGTGACCAGGTTCAAGTTTTTGGAGCAGGTCCATTCCTCATTAACTACAGTGCACTGTATTTAGTATTATACCTAAATGGACCAAACTTGCATGGATGCTGCTTGCATGGATGCTGCTTCTAAGGATGGACACTTACAGACTTGTTTCGGATGCTGGATCTGACATATTTTTAGATCAGTGATCAGGTAAAGGTAGAAGAGTAAATAATTTTAGCCATATTTAACCAAATTAGTATGGATTGTAAATATACAGATGGAGATGGAGAAAAGCTTTGGATGCTGAAACTGACTTTGGACCGTTGACGCCCTTAAACTTGCAGGTGAAAGAGATGCCAGGAACAAATTAGAATGTAGGTTACGTCTTTGAGAACAAAAAATATTAAAGGAGAGGATGCAATGGTTTGGGCCGTGGAAATCGGCATTAGTAGTTCATTTGCTAGAGCACTTAACTGGACCGAAACAGGCCAAAAAAAATGGCTGACGTTTCGGGACAGGGTTTCATTTCACATGAAGGATATATGAATGATGAATTCCTTTTACATACCTATGTACATTTAAACGCCAGTCATTTTTTATGACTACAATTAAAGGACCCTACAGAAATGACCCTCCTTTTTTCTCCAGGGTTTCCTTTTAAACTGTGTATAAGTTTACTTTCGTGTTCATACAAATATATTTTCAAGCTGTTTTATTATTTACCTAGGAAATCAAATTTATGACTAATTACAATGGATGGAGACTTTTTGAACGTTTTTCCAGCATCGTTTTCTCTTGATTTTTCCTCTTGGTCAGATCTTGGCATTCTATCGTTTTCTCTACAGGAGAACTTTTACAAGGCAGTGTTTCCTCTTTATCCGTATTTACGGACACCACTGAAGTCTCGTTCTCGGTGTCTTCGTTACACCCGTTTCTCTCCGAGCTGTCTTGGTCAGATTTGGCTCGACTCTCCATACAAACTGTGGCATTCTCCCGACGTAAGTTTGTATAATCTATTTCATATATATCCACATTTCCACCTTGTCTGTGTCCGATCCACAGGTCGTTATCAGAATCCACAGCCAGAGAAAGGGGAGAGAACTGTCTGTCAAACCGCAGTCCTACAGCGGCGAAGTCCTCGTCCCTTAGTAGGATACACACACTGCCGTCCCAGTTAGCCACTACAACATTACCAAACTGGTCAAAGCACAGACCCTTAGGAACAAACGGACGCGAAAAAGTAGCTAACCCATCAAACGTCGTTATTTCGTGGCCACTGGAAGACATCAGAATAATCTTCTTCAATAAATAGTCCCCAACTGCTATCTCCTCGAATCTATTTATCCCAACATATAAAGGATATTGAAAGTCTTGATTTGAACGCAAGATTTTCTTGATCATTTTACCGTGAACATCATAGATGAAGATGCCATACTCCCTTCCGATTCCTGGAAGATATCGTACAGACGTGACCCCGACGCCTGTCACAATGACAAGGTCACGTGCTGATGTGCAGACCTCTGTCGGGTGGGTCATTGTCATTTTGGCGAACACCGATATCTCAGCGCTGGATTTCATCACCACCTTCAAAACAAGTCTTTCCTTGAAGCACACCAAGTACATGTTTTTGTCGGAATCTATTGCCATGTCGGTGATGCTTTGATGAATCCCTTTCACTTTGTGTTGCAGCCTTCCCGTCCTGTCGTAAAGCGCAACCTCAGAGTTTTTGATCACTAACCAAGAATGTTGCGAAGATACAGACCAGATAGAATTGATACATCCTCCAAATTCTGCACACTTGAATTTAGATTTTAACTTTACGTTCGATGTCCGTGCATCTGTCAAAAATCCACATTCTGTCTCTGACCCACGTGACTGAAGTGTGCCTTCTGCAAATGTTTTGGCGCGCTGGAAGGTTTTCGAAAGAACTGATCTTCGAGACCTCAGTAATGGTGGCTTTGGAATCATGGTTTTCCCTCTCTGTAGATTCAAAGGTTTAACTGATTTGGGCACAAACGTCTTTGAGCGGATGATTTTATTTTCTGGTGAAATCCTACCGTCGTTTGTAGGCGAATCAATGCCCCGTCCAACGATCAAAAAATTGGAGCACACAGGACACATGAAGTTTTTCCCTTCGTTGTAGCAAGACATAGTCGGAAATGTTTTCACACACTCTTGACACCTGCCCTCCTTCGGATCGGCATTTTGTTTCATTTCACTTTCCATGTTCAAGACCTATTGTTTATACAGGCAGCGTGTGTAGTTAAGTTGTTAAATATGTTTTATTGAATGCCTAACCCGACAGTGGTTAGAAATGTCTTTAAAATGGCTCTTTAAATTGTACTTTCACCGTATGCAAAATTACATCGATCAGTGATATAGATCGATCGCTTCGGGCAAATGCCTTATAAAACACTACGGTAACAGAGTACGTATGAGAGCAATACACTATTATGTTGTATTATTTTGCATTTACACCACCCACTGCAGTAAATTGAAATTTCAGAACAACATAACAACACTATTACTTCACTAACGGTAAATTCTAATACAAGAGGTATACAGCAATGTGCGCATTAAATTTATATGTTCAATATTTGAGTAAAATAAAATCAGTATCATAACGCAAATTTTCCAAAGGACAGACAGAGTTTGGATCCCAGATCAAAGGGGATCCAAAGATCCCTTAATATTAGACCCTCCCCAAATCCATCCTTTTAGGTCCAACCCATCCTTCATTCGCTTTTAGCAATGGTAAGGTAATCATTTAAAGTCTAATTTTCTTAATTTTGTGTGTCTTTTAATTGAAAGACTAAAGGGTATGTTGATGGAATGGGGATGGGGGTAACCCGAATAGGGGGTTTATTTATAGTGCCACATTGGCAAAGTTATTGTACTGCTGAGTATTAAGTCAAATTGATTTTTTTTTTTCAACTTTTGAAAATTACAAAATAATTGTGGTCCTCTATCCAAACAGCAGTCGCTGTTGAAATGTTTAATTTTTGTTCAGTTTGAATTTCCTAAACTCGGGGTTCTATTTTAAAGAAGTTTTTAAACAATAGTTTTTACTTTCATCATAAATATTGTTTGAAGGTCAAGATATTTGTGTATTCGGGATATAATGTGAAAATTTCTGATTGTATATTTGTGGTTGCTGCTATATAGTACATTTGTAGTGGTCCATTAAATGCATGCAAGTATAATACTGCATCTGACCATTTTTTTTTAATTGAATGATTTTAGGTCACATGCTAGTTTTGGGCCGCACTTGCGAGCTAACTAGAGCAGTCAACTAAGTCAAGTTTTTAGCATCGATATGATTTCTATTACTAGTATTTTATCGACGAGTATAGGGGAAAAAAACCACTAAATTTAACATGAATCATAGTGTTTCTTTAATGGCGTGGTATATACTAGTATCTATAGAACAACCAGATTAACCTTTTTTTTTAAATTAAAAGTTTACAATTATAAAGATAACTTGATTTAAATTGACATCTTTCTTACAGTAATTTCTATTATTTTTATTTTATTCAGCTCAATACTATACAAGGTTATTTGAAATCTTGGATACGGACTTGTAAAAAAGTTGAAATCTGTACCCCTTGCAGGTACAACAAGCAAATTCAAAGAATTGTGTTCCCCCGCTTTCGGTGTCTTTTTGGGTGAGATGTCATTTTTTTAATGACATTTTGTGTCTAATATGAACGCCCTATCATAAATCATCTATTCAGAAATTATCACTGAACTCCAAGGTCAAAGTGTTAACGTTCTTGGTATCAAATGAAAAGTCTTCTCAAAAGGATTACATATGTGAAGTATGAAAGCCCTAGCCCTTACCATTCAAAAGTTAAGGTCAAGGTTAAAGTTTTCTCATAAGTACTAAAATCTCCAAGGTCAAGGTCAAAAGGTCAAGTTTGTTGGTATTAAATGAAAGGTCTCGCCACAAGGAATACATATGTGAAATATGAAAGTCCTAGTATCTACTGTTCAAAAGTTGTGGCCAAGGTCAAAGTTTTTTAAAAGTAGGTCAAACTCCAAGGTCAAGGTCTAAGGGGCAAAGTTCTTGGTATTCAATGAAAGGTCTTCTCACAAGAATTATATATATGAAGTATGAAAGCCCTAGCCCTTACCATTAAAATGTTATGGTCAAAGTTAAAGTTTTTTCATAAGTACGGAAATCTCCAAGGTCAAGGTCAAAAGGTCAAAGTTGTTACATGTAGTATCCAATAAAAGGTCTTGCTACAAAAAATACAGATGTGAAATATGAAAGTCCTAGTACCTACCATTCAAAAGTTATGGCCAAAGTAAAAGTTTGGAATTTTTGTGTAAAAGTGAGTCAAACTACAAGGTCAAAAGGTCAAATTTGGTGGTAATCAAAGAAAGGTCTTGTCACAAGGAATACACATATGAAATATGAAAGTCATAGCTCCACTAAATCAAAAGTTATGGGCAAGTTACAGTTTTTGTGACGGACGGACAGACTGACGGACAGCTAGACAGACGGACAGACGAATGAGATTATATGTCCCCTCGCTTTCGCGAAAGCGGGGGACAAAAATATGTACCCAATGCCCATGCATTAGCGTAGTGAGAGTGATTTGTAATATCCAGAACTCAACAGGTGCGCACTTGCTATAGCCAAATCATTCCAGAAAACACGGTTTCTTTATAGGAAGGTCAATGTTTTAGCCTGAATAAAAAAAAATTAAATAAGCGAAAACACACTTGCGCAAAATGTGACTCTTTGACGAGAGGAATACTCACCCGTCAAAGTTTGTGCTTTACCAATACAAAAGTTCTAAATATTGTGCTAACATACTCACAGTATTTTTGGTATACATTTATGTGGATGACTTTCAAAGCTTCATACTAATGACTTTTCATATACCAATAAAACATAGATCCGTTTTTTCGAGGAGGGGTCATCGCTTTCGGGGGGGGGGGGGGTTCCAATGTCAATTTTACTTGGTTTTTTATAAACTGCAAATTCCAAACTCTATAGTGTATTGATCCGCGCATGTATATTGATCATATTCGGCCATGTATAACTTGCGCTTTTGCTTGATATCGAGTCTTTTCATGTCAAATCATTATCATAGAAAAAGTACTTAATATCACGTAATAAATATTTATTCTTTTATAGTCCATTCTTGGAAAAATGAAATGATGTAGTTGTTTCTGTATCCAAGATATATGGTTCCACAACTTACAAGTTTACATTCAGTGTAAGGAAGATGCAAAATATACGAAATGCAAAGTAGCCAGGATTGCATTGCATGCATTAAGACTGTCTGGTACTTCGTTTTCCAGAAAAATTTATACCTTACCAATGCTTTAAGGTAGTAATTTTTAACATATACACAACATGTCGAAAATATCAGTTACACACCCAGGTCAGACTGTCATTTGGAACTATCAATTAACTTTTATACGTTTTACTCAATGCAATAGAGGCTGAGTTAATATGCGATATTATGCTCGGCTTGATGTACTGTGATATGTTTTTCATAAAATGTAATTTATTTCATATAATTATAGTTTGACCGATGTGCCATGATCTACGTAATACATACGTTATATATATCTTTTTCTGTTTTTGTTTATTTAAATTTTGTTCCACGGTGAGGAAATGTTGCATATAGTGTTTGACTCAGAGATAAATGTATTTATTAAGCTCAACGAAGGTCTTCAGAAAGGTATACATAATATCGACTAAAACATTTACTTTCCTTACCTTTAATGCTCGATACTTTGAGATTTAACTAAAACACGAATTGAGGATTTTTGAGATTAGTTTGAAGGACAATTTCTTATCCATGCAGCGGACCATGTCACTATGATATGTCGATCATCTCTTCTTAGTCCATAACTTTTTTAATGATCCAATAAATAGCCCTAGCTGTAGCATTTATTCCTATCTAGAGTTTCCAGTGTCAGGTAACATTAATGTCTCTTGCAAAAAAATTGTTATTGTAAGACATTATCTTTTGAGAAGTTTCGTACACAACTTAACCTATGGCGCTCTCTAGACGAATTTAACTTTAGTACAGAAAAATTACAAGTGCATTAGTGTTTGACATTAGCATACACCCCACTTTGTGCACGTTCAAACTGAATGGAATGTTCCACTTAGGTCGTTCCGCGTGACTGGGGGAGTGAATTTGGCGCTACCTATTAATAGAATGGGATACCCCATTAGTCTGCAAGATAAGTGTTTGCCCAGTCTGTGAAACTGATTAGTTTGCGAAAAATGGCGGCAGGGAGAGCGTATCTCCTGGTTGTGCCGATTTTATTATTTTATCAAAAAATTACAAAAGGGGAAGTTTTAACCCCTCCCTACTTTAACCTCGCCCAGGAAAGGAGGATATATGCCAGTTCAACGTGTGGGGAGGAGGGACAGGAGTTGTACTGTCGTCTGACAGGGGCCAGCTCAGAAAATGGGTTCGCTGACCCTTACAGGGAAATAATCCAGGGACAGTATTGTGACGTGTGTGACCCCAGCATCCGCGAGCATCGCCACCCCCCGGAGTATGCTATCGACGGGACGGAGCGATGGTGGCAGAGCCCGCCTCTGTCCCGGGGGATGGAATATAACCAAGTCAACCTCACTATCGACCTAGGACAGGTAATAAGCCTTTGTACATTATGCAACGTATTTATTTTTTTATTAATTATTTTTTTTTATTTTTTAAAAATGCTGAATTAGGTCAAGTTTTAGTGAACAAGTGCATGGATGTAAAAGTCTTTGATAACATCGCTTCAGGCGCTGTAGCGATCTGGCAGCTCTGCTAAATCTGTTACCTTGACAACCAGAGATAAGGTGGTTTTGGCAGAAGCCGTGTTATCAGTGGGATAGATTAGTATGTATACAAGCTCTCGGCTAATACTGACAAGAGTGACTCTATATGAGCCTTGTATAACCACTCATTACTGACAATTGTACTCAGGTTCACCTAGTCTCACCACAAACTCAAAGTGTGAAATGAACACCTCTCAGTCCTAAATGTCACACCGTGGGGGTCTCACTTGAGTTAATGTAATTAACACTGACCCCACACATTATCCCACTGTAAAATGGGTTTATGATTTGTTTTCCTTTGATGTGTGATTATCTATTCATTGATTGAAATATAAATAAAATCTTACATAAGAAGTCCTTGTTTGAGAATTAAATGGCCCTCAAGTCTGAAGTATGTGTTTGTTTAACTTTGTGAAATGTCACAGTATGTTTAAAGGGATTACACGGTAGTCCATTGTTCAAATAGATGGAATTTTATGTGGCATCTTACATTACAACCTACATGTACAATGAACTAGAAAATGAAGAGAATTCTTCAGATTTACGGCATATTATGACATTATATTTTTGATAAAATGCTTCATTAAATGAATTGTTATAATGATACTCTTAAAAAAATGCCAATTAACCTACAAGCATCTGCTGATACAACCTTCTTTAAAAATTGTTAGGTATAGTTGTATCAAAATTCTATTTAATGTTTATAAGAATTGTTTTCCAGACATTTATATAAAATTATATAGAGGGATTAATGAAAGTCATTTCCACTTTGAAAATAACCACTTGTCAATTTCAAGGCCTAGCTGTGAGGAATACAATCTACAACATTTGTTATCTGAGCAGAGAGTTGCTCCCAAAGCCTAGCTGTTCTTAATAATTTGAAATAATGCAAACTACTTTATCCTTATTGCAAGGTTCTGCATAATGCACACTATGAATTTGATGCAACACTTGAATATATACATAATAAATATGTAAGGAGATATTGTAACTATTAATATAGGCAAAGGCAGAGAAAATAGGCAAGTCTGTATGATCAACATAATTGTATTCATTACTTGTGAATGTTCAAAATTAAAAAGCACTGTATTCCTACAATTATATGAGTTTTAACGGGTCCAGTTTTAACTGTTATCATGATTATTGCAGATTGTATCAAGATTTGAGTTTGACATAATCTGTACATATTTTCAGGAATTCCATGTTGCCTATGTGTTCATTAAGATGGCTAACTCCCCCCGCCCGGGGGTGTGGGCTCTGGAGAGGTCTACAGACTTTGGCCAGTCCTGGCGAGCCTGGCAGTATTTTGCGGACACACCCAGTGACTGTATGAAGTTTTTCGGAGTACCTGCTGACCAAGAAATCTATTCTGATGATGCTGTCATCTGCTCCACGGAATTCTCCAAGATCGTTCCTCTGGAAAATGGAGAGGTAACTGCTGAGGGAGTTTTATTTTTGCTTATTTAAAAAGATATTGTTTGGAATAAGGTTCACAAGTTGTTATCAAGCCAAAATCCCTTATCTGGCCACTTCAGACAAATGATTTTGATAATATTACAATGGTAGAGGGCTATACACAGTGTAATAGGCTTTGCTTGCTGCCCAATCCTATTCACTTTTTGTGAAAAAAATGATGTATAAAAAAAATCAAATATAAGAATGTGGGAGGATGATTGGGGGGGGGGGGTGTTCACGGTTATTCAAGCTCAGTAAAAAGCCCCGATAAAACTTCCTATTTTCACACAATAAATGCTACAGCTTGTCCTACAAACTTTCACAGCTGTGTTCACAGTGTGTGGAAAATGTATGATTAAGTCGAGACTTATTTTCCTTGAGAAGTGTGGTAAATAGAGAGGGGCCTTGTGTTATGATAAGTAAGAAATGCCAGAGATTATACAGAACAGCTGTGTGTCAGATTCATTCGTGTAAAACATTCCAGCCACTTCTTCAACATCTTGTACTACACAATGCCCTGGTTGTGTGTGTCAGTCAGCTGAATGGGGACGCTGTACCCCTGGTCACCTGGTGCAGTAGTTACAGACCAGTTAACTGACCGGGGTCTGTGTGTCACTGAGACCAGTCTACATATACAGCTTAATTATTAACCACACATCATGACCTTCCAGTGTGAGCTACTTATGTCTGAATCAGTGAAGGGTACGCGTCTTAAATATCACCCTTCTGTGTATCACCTCCCTAACAATGCAGTAGAATTTAAATACTTTCCTAAATAGCTGGGAGGAATTTGACATTAAAGCTCCAATGAAGTTGAGGACAAAGCATTGATTGATAAATAAGGATCCTTTAACAGTTAAAGCGGTAGACTTGATTATAGTCTCTGTACTGTATATGTAACTGAGTCGTAAGCCATTTTGTGTGATTGGGAGATAAGGCAGAAGTGCTTGATCCCAACTTGATCCCAATTGAAGATCCCCAGATAAAGAATTTAATTTTCCCATTTATCATCTGTGTTAACTACAGGGATATAGTCAATTACATCTCCAAATAATAAATTACAATTTAGTTTTACCTTCAATTAAATTCCAATCAATGAAATAATGATTCTTATTCATAAGTGTAATTCATTTAATGGCAGTTACTTTATATTTTATGTAGATACATGTAATTTCTTTAAATTACAAATTACTTTTCTCTATCATTAATATGACCCCCCAAATATGTTTCAATTTATTAGGGTCCATTTATTATGCAAATTGAGATATTTACACTTTCTGAGGCTGTGTTTGTACTTTTATGTAAATGACAAGTTTGTATTATCAGCAGGGTTCGACACTAACATTTTTAGGCTTTGGTCCAGCCAGACTAGTGCTTCTTTACTTTTACTAGTCCGCGGGCAATTTTATTAGTCCGTCAAAAATAAAAATAAATAGAATTAATGTTGCAATGTACTTTTTATACATTTTTGAAATTAAAACAAAGCATTTACATGAAATGTTTTATACCAAGAATTCGTTGATATCGCGCAATCAGGAACTACGATCGTATTCCCAATCTCATTCGTTTTTCTCTATACATGATTACACATCATCTAAACATCCGACATCTCTATTTATGTGTCATACTAAATCATGATCACTAAAATGTTTAATTTCATACCAGTGAGACCTAATATTAAGCGCTGAATTGACTCAAATTACCTAGCTTCCCGCCAAGAAGCTAGAAAGCTAAAAAATATTGCCATAATTGGTTTTTCCAGTGAAAGTTGTCAAAAAATTTGAACATCGGTAAATTCTTTTTTTTTCCCAAGAAAACTTTATTAGTCTGTTCGTACTAATTAGCTACAATTTTTATTAGTCCGAATGAAAATGTATTAGTCTGAGACTAATGGACTAACGTTAATGTCGAACCCTGATGAGGGCCTTAAAAATCTTTCAGTACCTGGAACTATTACCTAGCTGAAATCAGGGTTGTACGACCCAAATATCAGAGGGAAAAAGATCAATAACATTCACCATCAAAATCACTTCTATTTTAGAGAAAGTACCACATGTTTCTGTTCATCTTTTTGAAAACTCTGATTTATTCACCACAAACAAAATACTCCTGGTACTGCTTTTTCAGTAATGTATTATACATTTTATACAAAGTGATAATACAGGTACATGTACAATTCAGACAGAAAATAAATTAAACAAATGACAAAGTTGTAAATATATCAAGAAGGACAGAGAAGCATCATTAATTTTAACATCGAGCATATAATTTTTTCTCTTAGGATTTTTTAATTTTAAGTTGACATTAACTTAATCATGTTAATGTACTTCATCCTACTTAAGTAAATTTTTTATATAAACATAAATAATATTAAATATAAATAATAAAATGTCTTTCTTTTATGTATCATGTATAAAATCAGGTATCTCATGAGTCTCTATGCTTAAAGTGATTATTTGAACTATTGAGCTGATTTAAGTTAAATGTTACTTTTAAGTTATCATGGTTATAAAGCAGACAAATTTTTGTTGAATTTAACATGGTTCAGAATTGGTTCTCACATGTTTACATGTTGTGTAATGTAGTATTTGAGCACATTCTAGCTTAGGGAGGGTGTGTGATAAGAGGGGGAGTTGGAGACTACCGGTTTGGTAATCCTCTTACAGAGAGGTGTTAGTACTGATAAGACTTTAATGTACGTATCTACTGTGATTTAGTAGTCTGTCTGCAGCTGCTCATGATGTAATAATCTCTGATTAAAAAAATAGATTCTTTTGATATAATCATTCATTCTCAGAAAAAAAATGTATGGTTGAAAAAACATTAGTTGAAGAAGTTTATTTCTTTCTGAAAGCTGGTTAGAATGTGCATATCAATTTCTGCTACAATTGATTCACTATATTATATATATATATCCTCAATGTTTTTAAAAAAGCACCAGATTTAGCAGTCAATGCTACACTGGTTTCTTATCCATTGTACTATCTATGTTATAGACTGCATTTCATTTCAAGAATTTTTTGAAATTTTTTATTTCCGACATTTTAAAATTTACATCTCCAACATTTTTCAGGTAGTATGATTTTTTGCAAAATTCCAGAAATGAAATGCTGTGCTGCAGCCTGCGATGAAATCATGTTTAAGGGGGCCGACTATAGTTTTATTGTGTGAAAACTACAATAGCGAAACTCTTCATTTTTATACCATTTATAACTTACATTAACTTCAGTGTACATGCAAAGTTTGGGGGAAATCTACCGTCCAGGTATTTTTGAGGGGCCCTCTCAAAATACAGGTACATTTACTATAGGATTATATAGGAAAATGCCAATTTTTAGCACTTTAAAGCAAATTATACGAATACTACAATAGACATTTTGTTCAATCTATAATATTTGATGGGTAATACTATATTATACCATATATGTAAGAAACACAAAATTCTACCTTCTTGTTATCAGAGGGGGCATCTCAAAATGCAAAAAAATAGCAAATTTTACTATTTTTATAGAGTATTACAAAATATGACGTACACAATGGATTCCCATGAAAACATAATAAAAATATTGGAGATATTCTCAAATTTCTTTGTTTTAAATTTCAAGAGCGTATGTTTATTACTTTTTCTTTAATAATATTTTTATTACCCCTTTCTTTAAGAGCTACAGATAATCATAACCTCAAAAACACACTGCAACGACGTCAACATACTTATCAATTGCAAAATCGGTTTAAAAAATCAGTTATATCAAATTGTAACTACATTTTTATACCTATCGTTTCTTAATTTTGTTTGATTTTAATAATTAAGCGAAAAAAGTTGCATTAAAACAGTAAATATGCTTCATTTTACTATGATGCGCGAAATATTGCGCAATGGAAACTGTAGTCGGCCCCCTTAATTACTATCACAGTGTCAGATTTGGAATAATAATGAATTTTGTCCATCAGCTTTGAAAAAGGATGAGTTACAAGCTTTGAAAAAGAGTTGTACATGTACTTCATCATATCTATGGCAAGCCAAGATTTTCAATCTCCAACAAAAACTAAGATTCATTTCCTTAAATATTTACCCTAAGGAGTATACAGCAAGGGATCTTTAACCTATGTGTTCTTTCAGAAAACATTTTTCTGAGACCACAATTTTAAGTTCAACCTGTCTTAAAACAGGGACAGTGTTGCTGAGGAGCCAGTATATTCTTGTTATGATTCGTAATTATACAACAATAGGCTTACGCACATAGAAAAATATAAGCTATGTGGTAAACCTGTGTTTTATTTGTCTACAGATTGTGGTGTCCCTTATAAACAACCGCCCTAATGCCCAGAACTTCACCTACGCCAACCAGCTACAACAATGGACGAAAGCGACCAACGTCCGACTCAAGCTGCTGAGGACTAAGACATTACTGGGGCATTTAATGGCTGTAGCTAGACAGGACCCCACCGTCACTCGCAGGGTAATAAACCATACAAAATTCTGTACTTGTCAAAGTCCATGGAAAAATTTACTTAAGAGATTGAAGACTTTATCAATACATGTTTTACAGAAATAAGATACACTGAAATGCAGGAAAATGTGAGTGAGGCTTTCTGTTTTTTTTTCAGTATTTCTACAGCATAAAGGATATTTCCATCGGGGGTAGATGTGTGTGTAATGGCCATGCCAACACGTGTGATAGGAGTGACTCCAGCAACCCTAACCTACTGGTGTGTGCCTGCCAGCACAATACGTGCGGAAACCAGTGCGACTCCTGCTGCCCTGGGTTTGTACAGAAGAAATGGAAACCTGCCCGGGCTGACAAAATCTTCATGTGTGAACGTAAGACATTTCATACCTTTCATGAGTAGCAATAACACAATAGTTTCTGAAATAATGCTTAAATTGTGAAAAATTTAAATTGTTTTGAATTGTTGTCATTTTTGTTGTCCAGGTTGCCAGTGTTACGGCCATTCTACGGAGTGTGTGTACGACGAGGAAGTAGATCGCCTCGGTCTTAGTGTTGACACGTACGGTAACTACGAGGGAGGCGGAGTCTGTCAGAACTGTCAGGTCAGCGGACATTTCCATTGCTTGTTATTTTTGTTAATAACCATTCATTAAATTTTTTTAAATGTTAATTTACCATATTCTATTGAATATGAAATCTTAATGAAAGATTTTGAAGTTATTTGAAAAAAACTCAACTTTTGTTGTATTTAAGGCAACATGTTAGTTTGAATTCTGTTTACAGACCAAGTTGTGAAATTAATAAAAACAGCTCTATTGAAAAAGAATTAGATGAGTCAAAATGTTGGTTTGATGATCTGATCTTTTATTTACAGCATAATACATACGGTGTGAACTGTGATAAATGTGTAGCTGGCTACTACAGACCTTATGGTGTGGCAAAGAATGACACTAATGCTTGTAGACGTAAGTGTTAAGACAAATGTCATAATGCTTTCATACATCAGTGGTTGTTAGTAGATGTGTAATGATGACCTCTTTCACCTTTAACCTTCAGCCTGTCAATGTGACCTGAATGTGTCCACTGGTGAGTGTGAGGAGGGGTCAGGGCGATGTCTTTGTCGAGTGGAGTACACCGGCCTCAATTGTGACAGGTTAGTGACGACATTTCAATTACTGTGCTGTCAGTATGTAAAATAAATCGGCATGTTAAAGGAGAGATAAGCTGAAGTTGAATAATTAACCATTGAATAAAATTGACATCTGTCACACAGGTATATTTGTCTTTACATAAGAACAAAATAATTCAAAGGAAGTAAGCTTTTAGGATTATGCTTAACATGTATGTTTTAGTACAAGGTAAACATACTTACTTGTATACTTTAATCTAGATGTGCCCCTGGGTATGAGGGCTACCCCACTTGTGTCCCCTGTCAGTGTCACATGAACGGTACAGAGGGCGCTGTCTGCTCCGTGGATGGCCTCCCTTGTCCTTGTAAGGAGAATTATGCTGGAAACCGCTGTGACATGTGTGCCTCTGGATACTACAACTTCCCAGAATGCACTCGTAAGTTTACTTCCTGTCATTATCCAAGATTGATAGACTAGTTACTAATCTGAATTTTTTAACTGATGAGAACATTGACTCTCAGCTGACTTTGAGTACATTTTCCTCCATTTTTAGCCTGTCAGTGTGATACGACCAATGGAGGCTCCATTGACAATAACTGTGATGTGGAGACTGGGCAATGTACCTGTCAATCTAACTTCGCCGGCAAGGAGTGCAACCAGTGTGCCCATGGCTACTACAATTACCCAGCATGCACTGGTAAAGATCATAAAGTTTTATGATGACATTGATTTATTTTTTATTGAGAATTTTCTTTGTCATAAACATTTAAACATGTAAGTAAGAAATTGTTAGATGCATTGGAGTATAGGTTTGTCTGACTATACATGTATATCTGCTGCATTGAGGTTTCTGTGTATTTGTAGTGTGTGACTGTGACCCCTCGGGAACCTCTGAGGAGATCTGTGATAAAGAGACCGGTCAATGTTTGTGTAAGGAGAGCTTCCAGTACCCTCGCTGTGATCGCTGTGCCCCCGGATATTACAACTACCCCACTTGTCAAGGTCAGTCTTATTACAAGGTCAAATGTTGTTTAAAGTGAAGTTAAATAATGTGATAATTGATGTTTTGTGAATCTAGCTGTTGATTTTATTTTGATACCATTCATATTAATTATAATCACAAAAAAGTAAAGTAAGATTTAGAAAATCCAGGTGGAATGTAAAACAAAGCTACTATGTAGACAGTGTCACTGCTTTGTTTACATATCTGACCTATTTATATCGTAGAGTGTCAGTGTGCTGAGCCGGGCTCTATAGAGAAAGTGTGTCGTGCTGATGGACAGTGTCCGTGTCGCGCCAACTTTGGAGGACGGACGTGCAGCCGGTGTCACCCTGGCTTCTTCAGATACCCCGACTGTTCACGTATGTATCTGATATCAATTTAATAGAGCATGAAGCTGTACTTAGATGAAATTAATTTCAAGTTTTGATTTATTGTATTTTAATTCCAAAGTACTTATTTGGTTAATGTTTTTTTCCAGCCTGTAACTGTGACCGTTATGGTTCATTTGGTGAGACTTGTGAACAGCTGACTGGTCAGTGTGAGTGTCGGGCCACATTTGACGGTTTGAGCTGCAGCAAGTGTAAGGAGGGCTTCTACAATTACCCCATGTGTGAAGGTAAAAAAAAATGTTATTGTTTTAAGAAGATACTTGTAACATTATGGGTATCTTCATATACGTTTTATGGTGAGCATGTGGCTTTATACAAAGGTTAAGATCTCATGAAGGTATAATTGATTTTGTTCACTACGGATCCAGATGCAATGTTTTGTTTTTGCAGAGTGTAACTGTAATCCTGCGGGGGCTAAGCAGATCCCTGGGTACCCCCTGGGAGGGTGTGGAGAGGTCATCAAAGGTCAGCTGTGTGAGTGTAAGGAACGCGTGATGGGGAGGATATGTGACCAGTGTATGCCGGGATATTACAACCTGGACAGAAACAATCCTCTGGGATGTGATGGTAAGATTATTACATAGAAACAACCCTCTAGGATGTGATGGTAACATATTTTGTTTTCAGCATTTTTTTGCATGGAAGAACTTTGTCTATGTTATCTCCCATTTATAATGCTCCTGTTATGCTCTGGTTACAGTGGCAGGTCTAAACATGTGTCTATTATCTCCCATTTATAATGCTCCTGTTATGCTCTGGTTACAGTGGCAGGTCTAAACATGTGTCTATTATCTCCCATTTATAATGCTCCTGTTATGCTCTGGTTACAGTGGCAGGTCTTAACGTGTGTCTGTTATCTCCCATTTATAATGCTCCTGTTATGCTCTGGTTACAGTGGCAGGTCTAAACATGTGTCTATTATCTCCCATTTATAATGCTCCTGTTATGCTCTGGTTACAGTGGCAGGTCTAAACATGTGTCTATTATCTCCCATTTATAATGCTCCTGTTATGCTCTGGTTACAGTGGCAGGTCTAAACATGTGTCTGTTATCTCCCATTTATAATGCTCCTGTTATGCTCTGGTTACAGTGGCAGTTAATATGTGTCTGTTATCTCCCATTTACGCTATGTTCATCAATTTGTAGGAAGTAGAAAGTAAAAATAAGCTTGGTAATTAAAAATCTGCCCATATAAGCAGCGTTAATGCTCCTGTTATGCTCTGGTTACAGTGGCAGTTAATATGTGTCTGTTATCTCCCATTTATAATGCTCCTGTTATGCTCTGGTTACAGTGGCAGTTAATATGTGTCTGTTATCTCCCATTTATAATGCTCCTGTTATGCTCTGGTTACAGTGGCAGGTCTAAACATGTGTCTGTTATCTCCTGATATGCTCTGGGTACAGTGACAGGTCTACATATGTCTCTATTATCCCCCTTTATAATGCTCCTGATATGCTCTGGATACAGTGGCAGTTAATATGTGTCTGTCATTTCTCTACAGAATGCTCCTGTTATGCTCCGGGTACAGTGGCAGGTCTACATATGTCTCTATTATCCCCCTTTATAATGCTCCTGATATGCTCTGGATACAGTGGCAGTTAATATGTGTCTGTCATTTCTCTACAGAATGCTCCTGTTATGCTCCGGGTACAGTGGCAGGTCTAAACATGTGTTTCATCGGTGACTCAGTGGTTACAGAGAATGGCTATTAATACTACAGAATGCTCCTGTTATGCTCCGGGTACAGTGGCAGGTCTAAACATGTGTCACTCAGGTACTGGTCAGTGTACCTGTAAACTGGACGTGGTTGGACGACGATGTGACACGTGTGCCAGTGGATTCTTTGGACTGTCAGACGCCAATCCATTTGGCTGCACAGGTAGGCAAACTTAGCAAAATTATTAGTCTCCTTCCCCAGTCATTAATGCCCATTTGTAAGAAAGCTGAATTTATTACTTTAATTTTGTAAATGAATTGTATCATTAAATATTTTAGAGTGTGACTGTGACAGTGGTGGATCCATCAATTTGAGGTGTGAGCAGAGAACAGGACAGTGTCCTTGTAAACCACGAGTCGGGGGACGCAGATGTGACATGTAAGTCTAGGCTGTCTAGGCTTTGAGAAGTATCCTTATCAAGTAGAAACATTTGGCAATTACTACTTTGCAAAGTTTAGCATATACATTCAAATGTAAAGTTTGCATAATTTCTATGGAGCAGAGTTATGAGGTAGTTGGCATTTTTGGTCCTATTTTATTCAGACCTGAGAAGAACCACTTTTACCCCACCCTCCAGCAGTTTAAGTATGAGATCGAGGATGGAATGACTCCTGAGGGTTCCAGAATCAGATATGGTTTTGATGAGACTTATTTCCCAAACTTCTCCTGGAGAGGATACGCAATTCTCACAGCTATCCAGGTCAGTACAAGATTTACACACGTAATATACATGTAGGTAGATAAAAAAGCATTGTTTCTTTTGTCAGTAGATATAAAACTTAATATGAGTCAACACAAGGAGATTGGATGCAGACTCAGAATAATTTTATCATCAAAATATAGAAAGAAGCATGGATTCTTTAACTCAGAATGTATTGTAGAAGTTATGCTTAATTTGTGATAAAAACACTTCAGTTGTACTATCTTTCTTAGCCTGAAGTGGAAATGGACATTCAAATAAAGAAGCCGAGTTTGTACCGCCTGATCCTCCGCTACGTGAACGTTAACGACAAGGTGCTGCGTGGACAGGTGATGTTAAAACCCCAGAACCCGACGGACGTGACTCAGAACAGCGAGGTCTTCTTCCAGGTGGCCACAGATCCGATGTTTGTCACGGTGGGGAGTGGGCGGGACTACGAGTTTGTCCTCAATCCCGGTCGCTGGAAAGTATCCATCAGTTCTCCCGACATCCTGCTCCTGGTAAGTTGGCTATCGTGTCTGTCAGATGGGTAATTATGTTTATGGAATAAGGTTGTACATTCTTTTTACTGAGAGGCTACATTTACAGGAAAGGCAGGTCAAATTTTAAATAAATCTGTGTTGTAACTGATCTAGAAATGATATGGGATATGTAAAGTAAATTTTTGTTAATACTATAATACTTTATATTTTGATCTCATTGTTTATAGGACTACATGGTGCTGGTACCAGATGCGTACTATGAAGCCACAGTTTTACAAGAGAAAGTGACCCGCCCCTGTAGTATCCCCGGGGATCAGGGACCGTAAGTTTCAGATTGATTCAAAACTTATACATGTGTATTTTTATACACAAAAAAGTGAAATAGGTCTTTAAAAAAGAAAAATGTCATCATCACATGTAATGAGACCGAAGAAAAGTTATATTTTCCTTTGACTTCAGTTTCAGGTGCTCTGAATTGTTGTTTTATCAAAATAGCATGTGTACACAAGTATGAAATATTTGAAGATGTTTTGGACTAACATGGCTTATTTTCTGAGATTGTATAAACTAATATGACTCACTACTGTTTACAGGTGTGTAGTGTATGATTACCCTAACCTAGAGAAGTTCCCGAGTGTGATTGGAGGTAATGGATTTGTGATAGATCGTAATGGCAGTCGCTTCCCTACTCAGGTTTTCCCCAACCAGATCATTCTGGACGAGTTAGGAATCCCCACCCTGGCCCAGCTCGACAACACTCAGGTAAAAACAACACAGTATCCAACGAGGCATTTGATTTTATCACTGAAACTTCAAAATGACAGAAAGTCATGCTATCCAAACTTGAGGAATCATAGAAGACCTATTTATTGCTCAAGTTTATATGACAGTACATGATTAAACAGCATTTTACATTGAAAATTCCTGTTTTTACAGAGGGAGTTGAACCTGAACCTGACCGTGCCCCGCCCTGGGGATTACGTGCTCGTGTTTAATTACTTTGCCCTGTCCAACAGAACACAGGAGTTAGACGTTATTGCTAATGTTGATGGAACGACCACCACTGGAACTGTTCTCTTGTACAGCTGTAAATACAGGTAAAACGAATTATAACACTGTCCATTAAAAACAGCTGATAATGCTACCTACATTGTATTTCCATGAGAGTTCTTTGTTTATTAGGAATTAAGCTGTTGAACATTCACTAATTTAAATTTTTTTTTGTTACAGTGTGCTGTGTAGACAGGTGATGAAGAATATTGATGACATGCCCTCAGTTATAAGTGTTAATGACGTCGTACAAATCCAGGTCACCGGCGATGAAAACATTGATGTCGCCATTGTAAGTTTTATATTGTACTTTAGGTTCTTCTTTGATTTTTATGAATTTAACCATGAGAAATATCTTTCTGTGACTTTTGTGAACAAGTGACACATACATGTATTTCCTCTCTCTTTGTATGATTTTATGTTTTATAACCTCATGTGATGATTGTTCCTCTGCCTGTAGGGTTCTGTGGTTGCCATTCCTTATGATGAGTGGTCGCTAGGATACATCCGACCCAGCATCATCTGTATCCGCATTAATGGAATGTAAGTATACAGGCAACTTGTCTATATCCACAGTACATACCTATATTCTTATACACTGTACATGTATATAGAAAACTGAACTTAAGGTTCATAAACCCTCTGCTCACTCATATAAAATTTTTCTTTAGCTTTTATGATTTTCCAAGGGAAATGTATATGCTGAATAAAATACAAACATTTATAGCATGGCTTGCGGGGCAAAATTTGACAAAAAAGGCACTTCAACTTGAGAAATTTATAAGGGAATAATAGACATTTGTGTCATTAAGAGTTATCTCTCTTATCAGAGTATCAGTGTACCTTAATCTAGACATCCTGACAATACTGGACAAGTTTATCATCAAGTACTAGTGTTATTAAAAAAAAATTATTAATGAACATAGTAAAAGAAAAACTAATAAAACTGGACTCAGCTTTGGCTCTTTGTGGAATATCGGTATATTAATTTAAAATTAGGTTCAGTAGAATTTACATACAATGTATTACCGTAATAATTAACCGAAATATTTAAGTTTAAGTGACAAGTCTTTGTTACTTACTTCATGGATGATGGGTTAGTGAGCAATAAAACATTAACTACATGTACATTTATGTAGATGTGTGACCTCTGGATACACAATTCCTTCTGGTGGAGTTAGACTGGACTTTGAAGATCCTCCAAATGATAATTTGGTCGCCACCACATTACCTAACTACATTACTGATACTGGACTCATAGAACTCAACAACACCAATGTAAGTCTCTCACATAAATAGAACTCAACAACAGCGATGTAATTTGTGTTACGTAAAGCTCAATAACAGCGATGTAATTTGTGTTACATAAAGCTCAAGTCTGTCACATAAATAGTTTCAATTTTCTTTGAGAAGATACTGACTGGTCATCAATAGTCAAAGAAGTCTTAAAAGATTTACGTTATTTTTAATGACAATGAATTGACTGTTATTACTTTTTTGTGAAATTACTTATGGGATTATGTGGTGAGAGTTGTGTGATTATTTTGGTAGAGAATTGTGGAGCTGAATGGAATCATCAGACACCCAGGGCAGTATGTGATCTTTGTTCACTTTTACATGCCATCAGAGGCAGGGGCTGACCTTCCTGTGACCTTGCAGACAGACGGGTTCCCTCCAATCTCAGGTACAGATAGCAGCCGATGCTGTATCATTCTTATCATTGGAAAATCTCATGGCAAGCTTTTGAGATTGAAAAGATTTGTTAAATTTAAAGAGTCTTATGAGTGTTTGTGATTGACAATGGTAGTTTTTAGATGTTATTTTGAGGTGTTGATTGTAGGAACCTTCAAGCCGCGGTTTTGTCCCACGGTGTCCGGATGCCGTAGTCAGATTGTGTTTGACGGAACCGTTAGGAACGTCATCTCACTGCAGCCAGGAAACTTCTCCATCTTGTTCAACAATACCATGGGTCGAAATGTCCTGCTGGTCAGTTCTCCGATTGTTTTTATGGCACCTGTTATATAACTTACCTGTATATATTGGACTATTTCTTGATAGTGCTCGTTATAACTTACCTGTACATCTTCTCTAGGACTACCTGATGGTACCTGTAATATCTTACCTGTATATTTATGTAGGACTTCTTCATGGTAGTGTTTACCTTTATGTTTTTGTCTCTAGGACTACCTGATGGTGGTACCTGTACAGCAGTTCTCTCCATCAGATTTGAACCTGCAGCGCATTGACAACTCGGCCAAGTTCCTACAGTGGTGTGTCGGGCCAGGATTTGTCCTTGTGTATGTAAATATACAATGTATATGGATTGATCCCATGTTTTTATATCCCAGTATAGCACAGATATTTTACTTAATATGAGTCTGACCTGAAATTAATACAGCAAGTATAATAACCAAAAGTGTATTTTTATCATAAAGTATTCCCTGGAAAATTAAATATATCAATTTCAAAGTTAATTGTGAGTCATCCTTTTCAACTAATGTATTATGAATTTTGTGATAATGCTTTGGAGTTTGTAGTGATAATGACATGATGTGCATTGTACATTTTACAGCAATGACACCGAGTTCTGTCGTTCTGGAGTCTACACGATTACGACAGACTTTAACAATGGTGGACTGGCTTGTGGCTGTGACACGGACGGGTCGCTAAGCTTCGAGTGTTCTAACTTTGGAGGACAGTGTCAATGTCGGGACAATGTGATTGGTCAGAAGTGTACACAATGTCGCGAGGGCTACTACGGGTTCCCACGTTGTAAACGTAAGGAGTTTTCCTCATTCTTTAGACAGAATTTCTTGAAGATTTTCATATGAAGTACACATATGATTTTATTAAATGATATTCTTTATCTATGCAGTATTTAATAAGCAATAAATGTCTGATTTCAGCTTGTAACAACTGTCCATATGGTATGTGTAACCCGGTGACTGGAGATTGCATGTGCCCCCCTCGAGTGATGGGGGAAAGGTGTAATACCTGTGTGCCTGCTACCTACGGTTTTGATCCTCTAGTTGGATGCACTGTAAGTTGTTACCAATCTTCAAGAAGACCATTAGGTTTATAGAGTAAAAACTATGATAGAAATTCAATTTTTACATAAAATTTGAAATCCTCTATTTGTTTGCATTTTTTATAAATATGCTGATAATTTGCTGCTGACAGGACTGTAAGTGTAATGCTGAGGGAGTTCTGAATGAGGACATGAACTGTGATCAGACCACGGGCCAGTGCACGTAAGTCACCTCGACATCCAGAGACACCAATTCATTTGTTCACAACCTGTTTTAAGAGCATGTTCATCAATATTATTGTCTTTCTATGTTACTATGGAGTTTTTTGATTTGTCTTGTAGATGTAAGGACAATGTGGGAGGCCGTAAGTGTGATTATTGTCTGGCCGGCTTTTACTCCTTCCCGAACTGTGCTGAATGTAGTAACTGTGATAGCAAGGGAACCCAGGAGCAGATCTGTGACACAAGCAATGGAGCGTGTCTCTGTAAGGTAAGCTATATATAGTAACACTTTAGATAGTAACACTACACTTGACCCAGGAACAGATCTGTGACACAAGCAGTGGAGCATGTCTCTGCAAGGTTAGCTATATATAGTAACATAACCCCTCTAGCTTTAGATTGACCCAGTAGCAGATATGTGAAGTAAGTAGTGGAGCTACAGTATATATAGTTACACAACATTCAGACTTCTTTGGAACTTGAGATGCATCTCAGCAAGTTATTTATAGTAACGTCTCAAAGGTTAAAAATCTTTATCATCAGAGAATGTGAAGTGAATATAGGAATTGTATACACATACATATATCAGAGTTTTTGTGTTACTTAAGCTTTTTGTTGGTATTTGCAGGAGAATGTAGCGGCCCCTGATTGTAGTAGTTGTGAGTCTGGCAGCTTTTACCTGGATCCACGGAACCCTAAAGGCTGTACCAGGTGTTTCTGTTTCGGGACAACAACCCGCTGTGACAGCTCTGTATTTGTCTGGGCCCAGGTATCAGTTATAGTCAGAAAATAAGAAACCACTGGATTTTTTTTCACTAAACAAAGAGTGTGGTGAAGTTTTTCATAATGATTTTGTTATTGAATTGTCAGATATATATCCGAGATAATTATATATTTCTGCAGCACCAAGACATGCTGGGTTGGGATGTAACTAACACTGCGGAGGAGTCCCTGAGGGAGTCCCAGACAATTATAGCTGTCCTGGAGGCGGACACCAAAATCACGGACCCTAATCAGGCCATGTACTGGATAGCCTCGGACTCCTACCTTGGGGATCAGGTCAGTCGGCAAATCAGTGCTCTAGTTCTCTGTATATTGTCTAATGACACTGTAAATACAAGTATCTGTCAGCAAAATAAAATCTCAAAAACCATATGGTTTAATTTGTTTAAAAAAGAAATTGTGGATGATTGAAACTTAAGTGTAAGTTTAACTTTCCTTTTTAGCTCACCTGAGCCGAAGGCTCAAGTGAGCTTTTCTGATCACATTTTGTGCGGCGTCCGTCTGTCTGTCCGTCTGTCTGTCTGTAAACTTTTCACATTTTCGACTTCTTTCAAGAACTGCTGGGCCAATTTCAACCAAACTTGCCACAAAGCATCCTTGGGTGAAGGGGATTCAAGTTTGTTCAAATGAAGGGCCATGCCCTCATTCAAGGGGAGATAATTGGGAATTAATAAAAATTTGGTGGTATGTTTTAAAAATCATCTTCTCAAGAACCACTGTGCCAGGAAAGCTGAAACTTAAGTGGAAGCATCATGGGGTAGTGTAGATTTAAGTTTGTTCAAATCATGACCCCCAGGGGTAGGGCGGGGCCAAAATGGCAGACCAAAGTTTGACATAGAAATATACAGGAAAATTCTTCAAAAATCATCTTCTCAAGAATAGCAAATCCATGATTGGTCATGGGACTACTTTTGGATTTAAACTTTTCAATAATAAACCAATTTCTACTTTTCCTAGCCACAGTGCTCAGGTGAGCGATGTGGCCCATGGGCTTCTTGTTTTTTTTGCCTGATCATTTCCATACTAATTAAGTTCAGTGATTATGTGTATTGAACACCAGGTAACAACTTTTACAGGTGAAATCGTACGGAGGTAAGCTTCAGTTTAAGGTGTACTATGTCACTCCCAGAGGAAATGAGACCAGGCTCCCCAGTGGACCAGACGTCATCCTGAAGGTAAGAAAAAAACAACCATATACTCAAAAAATTTAAGTCAATGAAGATGACTGTTCAATGATTTTCTGGATATTATTGAACTATTGTAGATAGATAAGCTCTTTTTGTTAACTTATTTGTAAGGAATGTAGAGCATTATGTGAGGTTGTAATTGTAGGGAGGGAATATGACTCTGCACCACCGATACTCTGACATCCCAGAGGCCACCACCACCAAACCTGTGGAGATCCGACTTAATGAGGTGAGCTTATTCTTCTATTGAGCTTCTCTGGGTAGAGTACTAAGTGATCGTGTATCTGTTAATTATCGTAAGTATGTGTTGCCCAGTTTTACTGTTTATGTCTTTAAAATCACAGAAACTTAATATCACTATATTATTTATACTATGTTTGCAGTATAACTTTGTCCGAGCTGAGGATGGACTTGGGGTATCCAGGGAAACCTTTATGATGGTCCTGGTGGATGTCACAGCTCTACACATCCGGGCCAACTACTTCACCCCCACCACAGAGGCCAGGTAAACCCCCCCCCCCCAAACAACTACTTCAACCCCACCACAGAGGCCAGGTAACTCTCCCCCCCAAACAACTACTCCCTCCCACCACGGAGGCCAGGTAAGTCTGACCCCCCCAAACAACTACTTCACCCCCACCATGGAGGCCAGGTAACACCCCCTCAAACAACTACTTCACCCCCACCACAGAGGCCAGGTAAACCCCCCCCCCAAACAACTACTTCACCCCCACCATGTAGGCCAGGTAAGTCTGACCCCCTGTACAAAAATAATAGAACTGACTCTACTGCTGAGTGCCCTATAAAGGGTGTAGTATTACAAGTTGGAAGCATTTTATTCCTTGAAATGTATTGCCTTTAATTGAGTGTTCTCTTTTAAAAGGGTTTTATAATGTTAATAAATGATTTCATGCCTTAAAATTGTACATAGCTTATATGTTCCATGATTTTAACAGATCTTGTCATGTTTCCTGATTTTGATTTACAGGCTGATGGACGTTCAGTTAGACCAGGCTGTGGAGAGACAGGAGGAAGGGACGACGGATGAGGACGGAGGAGATGGAGGATTTTTTGGATTCTTTTTTGGTGGAAGCGATCAAACCACTCCTGCGCCGGCCCCCCTGGCCCGCAGCGTGGAGCAGTGTCAGTGTCCAATGGGATATGTAGGCTCCAGTTGTCAGGTAAGACATGATGTAATATTTTAAAAAAATGTTTTATATAAGTGAAATCTAAAATTTCAAGGATCTTTCTATCATTATGTTAATTACATGCATTATTTATTGTAAATTATGGACATTTTTTGTGTTGTACCATTGTAGGACTGTGCCCCAGGGTACTACCGTTCCTCTAAGACTCCGTACCTCGGCGTGTGTATTCCGTGTAATTGTAATGGTCACTCAGACACTTGTGACAAAGAGACAGGGGAATGTCAGGTTTGTCTAGATTACCAGATTACCATGTAGATACATGTACTGTAAATGACTTTTTTTAAGCAAGAACTTTATTTTTGCACAGCCACACAAATGAAAAATTACTTCACTAAGACATGGTAACTATTCTCTCACAAAAATAAGGTAGGGCAAAAATATAGTGATCTCCAGTTAAATATTCACAGGATTGGAGACTTAAGTTGTTGTTTTTTTTTGCAGAGTTGCCGAGATAATACAATGGGGAAACATTGTGGAGAATGTTTACCTGGTTACTATGGTGATCCTATGACAGGTGGTTGTCAGATTTGTAGCTGTCCAATGCCCATCGAGAGCAACAAGTGAGTACCATTCTTCACATTGTGACCTGCAACACAATCTCATTTCTATGTAGCGAAGTTTCCATCCTAATTTTGATAAGTCTTTTAGGTTAAAACTAGAGAAGTAAAAAAGATTATGTGATTAAAGATTATTTTATATGATACTTTACAGCTTTGCCACTGGTTGTAATGTGTATGTTTTATTTGATGTTTTACAGCTTTGCCACTGGTTGTAATGTGTATGAGGGCACGGTGTACTCCTGTGACTGTCTGCCGGGCTACACAGGCTCACGCTGTGAACAGTGAGTTAACTCCTCAGTCTACCATTCTATAAAAATTAAAAAGATACAGCTATGCATCATATTCTGCTTTCATACATGCCAACTTTCCCGATTTAGGCGGGATCCTCCCGATTTTACCCTTTCATCCCGCTTTCCCGATCGTGAGAGAAAAATTGCCCCAATTTCCCGATTTGAAAAAAAAATCACCAAAATTTCCGATTTTATAAGTTTCCCTACCGCTGAATTTTGACAATCGGGATAACAATGTCAGACTTGTTTATTCAATGCAAGTTTCACTGTTTATTTAACCAGGTGTTAATCATGTTAATTAGCCACAGGAAATCACTTCACGCTTGAACACACGCAGTTGTCCACGTACAAGTAGCTTATAGCTTGGGGATTATCTTGACAGTTTTAAGGGGTATGCAAGGTGAAACACATAGATTACCGTGATAATTGTTAGTTCTTTAATGAAAAACATAAATTAAAGACAATAAAATACAAATCAAACCATGAAATCGGAATCCAAAGAGATCGTTTTTTGAAAATGAAAGTAGAAAACTACAAAGCATAACTGCTGATTTTATCTACCTATCATGAAAAATATTGTAAAGTTTGCCAGTCAAAATATTATGAAAAAATTAAGATGAAACAATCAATTAGAATTTCTTTCCCCTCCCTTCTCCCAAAAGTAATATGTTAGGTATGTGCATAATACCCACATGACACCATCAAGCCTGACAAATTTCATGACCGTAAAAAAAAAAAAAAATTCTCTTTTGGATAGGTGGTATAAATTTCTGTAAATTTAATATCTTATTAGAATTTCTAATTAATTGAAATATAAATATAAAATCTCAAAAATGTTTCCAGAAACAGGACTTTACAGTATCAAAACCTCATATATTATTTAGCCTTTGAAAAAAAATAAAATGATTTAAAAGTTGTACAATTTTCAATTTTTCACTAAATAAAATATGTGTCCTGGTAGAAAAAAATGTTGTTTATATATGTAACTAAATACCCCTTCTTTAGTGAGAGAGGCACCTGTTTTAGAAAAAAATATTTCAATTTTGGAAAGAAATTAAAACATTATTTTTTGTGTTAAATTAATCCTTAAGTTGTATTGATAAGTGATATTAATATTATAAATTAAAAAAAAAGATCATTTCATATCATTTAATTTCACGACAAAATGTAGCAAATTTAAATCTTTGAAAATTGTCGTCACGCGCTAAATCCCCCATGGGAATTTTCAAAAGTTGGCATGTATGTGCTTTTAAAATCCATGTTAAAAAATAGAGGAATATGCTGGAAACAGCTCCCTTGATTTTAACTTTTTATAATTCCTACAATTAAGGTGTGCCCCTGGTTACTATGGTGACCCGACCGTTGAAGGCGAGGTGTGTCGTCCGTGCCAGTGCTCGGGTAACATTGACATGTCTGACCCCGAGGCCTGTAGTCTGTCTACAGGGGAGTGTCTAAAGTGTCTAAACAACACCATGGGGCCGGCGTGTGCCTACTGCCAGGACTGGTACCACGGCGACGCTGTCAACCTCAAAAACTGTCAAGGTCAGGCGTCTTCTTAGTTAAATGTTACACACAGTTTATGAATTCCACTTCTATGGTTCCCATTTTTACGTAGATTAAGTATGTACTGATTTGTGTTGTAGCTTGTACTGATTTGTTTTGTAGCTTGTACTGATTTGTTTTGTAACTTGTACTGATTTCAGTGATTTGTGTTGTAGCTTGTACTTGTGATCAGTGTGGCTCCTCGTCGTGTGACAGGGACACGGGGACTTGTCAATGTCTGCCCAATGTAGAGGGCCCCGACTGTGACAGGTGTAAGGTCAGTGTCTCAGGCTCTACTGGAGAAATCAGTTGTCAGTTTTAATTCTGATCTGTGTTGTATGTAAGGATACCTGTGTAATAATCACCTGAGATTCTGTATTTATCTACACAGGCTGACACGTTTGGATTTGACAGCTGTGCTGGCTGTCAGGAGTGTAACTGTGGTGCGGCCTCAGTGAGCTCTCAGTGTGATGACGTCACGGGTCAGTGCACATGTCAACCCGGGACAGATGGGCGGTATTGTGATCAGTGTAGTGAGGGGTACTGGAACTACACCGCAGCAGGATGCCAGGGTAAGGGCTGAAAAATAAACTTAGTTGGGAATAATTCATTCATTTAGTAAACAACCTGTGATTTACAATGTTAAAAAAAATTGTCCTCACTCAAAATAGATAAATTTGTATTAATGTTATTTCTACACCTTTCTTTATGACTGACCTTTGATATTGATAGCTTGTCAGTGTGAAGAAGATGGGGCCATTACCTGTGACAGGGTGACAGGTAGATGTCAGTGTTTACCTGGGGTTACAGGAGATAGGTGTGACAGGTGTTTACCCAGGTATATCCTCGTGGCCAACAAAGGATGTCAAGGTCAGTATACATCAGGAATCTGTAAATGGATGTAACCCCCCCCCCCCCCCCCCCCCAAGAGTTACAAAAATCTCATCTGACACAGACCCCCCATCTACAAATCTGTAAAAATGATGTATCCCTTGCCCCCTATCTTGAGTTTCAAGATTTTAAAAAATATATATATATGTATATGATTAAAAAAAATTTAATGAGTGCTGTATTTACAGCCTGTGACAACTGTATTCATATTCTGCTGGATGATGTGGAGGCCCTCCAGAGAAATATCACTGGCCTGTCCTCTACCCTGGAATCCGTGTCTGTAGGGATGACCGCTAACAATCGACTAGAGGAGATCAACCAGGCAGCCATCAACCTCAGGGTAAACATCATCAAACTTGTGTTCTTCTACCCAAAAATTAAAGGGAACAATTTTTTTTTCATGACATTGAACAACTTTTTCATGTCAGTGTCACTAACTTTTAAATTATTGGATTCCAGCAATTTGACTCTTTTTGAGGGTTCAGATTAAGCACTGTATATCAGCTATCCAGTATAACATAAGTAGATTAACTCAGTATTTTCAGATACACATGTTATATATTTTACAGCCCGAGGTGGATGCTCTGTTAGCAGGACCACAGGACGTCTCTTTGGATCCACTGTCCATAGAACTGACCGCTATACAAGCTCTGGCCGACAATGGAAAGCTCAAGGTGAAATCACAATATGGCTGTGTGGAGTAACAAAAAAGTTTATAGCTATGTGTATTTGCACAGTTTGTTCATGTATTATAATTTTGTTTTTTCCTTCAGTCTGACAGATTGATAACACAGGGACAGTTTCTGACCGATGAGACGGTGCAGCTTGTCTCCGCGGCGAACGACATCGAGGCCAAGACGACGGAGGTCAAACGGGAGACAGATGGTAAGTATTCATAGACAGAGGTATCAAGTCTCTGGCTCAGTGGCATTGCTTGTACCTAAAGAGGCAGGGAACCAAATTAAGCTCTTTGATTAGTTCTATGGCGTTTGCTTCTCTGTTGGAGTTCTGGGTCTTACTTTGAATTGATTTGACCCCAAATTGTTCTATTTGGATCCCACCACTGTAACTTTTCATGCTTATCCTGTAATGTTTCAACTTTTTAAACGGCAGAAAATATACCCTTTCCCTGACTGCTTGAGTTTTATTTGAACCTTTTGTACCATCATGCATTGTAAAACATTTGTTTTTATTTGTATGGTTATTTAGATGTTGTCCAGTATGCCCAGAACATCCTGAGGCAGATCCTTGAAGGAATCAAGGTCACCAACATTGAAACCATCATCCAGGACTCCATGAGAATCCTAGAAAAGATAAACTCCAGGAATTTTACCGGTAACACTGAGGAGTGCAATACAGAGGAAGATTTAGCCAGAGAGTGTAAGTTCATCTTTATATAGAGTGGGTCAATATTATCTTGCCTTCTGTAGGTAGAACATACAGTAAAACACACTTGTTATGAACATGCTTATATTGAATTGACACTTACAGCCACATGATTTCCATTCCCTGTGGCTTTATATATATTGTGAACTTAACATACAATGTATATGATGAATTACGTGTATGATTAAACAAAATTGATTGTTCCAGGTGTTTCATTATAAGCATATTTTAATGTACTCCATGATGATAAAAAAGATATTTTTTGATTAAAATCATGTTTTACCTGTGAGAAACCTATTTTCAGTGCTGGCTAAGATGCGTTTCCTGTTTGCGTCTGGACAAAGACAATCCAATGAAACAGCAGAGACACTTAAAGAGGTCAAGGACATTAGTATGAGGTTGTACGACCTTCAGAGTAAAACCCAGAACTCGGACAGAGAGGCTGACGCCGCAGAGGAACTGATCAAAGAACTCAACCAGGAAACTCTCAGCTTACTACAGGTATCTGTATATCACAGGGCAATTAGTATCATACTTGTTTAAGTTAAACTTGAAATTACATATTTCAAATCAGTTTGAAAATTTTGCAGGTTTTAGCCAAAATATCAATTGCACACATATTTACATACATGTATATAAATAATCATTGTTTACGAATTTTTTGAACATTATACATGTATATTAATAATATGAATGAAATGCATGGTATGGTTACTTACTGGAAGTTACATTAATTATAATAATTGATGACGTTAGATTCGACTGGGAGGCATAGATATGTCCAATAAGGACATCAAAATTTTACATTCCATGTCTGACGGACTTCTGGCGGACGCGAGGAATGCCCTGGACAAATCTAGGAAGGAGGCCAGTGTAAGTGACCAGTGGAATCTGTAGAACAAAAATCTAAATTGCCTTATGATACCTTTTCAATTCTGTGAACTAAATTAATAGCCATTTTCATACTTGACATGACATAAAGAATTAAAAAATAACCCTTGTTTTGTAGAAGGCAGAGGTTCATGCTTCTCAGATTGATAATGCTGTGGTGACGATGAGGGAATTTGTTGGAAATTTGAGCAATGGCCTTGAGGAAGCCATTACCAAGGTCAACGAGAGTCAGGAACATGCCCAGGCTCTGTCAGATCAAGCCCACTTCCTAGAAAAGTAAGGCATTGGACATCAGTATGTTTGGATGGGAAAATTCGTCTAAGGGAATTTTAAATGTTTTGATTACTACTTTCTTTGTGAATGTGAACAGTCAATATATTTAAATAATGTATAACAATTTCTACATTTTTTGGATTTCAGTATTTACACAGACACCAGGGAAACCTCTGCCAATGCACTGAGTGCAGCAAGTGCCTTCCAACAGATTGTGGACGCCATTGATGATGCCAACAATGCCTCCAGTACGGCCCTAGACGCCGCCAATAAGGCCCTGGGCAAGGTAAGAGTACAAACTTTAGATAGTTACCCTCTAATGAAGTCCTGGGACTGAAATTGAAATAGATAACCTTTAATAAATCCCTGGTCAAGGTTAGAATACAAATAAATGCTTTCTAATGAAGCCCAGGGAATGAACTTCCAATGAGGCCCTGAGCATGTTGGAGAAAAAAAATACACATGCTAAATAAATGCATTTTCATGAAGCTATAAGCAAGGTCAGGGAAAAACCTACTAGATCAATTTATGTGTTATGACTTTGACATTAAGTGTATTTTTTTGTAGTCCAATGGAGTTGGTGAGAATTCAGAGAACTCGAAGAATATCAGCATTGCTTTACTGGAGTCTGCCAAAGCTCTCTATGATACAACAGAAGTGGGTAAGTGATCAAGGATTATTAAAACAGTTTGGTGGTATTTGCATACTTTCCATCAATTTTGTAATCCTTGAGCAATTTTTGCGTTTTATATTATTAGAGATGTGAATTTTCGGGTCTATTTCTTCTCACATGCACCACATCTGTTGGATAACGTAATGCTAAATTTAGTTACAATTTCCTATTAAACAAGCAGTGGATTTTTTGTTCCAGCTCTGGCAGGAAGGTTACAGGATGCTAAACTGTCAACAGATGAAGTGGAGGGAATGAATGACAGACTCAGTAACGAGATTAACGACCTCAACATCAGGATCCAGGATTTTAGCAGAAGTAAGTACAGGAACTTATCAGTGATGGTATTAATGTGGAAACACAAAGGTCTTTTTTCTTCTTGTAGGCAATGACAAATATGTACAGACGGCACATTCATACAATGTGTATCTTTGTAAGAGCTGTCTACAAATTAAATGAATCTAATGTGATACTAATGTTAAGGGTTTCATGAGTAATTCTTACAGGCAGGTTTATGTCCCCACAATGAACTTCTTCAACCTATTTTTTATGGAATTTTTTGTACGAATGAGTTGATCATAACTTTATGTTCCCACAAACCAGGAAAATTTCGCTTGCCTATGAATATTGACCCTACAAATTGAAACGATTCCACAGCATTTTTACAAGTGTTTATACATGTATTTGCAAGGGCAATTTGGAAATCGAACAAGAGATGCCAGTAACCAGGCAACAGGAGCTGGGCAGCGGGCTCTGAGTGCCCAGGAAAAAGTGGGCACGATTCTGAGTAAGCTCCCAGAAGACAAGAACAAGATTGACAGACTGGCCAACACCGTAGCCAAGACAGACAAGAGCATCAAGGACGCCAGAAGTCAAGGTAGGATGTGTATCTAGGACCAGAACTTATTATCCTACAAATTTATTTATGAAGGAGAAAAAAAACAAAAAGAATGTGAGAAAATGTTAATGATAACACATTTAAATTATTTTTATAACTTCAGAAGACTTTGTTGTTGGGACATTGAATTAACATTAGTATTAGATGTTGATTGTTTTGTAATTGATTTTAAATGTCAATTTTAACAGGAGACTTTGTTAGGGACAAATTACCCCAGGTGATAACCCAAATTAACCTGCTTGGTACGAGGAATAAATCTGTTCAGGCCTTGCAACAGGGTGTAGCTGTCAATCTTACTCTCCTCAAAGAACGAATAGAGCTCGCTAGGGATGCTGCCAACAGGGTATGTACATTTATCTGGTAATGTTCTTCAATTTGTACGTCTAGTGTTAAAGTTTTGCTTTGAGATAGTACCTTGATCACTTAGTAATATCTAATGATTAAAATGCAGTAGGTAATACCACATTTTTATTCAGTATGAAAATATACCTAGTTTCTGTTTCTTTGCGTAGATCCGTGTTGGACTGGACTTTCTCGGGAACACCACGGCAACCCTGCGTAACCCTGCCAACATTGACTCGGCGGGCTCCTATTCTACTCTGTCAATGTACGTACAGACGCGACAGAAGAGAGCTATCCTGGCTTATGTAGGGGCCGACCTGATTCCAAACCGAGGCACACCAGTGAGTCCGAAATGTTTGTCATTGTATACAAAATAATTCTGCTGTAAACTGCTCTTTGTTTACACATTTATGAATAAGCAGTGATGATTTGTTAATTTCATCAGTTGATGGTTTATATATCGATGATGATTTGTATCAGTTGATGGTTTATATATCGGCAATGATTTATATCAGTTGATGGTTTATATATCGGCAATGATTTAAATCAGTTCTGACTGTGATTTTAGGACTACATGGCCCTGGAGCTGAGGAATGGATATCCAGTTCTGAGATATAACCTAGGATCTGGTCCGGCTGAGATTGTTTCAACTCGAGATGTCTCAGACGGTAACTGGTATCTCATCAAGGCTAAGAGGTGAGTATAAAAATATTTTAATAGTTACCTGTAGGATTTAATTTACATTGTTTACATGTAAGATTAAGTGTTTGTTTTGCCTATAGGATATAGCTTTACTTTGTTTTACCTTTAGGATTAAGGTTTACTTTATTTTACCTGTAGGATTAAGGTTTACTTTATTTTACCTGTAGGATTAAGGTTTACTTTATTTTACCTGTAGGATTAAGGTTTACTTTGTTTTACCTGTAGGATTGGTAAGATTAACTTTGTTTTACCTGTAGGATTGGTAAGTCTTTGTTTTACCTGTAGGATTGGTAAGATTAACTTTGTTTTACCTGTAGGATTGGTAAGTCTTTGTTTTACCTGTAGGATGAAGGTTTATTTATTTTTACCTGTAGGATTGGCAAGTCTGGAGAGTTGGTGGTGGAGGGAGACAGGGATAAGGGTCTATCCCCAGTCACAAGCACCGGGGAGTCATCAGGGACCTTCACTGTACTGGAGCTCAACCCCCAGACCACCAAGTTCTACGTGGGAGGGGTCCCTAGTGATATCAGAGTAAGTATGACAGCTTCACTGATCTCCAGGCTAAAGCTGTTCAGGAACTACATGTAAATGTTTCTGAGCATTCATAGAAAATTTTCTTCAGAGTGTTGATAGTTTTTTCTGTTGCACTGGAGAGTTGCTCTAGACCAATCAGATTGACTGTATTTTTCTTAGGAATAATGATATTACTTGTGTTCTATACAGTTACCTGGTGAGGTGGAGTCGTCGTTCTATGAAGGTGTTATGGAGGAGGTGATGTTTGATGGCAAACCATTAGGACTGTGGAACTTTGTCGCTGGAGAAAACAACTTTAAGGGAGCCATTGAGAGGTATTTAACTGAACATTTATAGTTACAGGAAAAAATAAAAATACTGTAAGATTTTGGTGGAGACAAATTGGGTTATGACTTATGAGTTGATGATAGAAATCCTAAGAATTTACATAATTTTTTGTATATAAGGGTAGTATTATCATGTGACCCTTTCATGTTTTTGTTTTACAGAGATGTTATGCAGTCGGTTATTTCAAATGGCTTCCGGTTTAACGGTAGAGGTTATGTAAAATTGAGTGTGTCTAAGGTCAACTTCAAACCACGCACAGATTCCAGCCTCATCCTGCACTTTAAGACGTACGTGGATACAGGACTGCTGTTTTACATGGGTAAGACTCCCGACTTCATGTCCCTGGAGCTGAAGAAGGGCCGCGTGTTGTTCCAGTACGACCTCGGGGGCAGCAGGAGAGCCGAGCTGATGACAAACAAGACGTTTAACGATGGAGAGTGGCACAAGATCCAGGCCCAGCGACAGAACCAGTATGGGGTACTTACCGTGGACGATGAAGAAGGTAAAGCAGTAATGATCGGTACATTCTAATCAAACTGTTTAAGAATTGTTCTCCATTAAACATAGAAATTCCATTTTCATATACTATATCAAATAAAGAAAATCGGTCTTCATTTACAATATAGTCCCAAAACTTGGAATTTTGTATATTTTTATGTAATTTGGTGTTAATATTGATATGAAAAATTTTCATTATTGTATCAGTTGACCAGCAGTAAGTTCTTTATAGCTTTAGTTGTATTCCGTGTTAACTGTATCTTTGTAGACATCAGAGGCCAGTCTCCGGGAAGCATGACAGAGTTGAGCTTTACTGACGACATGTTTATTGGAGGCTACAATAGAATCTTCCTTCCCATGAGGTGTGTAAACTGACATTCAATCCTTATTCCATCCCCAATCTCTCTACAAAGTTCTATCTGCTGTCAGAAACTTTCTTTTTTTGTTGTACAAATATTTTCAAAGAACAACATTTGCTATGTTTATATGAACCCAGTTTTGAATTTGGTAACTTGGTACAGTACTATTTTACAAGATTCTAGGTTTTGTAAATGTTTTCTTCTGTTATAGTAATGTTACTTCCCGGGGATTTGATGGTTGTATACAAGATCTACAATTTAATATCAACAAATGGGATCTAAACAAGAATGAGGCGGCCAAAGGGGTAGTCCGAGGATGTCCAGAACAGGTAACTCACTATTGCTTCTATAACATTATGTACAGGTGTTATAAAAAGTAGCTAGATACATCAGTATTTGTTTTCTACCTATTTCTATGTACTGTTTGATTTGGATATTCAATAGCAATTTCTTTCGTTTTTAGATCTTGAGAACTGCTACATTTGACCAAGATGGTGGATATATTGCCAGAGCCATGGCCAATAGTGTTGGCGAAAATTTTGATGTGACGTTTAGGATTAAGACCAAATCTGATTCCAGTATGATCCTGTATACTTCCAACAATGACCAGGTGAGGGGGGAAGTTCAGAGAGTATTTTTCTTGTAAGATTGGAGAATTCAAAACTGTACCTGTACTTCTTATTTACAAAAATGTAAATATTGAAGCTTGTCTCCTTACGCTTGTGTTTTTTCATAATTTAAAGGTATTTTATCCGTTTTGAATCATTTTATATGCAGAAAGTTTTAGAAAATTGTTTTAATTTCAGACCTCTGGATTCTCAGTGGCCATTGTGGGAGGTCGTTTGATCGTGACCTCTCACCCTGGTGGTGACCCAACAGTTCTGGAGAGCACAGTCAACACGTACAATGATGGAAACTGGCACTATGTCTCCATTATGAAAATGGGAGGAAAGTAAGGCCTTCAGCTGACCTTGACATTCAATGAATATTCATGTCAACAATTTGATACAGTTTCATTTTAACAGATTTAACATGTTGAAGTGAATGTGTCACATAATAATTGTTTCATTTAATTTATTAATTATGTTCACTTGTTTTAACTTTGTGTGTTATTTTCTAGGTTGATGATGAATATTGATGACCAGGAAATGGTCAATAAGACTGGCCGGTCAGGTACTGCTGTATTTACAGAGCGCCCCCTGTATATTGGAGGGACGGACTTCACTATGTCTGATAGCCTAGTATCATCCACAGCCAGGTTCACTGGATGTGTCTCCGATTTTACAGTCAATGGAGTGTAAGAAACATTTTAAAATATATCATTAACAGTACAATTTCAGAGCATAAATACATGTATCTTACTGAAGTCTGTGGTCAAGATAATGTACTTTTTGACATTTTGATTAGGATTAATTTTTCTCATTGTACAGATTCCTGAACTTTGCCACCGTTCCGCGACAGAATGTGCGAGGCGTCTCGTTCAGTGAGTGTCCTATTGAGGACTCTGAGACTCCCATTGCCAGGACAACTGTCCGCCCTACATTCCCCCCAGAAAGTGAGTATTCAGTCTCCCATTAAACTTATAATGGAGTCAGTCTTCTGTCTCCCTTTAAACTTTTAACTTGAGTTGGTCTTGAAATTTTCAAGTACATGTATTAGTGAACATTTGATGTATGGGCTGTATAGTATAAGCAAATATCAAGCATCATTTTTCTGCATTCAGAATTTTAACTGAATACATGTATTTCTAAAATATTTTCTACATCTTGTATTTAATTTAACCTTTCTACCCCATTTAAGTTATCTTCATATTTGCATTAGAATGTATTAAATAGACAGTGCTCCTATATTCAAATGTAGACTAGAAATCTTCATATACATGTATGATGAGATCCATAAAATTCTCATATGCTGTGCAATTACATTCAGTGAAATCCTTGTGTGTTATTCAATTTCATTTTGTAATGCCCCAAATTTATAATTCAGCAGATAGGATTCAAACATATAAAAAATAAATCTCTATACAAGACTATCTCTCTATTTAATATATTTTTAAAACTCCAACTTTTTAAAGTACTTTATGTAAACCATACAGTTGACCAATCATAAGCCCCCAGACAGAGTTAACATTGCAAGATAGCTGCTGAGATTTTGTACACCTACTGTTTTTACCTTGTGTCAGGTGAAGAGAGATCCACCACTGCACCGGTGCCTGTGGAGGAGAAGTGCCGCTTACCCTCCAATGTGGATGTAGCTACAATTACCCCCGGAGATGTGGAGGGCATCAAGTTTGGAGACACCTATACCAGTCGTTACGAATATACCAGTTGGAAGAGTCTACGAGTCCAGTAAGAAAAAAAAAATCCTTAATTTCAAGATTTATTCTCACGATATGGTTAACTCAAATTTTACAGTTTGATATACACATATGTACTTGGATTCGCATAAGGGCACCACAAAGCTGAGCATCCCCTTGTAAAGAACAAATCTATAAATCAAAGGCAGCATTTGACATCGATCTTGATACAAATTACATCACTTCTGTTTCAAAGGACAAACCAATTCACATACAGTGATGCACACACGTGCTTATTACTACATGTATATCCCATCCAACTCCATTGCGAGGGGATAAAATGGTGAGCTGTACCTAGGTACTAAGACTGATGTGATCTTTACAGGTTTACAATCTCACTAGAGTTTAAGACAACCAGCAGTGGAGGAATTATACTGTACGCCGTCGGCAGGAGAAAGATAGACTTTTTTGCCCTCACTATGAAGGAAGGACGTCTGATCTTCTCTTTTGACTGTGGCTCTAGGGCTCTGAATCTGGAAACGGACAAAACCTACAATGATGGTCTATGGCATACGGTAGACATTGGTAGAGTTCAGAAAACGGGCAAAATTTCCGTGGATGGAGAAACTCCGAAGGAGGGAGTATCCCCCGGGGCTACGCAGGCACTGAATGTTGGAAGACCCTACTTTTTGGGGGGTATAACTCCCCAGCTTCAGGGACATGATAAAGTCAAGGGACACCTACAGGTCTGTTTAACTTACACACATCCCAAAAATGAAGTACAAATGTCAATAATCATAAATTTAACCATTGTGGAATCATATATTTTCATGAGGTCAATTTTTTAAGGATTAGAGAAAAACATTGAAGTTCATAGCTCTCTGCTTGTGTTCCACAGGGTGTTTTGGGCAGTTTTGATGGATGTATCCGTAACATGAAAATTAATGAGAATAGCTTCGGAGACCCGGTGAGGGAACAGAAGGTCAGTCAGTGTGTAGCTAACCTAGAGCGGGGAACCTTCTTCAATGACCAGGGAGGATACATCAATATGAGTAAGTCTGACCAAGATTTAATTGGATGCTAAAGAAGGAAAAACAGTTTTGAAGCTCTTCTAAAGATTTTAACATCATTTATAGGGAAATCTGTCTTGTGTGTAAGAAAACTGTATACCAGCTTGAACTTTGTAGTAATTGTCATGATTTTTTTTTATAGTTGATGACTATGAAGTGGGTCTTGACTTTGCATTTAACCTTGACATCCGGCCCAGAAATCTGAGTGGTGTCCTGTTGGCGGTGCACAGCTCCAATAAGAGTGACGATTTTATCCTCTTGCAGTTAGTGGATGGAAAGGTACAACCAAATGTTTCATCACATCACTGTCAAATCATTGTCTGATAAAGGTGTCTTAATCACATCACCCTAACTTGCTATTTATGACCTTAATGTCTGAATATGATATCTTCATTACATAATCATGATTATGTTAGCTTTGTCCCGTCAATGTTTATTTAGGTCTCCAATGAGGTTTAATTCTTTTTGTATTTAGGTTATTGCAACTGCTGACAATGGTAAAGGGGAGGTAACCACCACATACATCCCCCGCCAGGAGAACGCACTGTGTGATGGAGGATGGCATAAAATCAGCGGTGAGTTCAATCTGTCAGTAAGGAAAGCCAATATTAATTTGTATAAAACTCAAGTTTACATACAAATATTCTTTTTATATGGATATATTTTTACGTGGTTTTATTCTATTACAGTGAACAAGGCTAAGAATCTCCTGTTGCTGACAGTGGATGGAATGAATGCTCCAGCTGGAACCGGGGCAAGAGGATCCTCGGAGATTAATTCCCGCGACCCGTTATATATTGGCGGAGTTCCAGGTACCTTTACTCTGCCTTGATCAGAGTTTTCAATATTTTAACAAACCCATACTGTTCAAGTGTTTGTACATTTAGCTGGACTTAGTATTACCAAATGCTGCCATGTGTAATTCTCATCCCTTAAGAACAGTGCAAAAATAGAGCAAAATGTGGTTACCTTATAATGAGAAACCATTTTCTTTGGAATTCTTATTTTATTCTTGTTTTATTTTTTTCAGATTTTAACCGGCGTGGTATTTTGGTTGACAGAAATTTTTCAGGATGTATGCGTAACTTTGAGATCAGACGTGGTAAAGATGACACTTACCAACCAAAATACTTCTCAGGAGCTAAGGATATAGTGGGAGATATAACACTCAACAAGTGTCCGCTAAACTAAACTCAAAAACCATAACATTCAAGGGGATTTGTTAAACTAAACTCAAAAACTAATCTCAAATGTGCAATATTTAAGACAACAGCATTTTTTGCTTAATAACAGGGTAATTTTTACTGAGATTCAAGTTCACTTAAAAGACTTCAATAACGCAAAAAAAAAAAAAACAAGTTTTTGCTAGAAAGGTTCACTTCTTATTAAAATTTATCATTTGATCTGTATTTAGGTTAAGGATAGAGTTTCCTGATCATTGTACAATGAACCATGAACATCACATGAATGTACAGTTTATGTATCCTGATCTTGCAATATTAGTATAAATGAAATATTATTGTGGAAAAAAAATGTTTGGCTTAATTGTTTAAAAGATACATGAATTTGGACATATTCTTAAGGTAATCAAGAGAACTTTATTTCTAGCAAATTTTTTTTTACTTTTCAAATAAAAGTTAAAAACTATATTTTGCTGAACAAAAGATTTGACAGAATAATCTTTTTATTTTTATTTCCAAGGTTGATAATTCAAATCTGGAATTTTTATATACATTTATGTATTTTTAAGCCATATGCCATCTTCTTAGAAATCCTTTTTAATTAAAAAAAAAAACGTTTCTTTGTATTTTTATTTAGAGACTTTTAAAAACATTTTATCAGATATACATTGTGTGTGAGTATTGATGTTTTTGATCTTGCAATATTAGCTCTAAAAAATATATATTGATAGACCGGAGAGCTACAGTGCCACCCAAAAAAAACTGTATATTTATTGCGCACAAAAAAGTACATGGTTTTGGATTTATTTCTCCATGTTCTTAAAACTGTAATCTCAAAATATTACTAACCGTGTGTTCCTAACATATTCATTTGACTCTTTCCACAACAAAACATTCGTCATAATCGTTGTTAATAGTTGTCCTGACCCTGATATTGTAATAATCGAACATTTCGCTTATTTATGCTGCCATTTTGGTTTCAAAGGTAATTCGGTCCAATATGCTTGATAGATGTCAACTACGAGAGTTTTTATATAGGAGAGAGAACATTTTTTAAATCTTTCCTTTTTTGCAGTTGAGGTAAGAATTTGGAAGAGTTGATTATAGAACTGAGCGCACTTTTTTGTGCGCAATAAATATACAGTTTTTTAAAAACAGCTCTTTTATCAGATATATATTGTGTGTGAGTATTGCAGCTATTTTTAGAAATGAAATGTATGCACTGTTAATCTTTTGTTCAGCATAATTTCAACAAATGAACCTCATCCCTTGTAGAAATATCCCTTGTTTGGTAATTTCCTTTAATTATGAAATAGTTTGTTATTCATTGCTTAAAACAATTATTCTTCACAAAATGTCCTTTTTCAAACTAGCCTTCTTTTAACATACCCAAAACTTTCCTTCATTTTCATATATGTTGAAATCAAAGCAAAATCAATGAAAAAATAAATGAAATGAAATAAATCTGGATTTCATCTTATTTAACCATGAAGCAGATTAATTTGAATCTAAAAATTAAATATAAAAAGTTAGATTAAGCTGTAACTGTCTTTGGATTTGGCTTTCCTATCATCAAAAACTAACAATACATTTTGTCAGTGATGTCATAAAAGGGGATATTTGTAGAAGTGATGTTTCTTTTCAATTTTAGGCCTTATGTGTAATGTCTGTTTTCATGTTTTTGTACATTTAGATCTGAATATAGTTGCATATCAGGAGGTAATGTTGAGATGTGCACTTAAATTTATTTGTATGAAAATATTAAAAACAGAAAATGAACAATGTGTTTGTTCTTCCTAAAAAATGAAAATCTCACCCAACTGAAATATACACATTCTTTTTTTTGTCCCCCGCTTGAAAAGTTGGGAATATTAATTTGGGTCTGTCCGTCTGTCAGTCATTCTGTCTGTCTGTAACGCTTTTGTTTCCACAAGATATCTCGAGAACCCTTTGAGCTTTCACAATGAAATTTTGCTTAGCAACTCCCTGTGGCCTAAGGAAGACCCCTATTTATTTTGAGGTCAAAGTTCAAGGTCGTAAATTTATATATTATGTCTGTGTGTAACACTATCCTTTCCGGGCGATATTTCAAGAGGATTTTGAGCTTTTACAGTGTAATTTTATACCAAAACTCCCTAGGACCTCTCTCAAAGTGTCCCGCCCTGTTTGTTTTATTAGTATTTATTGTATTACATGTTGCTATTTTTAGCACAGGGGCATGAGGAGAGTTATTACGTATAAATCAGGTTCTCGGCGGACTTTATGTTCTTACTACATTAGAACTATTTAATAAAGGTTAAATTAGACACTATGCATTGTGTAAAATTTTGACAATATCGAACGTGAATATATAAATACATGTATGTGACTTCATCTTTGCATATAATTTACACTAGTGTAAAGTAGTTCCGTGGTCTAGTGGTATGTCTCTCGCTTCACATATGAGAGGTCTCGGGTTCGAATCCCGGACGATCCACTTTCTATTTTTTTTTTCGGAATACTTTTTTTTTTAATAAATGATAGTATTCAGCATGTGAAATGAAAAATAAATTTATGAGGTCTGGCTTATGCCATCTCATAAAATCATCATTACAGTGTGATAAATATTCCATATAAAAAGAATCTTCTATACAATTACTAGTAATAAAGAATAAGCAATCAAATCTTTATATGCATATTGACATACATGTATTTTATTTGCTTCAGTATACATGTATACATTCAATAATTCTACAAATTCAGTCAGGGGGATCCGACTTTTTCCCTAAGCGGGGGACACAAATTCTCTGAATTAGCTTGTTATAATTAGAACAATATATCCAGATGGAAGAAAAGAACAGATAAAATACATTTAGAATAAACACTTATGTGTGGTTCAATAGACACAAAAACTCAAAGGACTTGTAAATAATTGGACTTTATTGCCACTAACATCTAGAGATTATGTACACAGTATATACAGAAACAGCCCCGCCCCCCGTCTCAGGAGATCTGGGGAGGAATGGGATTGGTGCTTTTGATGACTTGTCGTTTGTGGTGGGTATTAGCGTACACTCCGGTCTCGTCCTGCCAGGTGTTACGACCGGGGCGCCGATAGTCAGCAGTGTCTGTAAACTGAGAGTTACATTTCCTGTACGCAGCTGACAAGTCGGGGAAATCAGCAGGCTTCTCCTGTGGGAATTAGTAAAAGTCAAGTTTGTATAGAATCAATGTCCATCATTCATAAGTCATTATACATAGATGTTCGTGTTAATCACGTGGTAACACAAAGTAGCAAGACAGATAGAAAAATATATGAACATCCTCTCTTGAAATATGACCCCCATCTTAACAAACTTCTAATTGATTAAGTAGATAAGGCGTAAAAACTTGACGTTTAGATTGTTAAAGTGAGCTGTTGACTTACTGGGACAGGTGTGTACTCTGAGTCTGGGGACTGATAGTCCGCTCTGTGAGTTGTTTCTAAGTGGCACTTGTTGTACTCGGGATTGTGCCTCGGTAAAACTGCACCAAAGCCTCTCTGGGGTGTGCTTAAATCTCTAGAAGATAAAAGATACGTTTATTAATGAATTGTATCTTTAAGTGTGCATGATGACAATGAGTTTTGGGTAATCCAGTAATCTCAGTGAGATGGGTAGAGACTAAAATTTTGGTCAGACCAAAATTTCAGTCTCTACCCATCTCGCTGAGATTAGTAATCCAGTACTGTGGAATCTTCAGATTTTGTGGTGTCTCAATTCTTGGAAATTCATGGGTACCTCTTATCCATGAATTAATATCCTCCACAAATTAATAAACTAGGATTATTAAGTCATGTTTCCTTTTTTAGGTATAAGAGAATACAAAAAATTACATCCCCTCAAACCTGCAAGAATTAAGTAATCCATGAAAATTGACCCCACAGATTCACTCGGAGATCCTCGGATGACTCGTACCTCGCACATAAGACGTCAACGGTTTAATGCCGATTCCATGTGATCTTATTTGAATTTCTTTCAAATGTCATACATTTGAGATTGGAGTTAGAGTTTCTTCTTGCTTTCAAAGCCTATTAACATGAGGATGTAATCAAAATACGATAACGAATTGCACAAATTAAGAAACATTTTCGAAGAACGTTATGCAGAGCGAGATATGAAATGAGTGATAATCCGGCGGAGAAATGTAAGGATCTATTCATCCTCCACTAATCACATCCGAGGTTTGAATGGAGCGTAGCGGAGTCAGCCGAGGATTGCCGATTGCCACAGATTTTAATGATTCCAAGGTATTCAGAGGTTGCTTACTTGTCATCTGTAAATTATAAGACATGCATTTATTAATGGTTACTATTCATTACTACCTGATTATTTACCTGTCAAGGTGAGCATGCTCCACAGTATTCATGTTCATCATCGGTGTCCTTACAACTTGCTCCTCAAAATCCTTCTTCAGATTCGTTTGTTCTGCATGATCTTGATAAGTAGTCTTGTTCAAGGACTAAAAAACAGGTTTCATCAGCATGAGAGTGATGAGTTTGTGCAACAGAAAAGGTATAAGTGGCCATGAGTCTACAGCTGTTTAATAAAGTATACATTACTTCCATATAAGTGATCTAACTAACCCCATCAGTGACATCTCCTATCCTGTTGTACGTGGCTTTACACAGGTTACGTTCATCTCCCAGACTGATGTCGTAATCTTTTGGCTCTGCCTCTCGGGCTTGGTGCCTGTAAATACAAAAAAAAAAAGTATAAAATTCATATTGTTAAAAAATAAAGCACTAAAGTAAAACAAGAGGCTTTTTAGCTGGGATGAAAATGAAATGGAAATGCAAGAGTTTTGATTGAATATTTTTAACAGACTGGGAAAATTGGATCCTGCTTCCAGGTTTGTCAATTATAGGTTTAAAACCATAAAATAAAGTGATCAACTACAATTTACAATGTTTTCTGCATTAAACACAGGGATTTCTAAGCAATATCCAAAGGAAATTATCCCATTCCAGACAAAAATAAAAACTTCAAGGTAAAATAAGGATATCATATAAGTAAAGAAGACATCATGCTTGCTGAGTTTTGAGTTAACTTTTCTCAAGGCCTAAGAAAAAATGTTTGTTAACATTCTGTAACTGTAATCCAACTGACCCTAAACTTTAGCACAGATCCATTTTTCAGTGGTCTTAAAACTTAATTTGAAAAAAATAAATAAAAGAGTTGCCTAACTGTTAGATGTTGCATTGAAGAACAACATTGGTATGTAAACAAACATTTCTTTTTAGACCGAATACAATTTTATTAGAACTTATACAGTCCCATCATTGATAAAATGTGTTCTGTTAAAGTCTAGTGAGATTTTTTAAATTACTTTGCACGAACACTCAATATGAATGTGAAGTGTTAATGTCGAGGAAATTCGAAATAAGTTGCACTGAGAGGGAAAATGTAAAATAAAGCTTATAAATGCAGGCATCTTTTTACATACTACATAACATACCAGTTTGAGTTTAATGTAGCCCTTCCATAGTTCATATGATTTGATCTTAAGAACAGGGAGCCTTTTCTCTCGATGTAGTCTGGTACCCCAGCCATTTTGTATTTACATTAACAGCGGAAGTTGACACACCATTGCTTGGTTACGGTGAGGCTAAAATCAGTCTTGAAAGTGAAACTAGAAAGAAAGACTTGAAATGGAAATATGAACTTGGAAAGTACAATATAGGTAATAATCATTTTTTCCTTTTCAAATAAATCATTTAGATTATATGAAACTTTTTAAACTTTCAAGAAAATTGTTCAGCATGTAGCATAATCTTTCTTTATATTTAGGAACTAATTAACTTTCTGTCTTCTGATTGTCGACTATGGAAGGGAATTACCGCCAAAAGTCTATGTATCTTGCTTTTATTCTTATTCTGCCTACTTCTTTATGCTTTGTTATTATTGTAATTATATGTCACTTTATTGTTTTCATATTCGTCTTTATTACATTTCACTTTTGACTTTTATCCTTCTTCATTTTGTCCCTACTTCTATGTTGCTTTATTCTTGTAAATTCATTCTACTTTCTTTTAAACTTAAACAGTTTCTTTAATAAATTATTATTATCTCTACTACGAATTTTAATTCAATCACGCTAACAATGAAGCATATTCAATGAAGACGAATGGAAGTTGTCAAACCGTCAAAATTTAGTGCGGCATTATAACGCTAGGTGGTGTGGTCTTCGCTACGAGTGTTGGTAAAACTAGGTAAGCAAACCCGGGTCGGGTTATTTGAGATTCTTCAATACGCCTTAATACTTTATCAATCGAACTTCTGAAGGCCGGATCCGATCTCCCGATCCAATGATGGAAACTCCATATTTATTTTCTCTAGGCACACAGGAATAGCGGCTTCTTTTTTCAGACATAACTTTATAATATAGATCTACTATGTTCATTTAAAGGCCGATTCCCTTTTAGTAAGAGTAATGGTCAATTAAGCAAATGTAGTACGTATAGTAGGAAGAAAATTTAAATTTGATTCTAAAGAATAAGTTGAATCTAACTCAAAACCCACCCCGCCCCCGAAATAGGATTCCATTGGCGTCTGAAGCTAATTGAAAGTTTTCACCTGTAAGAATTTTTTTTAGACCTTCAAAAAAAAAAACCCTGACAACCAAAAAAAAAATGTCTATTTTCCAAACACAAAAATCCTATTTCGTGAGGAGGGGTGGGGTCGGGATGAAGGTTCGAACTCCAGTGCCAAAGTTTTTTTTTTCCCAAATACCACCACTTTCCCCATTTTATACCTTTACTGCATCGTGTCCATGGAAAGTGGGGGGGGGGGAGGGGGGCTAAAGCTACGCAGGAATGTTCAATGTCTACACTAAGTCTATCTTTGGAAAGAACGTTAACTCAATCACAATCCTCGGTTCCGACGCCTATGTATTTTCAAGTTTGGACAATATCATGGGGGATGGGGTTTATTTTGCGCTAGTCAAGTTGTTTTCAGCTGGGTAAATATTATTCTCTTGTTGCCCCCTCCCCACTTTCAAAAACGATGCTACATCATTGTTCTCTTGTCTGAAAAATATAACTCTACTAAAGTTATTTGTTGGATATTTGAATTACAGTTTAATTGTTATAAAAATGTTAAAGATTTTGAAACTAGTTAACCCTTATAAATTGGGTTGTTTTTCAGAACCTTCCACTGAACTGAACTTTATTTCACGACAGATAGTAACTGCTGATGCGCGTGATTCTAGGGACAGGGCTTTGCAAAGGAGTGGGAAGCGTTATGGGTAGGCAGGCGCGGATCCAGATTTTTTTTCCAGGGGTGGGGGGAAACCCAGTCAAAAAAAAAATCCAATCCCAGAAATTTCTTGACCGGCATAAAAAGAAGAAAAAAACCCAAACTTGCTCAAAATTCTATTCATGGCGGGGGGTTAACTTTTTTTCCTTGTTTTAGTATCTTGTTAATTCGAAGGGGTCCTACCCCCCCCCCCCCCCCCAATCTAGATCCGCGCATGGAAGGCGAAGTCGGAGTCAGACTACATGCACCCAGGCATGTAGAAACACACCGGTCTTTTTTTCTGCGTTAATATTTTATACTAAAATAGCACTTTTCAATAAAAAGAAATATCTTTAGTACGCACCGTGTTTGTCATCAATAGGAGAGCTAAAAAAAAAATCTTAAAACTCGGAAATTCTATTTGGTGGTGGTAAAAAAAAAACTTTTTTTCAGTAATAAATTTTACTCATATGCCACTAAGTACATGACTTTTAATACTAAGTATATAAGTTGACTATATATGCAACAAAAAGTGTAAGGGATGGGGGCAACAAGCCTTTTGCTGAACTTTTCCAGTTAGTAAAAAGTTACGTTTAGGTAAATGTCTCGTGGCCACCCTCCCCTCTACCGATGAAACTTACCCCATAGGAGGTCGTCCACCCGGAAGTCAGTATATATATTGAGACTTTGGTGGTGTGATTGTACATTGTATAAAAATTTTTCACTCAAATTGAGAAGCCACCTCTTGCCGGTGGAGAGCTGCAAATTTGTCCTATATACTCGGCACTTCTCTCTCTGAGGGATCCTTTTTCGTGCCAGCACCTACTGCGACACGGGACCTCGGATAATACGGTCTGGATCTCATCAGAAGGACCGAACTCCACGTCTATAGTGGTATTCGAACCCACGACGTTTTGGTCGACTCCTTACTCCTTCCTCCGACTTCGTGACTCTATAAAGAGCAACGCCGTAACCACAGTGCCACGCTGGCGACTGCATCCAAAGAGAGATAGAGAGAGAGAGAAAGAGTCATTATCCATATGTACTCGTGAAGATTATCTATGTTTAACTAAATGGTTAATATGATTTAATTATAAAACACTATTAAAATGATATTATTTAAATATTTATTCATATAGAACCTGTATACTAGTACATAGGTTCCTGATAGAACGGATTTCTTCAAAAACTGAAAACGTTAGTATATTTAAACATTGTTTTACGATTTAAAAAACTATTCGGGGTAGGGGTTGCTAGGAATGGTGGCGAATTGCTATATATTTTTAAAACTATATTGAAAAAAAAATATATCTATGTAGCTCTTATCAGACTTCCGAGGGAATGGCATGTATCGGGTACATACCTGAACTTATAACAAACATCAGCCTTTTAAAAATTTATATTAATATTTTAAAAATTTAAGTTTGATTAATAAAGTATTAAGACACAAAATTGAAAAAACTCGAATAACCCCGGCCCGGGTTTTTAATTTTACCAACACTCTTAGCGAACACCCCTGCCACCTAGCGTTATAATGCGGCACTAAATTCGGACAACTTGTATTCGTCTTCATTGAATATGCTTCATTGTTTGCTGTTAACGTTCGTAATAGCTATAATCAATTAAGGAACTGTATCAATTTAAAAGAAAGTAAAATGAATTTACAAGAATAAAGCAACATAAAATAAGGGCAAAACGAAGAAGGATAAAAGTCAAAAGTGAAATGTAATAAAGACGAATATGAAAACAATAAAGTGACATATAATTACAATAATAACAAAGCATAAAGGTAAGAATAAAAGCAAGATACATAGACTTTTGGCGGTAATTCCCTTCCATAGTCGACTCATGTAACAGTGATTATATAACATAAGTGTATTTATTCACCAATCAAGGGCCCTCAGGGGGCATATACAATTAAAAACAAACAATATAATCATGATTATAACAACATTAGCAGGTAATGGTTGCATCAGGTGCAAAATTGACTTGATCCTCACTTGTAAAAGTTCTCAGATTTGAAATACTGGTATAGTTCACAATGAAATATAAGCACCAAATATAATGTAATAATACAATATAAGGGAAAAGAAAAAAAAACCAAGCTACTTTATACTGCAATGATCAGACGGATAATAGCAAACAAGTACATGTAATCATATTATTAATTATAATATTACAAAAAGTACGTATTTTGATTATATAACTTTCTATCTTATCATTGTAAAAAAAAAACTTTCATGCCGTATGAACCCAAAATTGGACAATAAAATTATCCTATATATAAAACTAGAGTGTGTTCCAAGGAACGCATATATGTCGATCACCTGCTTTTAGCTTCATTAAGAGAGATATAGAGACAAAAAACATGATTGGCCAATGGCGTCTGACTCCTCTCTCTCTCTCTAGCGATCGTAGAGTTAACCAAAATCGGCCCAGCTCTCTGTGGTTGAAGGAGAATCAACTGCGCAAAGAAAATACTGCTGCTCTTATTTCAATTAGAACAAAACAAAGTAATTAATTTATCAGACGGATTTCATCTAGTCTAATCACATGCTAGGTGTTCCAGCTAAGGCGTGATGAACAAGGGCACTTTTTCACAAATTGATTATCGTAACAGTTCATCGTGAGCTTTTTTAAAACATATTAAAAAAATATATCAAGCTTTATCAATCTAGTATATTAACTTAGGGAGAGAAAAAAAGAAATTCATCAGATAAATAACACTTTTCTACTGTTTAATAAAAATATTTTCTCTTCCTACTTCATTTTCAATATATACCGCCACGATATAGCTCAGTCGGTATAGCTCCTGGCCCGTGATTTGAAAGTCATGAGTTCGAATCTCGGTCGTGATTGACCTAAGTCTATAAAAATACATTACAACTGTTCTTTCCCCAAGCGCTCGACAATTGGAAGTGAAAGTTGCATATCCTTTGGATGAGACCTTAAAAATCGGGGCTTTGTATTAGTACCTCGCGGGTGTTGACCTTCACTGCTCAATGGCCTGAGTGCCGAGTAAAATTCAAAATGAATCCATTCAACGAAATATGATGACGTCTCTATATAAGTAAAGAATTCTATTCTGAAACGTTAAACAACATAAAAAATCAATCATGCAATCAATCATTTTCAATAACATTAATTATTTTACTCCAGCGGACCTTTTATAGATTCAGAAAACTAGTGAAGGATTGAATCTATGACTTATCTAGAGACTAATGATATTAGTGTTCATAGGATTTTATCTCCTATAGATCCAGATACTAGAAGCGTGAGCTATGTACAGATAACCTAAACTTTTAACAAAAGAAATCACACCCAAGTGACACAACTATATCAAAACTCTGTCTAAATTATAAGTAACGTCGTCGATAATATATTTAAATGTAGATTCGAAGAAAACAGACAAGATTTTTCTTCTTTCATATACTAATATAAGGTTTTGAATAAATTCTGCTTCATTTAATATAAACAATGATAGGTCTACTTCTAACCGGGCGTAATTGGTACCCACGGGGATTCCAAAAAAATATTTTATTTTAATAGATGACGTCACAAAATTCTAATCAGACTGATTTGAGTTTATTTTGTATAATCTGTACTGTTGAAATAGCTCATATAGAGCTAGATATGAATCGTATGAATAGAATTGATGTACATCTTATTTATAGATGAAGGTATGGGGAACCAGCAGGCCATTTTGAGTGATATTGACATACAGGAGTTAAAGGAATCCACCCCTCTCTCGGACAGTGAGCTCAAGAAACTAGAACAGCGTTATCAGGCATTAGATAAGTCACCGGAAGCCACCGACGGAATTCCGTACGACAAAATGGTCCTTCTTCCAGAGTTAAGAGGCAATGAGTTGTGTTCCCATGTCGTGGCAGCAAACCTAGATGGTCGTTCCGGACGAGTATATGCAAAACAGTTTGTACAAATCTTTGGGATTCTGAGTCCAAAAGCAAAACCTGATGAAAAGAAAGAATTCTTATTTGAGATTTTTAATATTTATGGAACAAATGTATTGATGCATGATGAAATGTTCCGAATTTACAAAACTCTCTTTGACAGAACTATCAGCGACGACCATATCTTAGCTCTAACGTACCGCGCCCTCAACCATAAAGCTCTAAAGAAAAAGGGGGAGATAAACAAGGAGGAGTTCCTACAGCTGGTTCCAGATCACGAGATAGTCAATCGAATGTCAGTAGAATTATTATGACGATCGACATGAAATTCTTCACATCCCAACTGTTTCGAAATATAGATCGATGCAGTTAAATTTCATGCATTTGCGACATAAGATAAAATGTTAAGTAGATAGGGAAAAGTACTGGTATTTCAGCGAATGCAGTAGAAAAAAGTCGAATATGTTTTTGTGTGAACGTTTTATTACTATGAGTGTCTAAACTGATTAGAGGGAACTACGGAACAGACAAATCTTTATTGTAATCTGCGTATTGCAGCTTTGGAATCTGTTCCCAGTCAGGACGTACACCCCACATGTCCGGACGTGTTCCTAAAACGTTAACATACGGCGGAGGTCTGGGACCGGAGATATGAAGAGAGATTGATTCTAATTTGTTTATTCTGTTACAAAACAAACATACCAGATGTAATGATGTAAACACATTTAAAATTTTTCCAACTATGATAAATTGGAAAAATAAATTTTATGGAGATTAACATGACTAACAACCTTTTCAATTAAAAACTTAAAACCCCGAAATATAAGAGTTTGAGGATGTGTGGTATTGTTACGTGTCGGACCTGAGCGGTCAGTAATCCCGTCTCGGATTACCGAGTTTTCCAGGTGGTATGATTTATTCAATATATACAGATATAGTATGGCACCTGCCTGGTGTCTTTAAATCAAGTGACCAAAGATTTTTATATACAGTGAATACTGGTACCTGCCTGGTGTCTTATGACAATCACCTGACTGTTTTACTGGCTAAACAAGTCAGCAGACCACTGTAGGAAAGCGGGTGACCGTAATATATATTATACGGTCATCAAAACATGTCGGCTGAACCGATCGGTTGAAATTTTTCATTCAAGTTTTAAAACATTTGTTAGCACATCTGTGTAAACTCCGCTGAAAATTGAATGTAAGCCAATGAAAACTTGCTGTTGATTATTAAAACTTACTTGAACTTAAGGAAATAAAGCTGTAATACGACCTAAAAGTTTTTGAGAATGATGACCGTAACAAACCATTAAGATGACCATAATCTAAATTTTACCAGTGAAGTGGGATGACCGTAATGTACCGAATTTAATTTGTTTTCTTTCCTGTTAAAGAAGCAGATATATAGAGGATATTTATATTGACAAAGACATAAATATCATTTTCAAACATTATATTTCTAACCATATGCCAACCTTATTTCTCAAACGAAACTTTTAATAGTTGAAATGTTCATTGAAAGGTTGTCAACTCCCCCTTTTTTGCTGCAACATAGCCAAATAATATGGTGTTTTGAGAATAAGGGATGACTGCACTTAATTGGACAACGAACAGCATTTAATCTCAAAGTCCATAAAACAATACAAATTTTGAGCAGAGCGACCTCCGAAACATCAGAGGTGGGATCAGGTACCATGGAGGAGTGAGCATCCTCTGCTGACTGGTCACACCCGCCATGTGCTCCTTGTCATGATCGGGAAATAACAGAAGAATCCGTCGTCAATTCAGTGTATAAATAATGGACTAACAATTAGTATGAAAAACGTCAGTCAGCATTTTACTCAATGATAAATTGTATTTGCTGACAAGGTCATTGTATCGACCGTAGAACTTACGAAATGATGACTTTAAACGAGACTGCTGTGGTATCTTTTAATTCAAGCTCACCAGAATATATCGTGTTAACATAAGAATGGAAATAACAATTGTTAATTGACAATACGTCCTCGATATATCTAAATGTCGAGTTGAAGGCCAAAGCAAGCGTTTTCTTCTTTTCACGCATAAGATTTTGCACAAACTCTGCTTCATGTGAATACAAAAATAGGTCTGCTAATCACGGGACGCATAGGAATTCCAATTATTTTATTTTATATTGCAGAATTTTTGTAGAAACGGTAAGTTTCGACACAAGAGACTTTGGAAAAAATGCTATTTTAAAGTTGCTGAGGACCAACGTCTGAGTAACACCACTTCTAGAATATGCATTAGTCTGAAGTTTCTACTTTACATCAGTTAAGAATTTTTGTAAGGGGTTGGTAGAATATTTACTGGTCCCAGCATCTTTGTATTTTTGTTTGAAAGGATTTTATATGAAGTTTACGATTCCAGTAAAGATAGGGACTTTAGTATATTGCAAAATATAAACACTTAAATGTTATTTTGAAGAATTTCCTTGAAAAGTGAACTCTAAATTAAGGTGGGTTTAATATAAATATTCTAATGCATTATATAAGATAATGAGTATAATTTTTAATAAAATGTCAATTCTAAGTTTTGTTTATTTTGTTTTTGTTCTTTTTTCCCGGATTTTTTCACATGAAATACATAGAGAATAATACATACCCTTTTCCATATCACATCCTGTATCAGCCCGAGACACCAATATCAGCCAGGGGATGTGATGTGGAAAAGGGTATGTTGTATTATGTTTATTACATATTTAGTAATAAAATACAGTACACAATAAGTTGAGAAGAAAATAAGTAAATAATCATGCATGGACTTCTTACATACATGTACATATTCTAATGTCTCATACGATTTGGGTTTGTTACTACTTCTATTTCAATGCACTTGATCCGTAATTTGAAAATATTCTATAGCATTACATGTATTTGTAATTTAAGATTAACCTTATTTTCAAAAAGTTAAAATTAAGAGAATATGAACCCACCAAAATTGTGTATGATCACAAGTACTGTTATTGTGGTTTAATTTACTAAGGGTGTGATATTGACGTCACAATAGCCGTATAAGCCCAGCAGGGCTGATATGGATTTTCAGGGCTGATACGGATATCAGCCCCGCAAATCCATATCAGCCCTGCAGGGTTGATACGGCTATTGTGACGTCAGCCATATCGCATATGCAAAAAACCTGTATTTATTACTAAGTGTGTAATAAATTTACGTAAAATGATTACAAAAATGTTGATGGCCCCCATTATACTCTATGAGCAGAATTTTTTTTTCTTTTGTTATTAACCATTAGGTTCCACCGTATTAACTAGTCTGCATAATGTACATTCAATTCCATAGACAACGTTCAAAGATTTACAAGTCAAATTTTCAGTAGTCTAGGTATATAAAAAATGTGCAATAAGACTGTTGTAAAATTTGTTATCAAATTCGACAGGTTTTGCAACTTTGTTTTTAACATTTGGAAATGTGTTGACTTTAAATTCTTTATCGTCAATTTCCCTTATTTATGTAGCAATACACCCTTATCAGCTCCATGTGAGGTTTATGTTTCTCAGCTAAATGAACATGCAGGAGAAGATTCTAGGTATTCATGAATGATTTCTAAAGCAAGGCAGCTATTGACAAAAAAAGTTAATGAAAAAAGAATATCAATAGTCCCGTTTAAAGTCATCTTTCGCAAGTTCTTTCGTTGATACATTGATTTTTTTTCAAATGCAATCTGTCATTGGTTCAAATGCTGACTGTCTTTTTTTTCATACTAACTGTTAATGTACACTCTGAATTATTTATGTGTCTCCGTACTTCCCGACCATGACAAGAAACACTGCATGCAAGGCGCTAAATACAATAGTGAATACACAGCCAAGTATAATGAATACAGTTTTGAGACATACCTACTATTTAATCAATCAATCAATTTATTAATAAAATATTAAAAGCCAATCCAAAAGTACAATTTATTTTCAGTCACATTTATCTACACATTTAGATTTATTATATTTATTAAAAGTAAGCATAATACGTGAAAAAATCTTATCATTTCAATTACTGTAAGAGGGATATGTATGGAATTGTATCGACCATAAAACTTACCAAATGATGACTTTAAACGAGACTGTTGATATTCTTGTATCATCAACTTGCTTGTCAATAATTTACCGCGTTTTAGAAATTGTTCATACGTAGAGCATGCTCTTGCGTATCGAATCAACTGAGATATATATACTCCGTATACAGGTAATGAAGGTACTAGTATATTGCTACATAAGTAAGGAAAGTTGACGATAGAAAAGTTAAAGTCATCACGTTTATCATATAGCTTGGTTGTTAGATTACCATTAACGTCTTTTTCAAGTAAAATATCCAAGTATGAAACACATGTGTCACACTCTGTGGCATCTTTTATCTCAAGCTCTCCAGGATATATCGTATCAATATAGGAATGGAAATTACCATTGTTAATTGATAATACGTCGTAGATATATCTAAATGTCGAGTTGAAAGCCACAGCAAGAGTTTTCTCCTTTTCACGCATAAGACTGCACAAATTCTGCTTCATATGAATACAAAAATAGGTCTGCTAATAACGAAGCACATTTGTTAACCATGGGAATTCCAATAGATATTTGGAAGAATTGGTCTCCAAAAACCACACAGATATTGCCGATCAGAAGCTCAAGCACTTTTTTGATGTCATCTTCAGAGTACTTGTGTGTGCAATCAGAATGTGTTAATAATTTTGAAAATGACCAATGACCAGGTAAGTATATTTATGAGTTCCATTTTTATTGGAAAAGCAGATGTCAATGATATCAAAAAGCCCGAACTTTAATTCATCGTGGGTAATGGTTGTGCATAAAGTTTAAAAGTCGTAAGTTTTTAAGCTGTTGATTTTGGTAAAGTCGTGTGATTTCAAATTGTCAAAAGTGCTTTGGAATTTTTGAGTATTCACCATTTTTTGAATATATTGTTGCACAGTGCTCTTGAACTCTTCACTACTGTCAATATCTTAGTGAGGAGTAAAGAAAGAGGCTTGGTTGAACATTTACTGGAACCCGCGATGTATCTTTGTTTGTCTATTATGTTAAAACTTTTTTAAAGACTTCCTTAAAAATTTCTTTCGTATTTTTTAAATTTTTGCTAAGGTATTTGATAAAATATTTTCTTCAAACTGAACAGAGAAACATTGTATTTATTGTTTAATTTATGTGATATTTACTTTTTTCTAATATCATTGTGTATTTCACAATACTAGACTAGAGGTACTGTGAGCGATGAGCTCACTAAATGATACCCCCCGCCTCCCATATGAATAAAATGGCAGTGTCCATGTTTTGCTCTGGAAAATCCAAAATATATGTCAGATCAAAAAGTAAAATAGGAGGTGCACAATGGCAATATGTAATAAAACTGTGAAAGTTTCATCAAATTTCATCAGTGGTATGAGAGGAGTTGCGGATAAGAATGGGTACCCCAAAGCGTAACAGACGGACGGAAAAGTACAGACGGACGGAATTAACGATTACTATATACCCTCCCGCTTTTCAAGGGGGGTATAATAAAGCGAATTTATTTACTGAACAAATTTATTTTTAGACAAAAAGTACAAATTTCTATAGTTCTCGAAATCTTTCTTGATTTCCTTCAATAAGAATGTCTATTTCCAGATCATGACTTGATATATATATATATATATATATATATATATATATATATATATATATATATATATATATATATATATATATATATATATATATATATATATTAAAAAATGGTAAAAAGAAAACACAAAAATGCTTTCATTTTCAATCTTCAGAAGCTTATAATAGTATCATTAACAGTGATTATGACGTCATGTTAAGCGGAACGTTAAATGTTTATTATGACGTCATAGATACAATATGACAAAAGTACGGGGAAATCACAAGTAATTTATAAAACACTATTAAGTTTTTGAAAAATACTAATAAAATGTTTTTCTTTTTCCCGTCTCTGGATATCAGTGGCACAACTGAGTTTATAGAAAGGGAAAATTCTGAATTGTTTTTTACCACACGCCTCCAGGTGCGAACTTAATTGAATTTGTCTGTATTCGGGTGTACTAATGTGTTGCTTATGTACACGTACACGGGCACGGAGAGTGTCGCCGCTTTCATCAATATAATTAATATTCCTTGCATCCAGGACATGTGATGGCGTATATGACATTATTTGTATCGCATGACATGTTTTTTTATCTCTAAATTCACTCTCATTGAAATTATAGCTGGTCCCTTCTGTAATGTATTCACATGTACCGCATCGAGGGTTCTTACACTTAGAGACTGTATAAGTATGGTCGTTTTGGAAGAACAAAGTATTCTCTTTAGGTATATATATATATATATATATATATATATATATATATATATATATATATTTATCCTGCAACTACCCCTTGCATTGACCTAATAAAGGTAACCTAATAAACCAAAGCTTTATCCGGTCACTGCCCTAATAAAGCCTCGTGCATGTATTCCGACATTCCAAAAGCATCGTGACGTCACGTATACTGCAATGTTTACGCCATGGCGTCATAGTTTCAATTGCAGAGATGTGCCTAAATCTGTCGGAAATAGCTTGTTTTGGACGTTCAAATGTAAAATTTTGTTGCAGGATAAACAAAATACATGATAACTGTCTTGAAATATAAGCGATATTTGTCGAAAACGTAAGAGGGTCGGCAACTCGCCCTTACGTTTTCTTAATTCGCCCAAATATAGCTTATATTTCAAGACAGTAACCATGTATTTATATATATATATATATATATATATATATATATATATATATATATATATATATATATATATATACTAGTATATGAAAATTATTCTAAACTAGAGGTACTGTGAGCAATGAGCTCACTTATCAGCCTCCATATAGTAACATGTATAATGGCAATGTCCATGTTTTGCTGTGGCCGGGAAACCCAAAATATGTGTCGGATCTAAAAGTAAAATAGCAGGTGCACTATGGCAATATGTAATAAAGATTCTGTGAAAGTTTCATCAAATTTCATTCAGTGGTATGAGAGGAGTTGCGGATAAGAGATAGGTACCCCAAAGCGTAACAGATGGACGGACAGACAGACGGACGGACAGACGTACAGACGGACGGAATTAACGATTACTATATACCCTCCCGCTTTTCAAGCGGGGGGTATAATAAATAAAAACACAGAGAACGAGTAAAACATAAGCGCTTTCATTTCTTCTTCATGATGTTTTACAATACTCTATTGTGACGTCATAATAACTTAACGTTAACATAATTTACATGTAAAGAAACAATTCTTTTACATTAAACTATTTAATTTAGGTTTGAAAGTCCTTATAAAATGTCTTTCTTTATCACGTCTTTCGATTGTGTTAGAGTTGTGCAGTTTATAAAATGGAAAGACAGTAAAAGTTCTATTTCCGCACACGTCTAAGTGTTCACTGACTTTTTTGCGATATTGCGGTACGTTTATTTGTTGTTTGTGTACTCTGATCCTTTCCCGTAAGGTACTTCCCGTCTCGCCGATATATAGTTCCCCGCAACCGGAACATGTTATAACGTATATAACATTTCTAGTTTGACATGACATGTTACAGTAAACTGTTTCTCGTTAAAGTTGAAACTTTGTCCTTGTCGTATGTATGGTCAGGTACCACAACGCGGATCCTGGCACTTGGTCACATGAAATTCTGTCGTTTCTTTAAAAGAGGACTTTGTGAGAATTCGTCTGAGGTTCTTCGGCTGCCTCCTACTGTTTATGAATTTCCGATTTTTAAATATTTTAGACATAGTTTCGTCGGTTTTCAAAACGTCGTCGAGTTGGTAAACAATCGGTGCAACGTTTGTATTCTGGGGATTATTTTACTAAAGGCAAGATCCTGGAATCCGTCTTGGTTTGTTGCACAGGGTTGAGGAGGTCCCCTCTGTCTAAATCCATGGCTTTTTTAATAGCATTATCAATAATTTTTTCGGGATAACTTTGTTTCCGTAGATACTCTTTCAGTTCTTGTAGTCTTTGTATTTTGGTTGTTTCCTTATTTACGATGGTGCATATTCTCCTTGCTAAATTATATATATATATTTATTAATGATAGAATCTATACAAGGCTCACTTATAATTTTTACAATTCGAAATCGGTATGGTTCAGAAAATGATTTAAATATATAATGTAGCGTTGAATGACACTTTAAATAAACAATCTATACTAATTTAATTAGATTGACATTTGCTTTCTATTGGTTTGCCTTATAGCAATTCTCTATGTAGAAGATTGTACACTGATTTTATACTGGAGGGGATTTAGAGTGTTAATATAAACATTGTGACGGTCTGTAAATTAATTTCATTTCTCGATATCGATTCCCATTGTCAGCCTCCCTAACTAGGCCATCGACCAAATATATACATCAACACGAGCATCTTGTAAACTGGGGCGGGTCAGCTGATACCCTCCTAACTCGAATAACTCTTAAATGTCTTATCACCTCAGTCGTGTTCACCTTCTGATTAAGGCCTGATGACGTAACTGGGTCATCATCGATCGTCATTGGCTGCTGTGATCTCCAGTTCCAGCAGAACTAGCACTTTTATGTAACGACTTATGTGACACCTTGCAGAAAATGAGCAGCTAATTTTTATGGACTTGACTGCTGCGTAGTGTCGCAGTTTTGCGGATTTCTTAGTGTCGCTGTTTTTCACCTAATCAGGATTCAGTCTCTTATGCAATAATTTCTAGTGTTTTTGGTTTGTCACAACCAAAACATAGAGAGTTTGATTCCAGATTCCTAGAAGCTACATCTGCAGTCTGCGAATCATTTTATTGGTTGTTAATCTAGGTAAGTAAAAAAAAATTCTTTAAACGTGTAATTTTTTTAAGGAAAATTGTACTTAACATCAAGATTTTAGGTGTCTATATATTTTGGCAATAAGCATTTCGTATCCATCCTCAATTGCACGAATCAGTGAATAAGACAATGAATTGCTATGGATCCATGTATTTGTACCTTATAGAATACAATGGTTTTGTACTATATCCTCATCGCAGCTTATCCGAATGATCCAATACCCAGGGCATGATTCTTTCATAAAACTAGTTTTATATATGCCATCTATAAGTTTGGCTGCAGATGTATTGATTATAAATTGTTACTATCTTAGTTATTGAGGAAGTTCAGATGATAATAAAACGGATCATTTACAGAAGACACATTATAACCCTTTCTTTGCTGTCACTTTACGGGGACTTGACAGCAACTGTGTTGAATGTGAACCAAAAATAAAAAGGGGGGGGCATAGCAAAGTGATTTCAATGTAAATTACATCACTTCCGTTCCACACAGGACATAGCTCAACCATGCACAACCACACATACATGCTTGCATTACTATCGGTATAACACCTCCGTTGCATGGGGATAACTAATTATCGGGCACATCATTTTTATGGAAGTTAACCACTTTTACACTTTCCCCGTATTTTATGTGATTTTCATAAAAAAAAATGTTCATGTCAAATACTGTAAAATGACATATTTTCGTGGGGTTAAATTTTCGTGGTTTGAGGCAAAAAAATTGGTTCGTTGGGATTTGATTTCGTGGAATAGAAATGTATGAAAATTATTCATTTTCTCATTGGCAACATCTAAATAGCTTTTGGAAACCAGTCTTACAACAGTCTGAGAATTGGAGTTGACATGGGTACTAATTTTGCTTCGTTATTTACATACCCGTTTTTGTATTCACATGAAGCAGTATTCAAACACTCCTATACAAGAAGATAAAAACACTTCAATTCCACATTTAAATCAATCGATGACATTTTATCAATGAACAACATTCAGATTCATTACTACGTTGATTTGATACATCCCTTGAACTAGAAATTAAATACACTAGAGGTTATGATACGTCTGTTTCATATTAAGATGTTTACTTACAGAAAGGCCTTGATGACAATGTGATAGCCAAACCTAATGATAAATGTAAGCCTTTAACATTTTTGTTGTCAACCTCTTGGATGCAATTATTACCTGCATAATGAATTACCTTGATACACAATGACATGTTCTTCGTAAGAACTTTGTAAAATTGATGCAGACTATTGACAAGTTAGTTAAGAATACAAATTTGTCAAAATAGCCAAAATATGACCAAATGATAGGTAATATTTGTTCACAATGTCATTATAAGACCATAGATTAAGTACCGAATACGTTAGAAGACATAATCAACATATGCAAATGGTGACGGAATATAACTAAATAAATAATGAAAATAGACAATGAAAAAGACTGTTTCGTTTGTTATACAATTTGGCTCTATGGTGATTCAACATCTAAATATGAAACAGATATGGCAAACTCCGTTGAATCTTTTAGTTTTAGTTCACTTGGATATATCGAGTTTACATATGAAGGGAACTTATTATTGTTTATTAAAATAGTTCGTTGATATAAATCGGAATTTCTAGTTGAAATATACTCTGCTTATTTTGCTTTATAGAAAAATAAAATATGTATCTCAAACATTGCAGTATTTGATCTTTTCCATTTGTATTATATGATCACAAGTTGATGAAATGAAGGATATAGATAACGAACAGTATTCAATATCAAAGTCCATAAAACAATACAAAATAGCATAGCAAACCCGAACCTCAAAAACCTAAGAGATTGAATCAAGTGCTATTAAGAGTGATCATCCCCTGTTGACCGGTAACACCCGCCGTGTGCTCCTTGTCATGATCGGGAAATAACGGAAAAATCCGTCGTCAATTCAGTGCATAAATAATGGACTAACAATTAGTATGAAAAACGTCAGTCAGCATTTGACCCAATGATAAATTGTATTTGCTGACAAGGTCATTGTATCGACCATAGAACATACGAAATGATGACTTTAAACGAAACTGTTTCTTGTTTCATCAACGTATCGGCATAGGAATGGAAGTGACCATTGTTAATGGACAATACGTTAATTGACAAGATTTGGTCTGCAAAAACCATATAGATATTGTCAATAAGAAACTCAAGCATCTTTTTGATGTCAACTTCAGAGTATCAAAATGTGTTTTGATAAAATAATTTTGCAAATGAACAATGGCCAAGTAAGTAAATTTACGAGTTCCATTTTTATTGAAAAAGCAGCTATCAATGATATCAAAAAGCCTGGACTTTAATTCATCGTGGGGAATGGTTGTGTATAAAGTTGAAAAGTGGTAAGTTTTAAGCTGTTGATTTTTGGTAAAATCTTGTAATTTATAATTGTCCAAAAGTTCCTTAGAATTTTTGAGTATCCACACCTGATTCACACCACTTCTTGAATATATTGTTGTACAGTTCTCTTGAGGTTTTTTCTTCATTTCTACTGTCAATATCTTAGTGAGGAGTAAAGAAAGAGGCTTGGTTAAACATTTACTGCAGCCTGCAATGTATCTTTGTAAGGATTCTTACGAATTTTCGGAATCCAATATATATATGTGGTAGTTCAAAATCATTTTGGTTCTTTGGGATATTAAAACTATTCAAAACTGACATATGATTTTGAAGAATTTCCTCCTTCGAAAGGGAACTATGAGTACAAGTTGGATTACCACTTGTAGAATAAAATCTAAGTTCTTCGAAAATATAATTTATATAATGAGTCTTACAAACGAAGACATTGTTGTTACCTGCTTTGTCAGCAGAGACCATAACCTGCTGATCATGAAATCTATCTAATTATTGTTCTCACTTCTGAATTATGGAATACAGAAGGATAGATGGTTTTCATATTGCCCCTCGATCTTTAAACATGCGATTTTAACATGGATCTGATAAATATAATCCTTTCTGAGGAAGTGTCAACGTCTTATTTTTCAAATTGGCCCATCATCTGGCGTAATCTTCAACAGAATCCATAATATTTATAGATTTCCGATGCCAGTTGAAGGATCGGGGTTCCCTATATTTAGAACCTTTTAAAATAAATGATCTAAGGTCCTCATTATTAACTATATTTACGTTACCTGTAATAACGTGTCCAGCAGCAAAAAGTTTTGAAGCAAAGGTCGATGTATATTTGAAAAAAGAATATTAGCAGTCTCGTTTAAAGTCATCATTTCGTAAGTTCTATGGTCGATGCAATGACTTTGTTAGCAAAGTTAGCACAATTTATCATTAAGTCAACGCTGACTTATGTTTTTCATACTTATTGTTAGTCAATTTTTTATATATTGAATTGACGACGTATTTTCCCGTTATTTCCCGATCATGACAAGGAGCACACGGCGGGTGTGACCGGTCAGCAGAGGATGCTCACTCTTTCATGGAACGTGACCCCACCTCTGATGTTTTGGAGATCCGTGTTTGCCCTGCTCTTATTTTGTAATGTTTTATGGACTTTAATAATGAATACTGTTCGTTATCTCCATATGTTTCATTGAATTGTGTTTTTTTTTTCAATAATATTCCATTTGTATTCAATAGTCTTCTATTTGAATTGTACATTTTTTAACTGTATTGTATCATTTTCCATTTGTTATATATCATTATATGCGAGTTATTTTTTTTTCTTTCTAAATTTTGTATTTTTATTGTATGAACGATATTGTATTCTTTATTTTTTATTAACTTTTTTTTATTTTTACAATACAAATGTAAAATTATACAATACAAATGCATTATTCAGTACAAATAATAAAGTATACAAATGAAATGAAAAGTTGTACACTACAAATGAAAAAAAAAATTATACAATTGGAAAATTTCACAATAAAAAATAAGAAATATACAACATAGAATTAAAACTTGTACATGTATAATACAAATTAAAAATTACGGAATTCAAAATGAATTAAAAATCACACAATAAAAATTACAATTTATACAATATAAATGGAATTTATGCAAGTCAAATGAATTTTTATACAATATACAAATCTTTAAATATTTCAGCAGTTTGTCACCATAGACTATGAATATTTCAGTCGTATTATTTTACTTTCCATTTGCATTCAACACACTGCGATTTGTTTTCTTAATTTTATTTGTATAGTTGAATTTTCTATTTGTACTGTATAATTTTCCATTTGTATTGCACATTTTTATCTGATTTTATATAAGATTTAATAATATTTTATAACGTTTCATTTAAAAAAAAAAAAAATATATATATATATATATATATATATATATATATATATATATATATATATATATATATATATATATATATATATACATAAATGTTTATGCAAATTATCACACAAGCCAATCCATTGATCACTTATATATATATATATATATATATATATATATATATATATATATATATATATATATATATATATATATATATATATATATATATATATATATATTCTTTTTTAAAATTAGTTTTGTGTAATTTCAGAAAACATGGCAAATTTTACAATATAAAAATGAAACTTATGCAACACAATTAAAAATATACATAAAATAAATGAAAAGTTACATGTATCAGCAGGGGATGCTCACTCCTCCATGGCACCTGATCCCACCTCTGATGTTTCAGAGGTCCGTGTATGCTCTGCTCCTATTTTGTATTGTTTTATGGACTTTGATATTGAATACTGTTCGTTATCTCCATATCCTTCATGTATGCACTACAAAAGATAAAGTGTACATTACAAATGGAAAAATATACATATAAATTAACATTAAACAAAACAAATGAAAAATTGTACAACTCAGTTAGAAAAGTATACAAAACAAACTAAAAGTTATTTGAAATTAGCAGAATACAAATGGAAAGTTATATTAATACAAATGGAAAATTGTAAAATGCAAATAAAAATATATACAACAGGAATGGAAAAGTTTCAATATTGCAACTTTTGAAATGATAATGGGTTAATCAAGAAACACAATTAGTGCCCATTGGAATTCCTTTGTTTCCAAAAACTATAAATGTTGTCAATGAGAAAGTCCAGGATTTTTATCGTACTTCTATGTAAAATCAAAGTATTTTTAAACAAAGTAATTTATTCTTATACATATATGTATAATCATTATTACTATTTATTATAGTTATTTATTTATCACATGGATCAGTTACATAAAGATTAGAAACGTTTTGATGTTAATGCATTTGGAAAAATTAATTTTTTTTTATTTCTAAAATTTTTTTTGGAGTTTTTGATGATCCACATCTGATTTACACCAACTCTTGAATATGTTTTAGGAAAGTATGTGTGAAGTTTCTCTTTACATTATATAGAGTTTTTTGTACGGAGGAAAAATAATGTTCGAAGGGCAACTGATATATCCTTTTAGGATTTTTATGAAATTAGAAATCATGAAAAGGTCGAGTAGGTCGAACTCATTTTCATTGACTGGAAAATTTAAAAGTTATTGGAAGTTATTTGATTGAAATTTTGGGATGGTTCATTTTAAAACGATATTTTAAAGGTTTAACTGCTCACTCCTCCATGACACCTGATCCCACTTCTGATGTTTGAGAGGTCCGTGTTTGCTCTGCTCTAATTTTGTATTAATTTTTGGTCTTTTTTGCTTGAATACTGTTCGTTATCTATATCTTTCATTACTACCTAGTTTTGCACTTCGTGACTTGACTTCTAAAACACCATCTTTACTACAGTTGTCAGGTTAATCCTTGTTTTACAAAAATCTTAGTTGCAATATGAAGAAGTGGATGTGTGAAAGGTAGAAAAGTTATGGAGGTCCTGATACACACAGACAATATTTATTTAATTGTATACAGTACCTGAAATGAAATAATGTTTAATGATAAAAAGCTTGGTTTCGGTATTGGTAAAACTGAATATACAATTAGATATAGCCCATAAGGTTTAATTCACAATGAGTTACCAAAAAATTCAATTATTTTCTCAAAAGGAGGCAGGGATTCTGGTGATTTCCGTTGTAACGGATATTGGAGCAGATTATCACACCTTAGGACAGTGATAATAGACGATTCTACTGTAAGTGGGAGATCGTGAGGCACCTCGCGAGCAGTCTCCTTTAATAACCGCGTGGTTTTGTGGGTTTTGGTCTGACATCAATTCCACCGCCTCAGTCTCGGCGTAGGAATACACATTATGTGCGGACGTTAATGCGCGCTTTTGTCATCTAATTCGTTTACGAAGTAAGCTGTATTTTTCAGTGATTGCATGTAATGATTTTTAATTCTTCAGTTTGATGTGTTTTTTTTGTAGTCGGCCGTGAAGGATGCGGAATGCCTCTGTATTGATCGAGAGAAAATGAGGAGAATCGATCGATCACGCCGCCACTACTGACGCTCAACTGACAAGAAACAAAAGTCCTGCGAGACGATCGCTCAGTGCGGAAACCATCAAATTTCATTGATTTATCATTTTGCTGTGACTTTCATTCGTAAACTGGTAAGTTGATCTCATTATCTTAATATTCATTATTGAAGAGCATAACTAATATAGGTGCTTATTATGACACAAATCCGAGTGGTTCCGATTTGTCATCTAGAGCACCCCCTAGTGACCGGCGTCTCTTGTGACGTAGAGTCCCCCGCGTGCAGAAAATGTCGTCTGCTTCTATTGAATGAGAAAGATGGACAAAAATCTGATCTAATATCTTTTCTTGTGTTTGACATTTATAGATTATTTAGAGGTAATAAGCATAATTTTCCTGCATGACATGTGTTAGTGCCATTACCATATTAACATTGTACAAATAGACTGTTGTAAAACTTTCTTGGTCCATGTATTTCTATTGCAGGGACAGCAGAACACGTCTGTTAAAAAGTATCGGAATATGATGTTATTCATATCATTTGAAGAAAACTGATAATAACATTGTACAAATAATTAAAACTTCATGTATTTCTATTAACACGTCTGTTAAAAAGTATCGGAATATGATGTGATTCATATTATTTGAAGAAAACTGATAATTACTTCAGTAATCACAGTGTCGTATTGATCCAATGGCGGACTTCTACAAATTAAATGAAATAGTAATTACCGTGGACCCATATGTTCAGGGAAATCACCTGTTGTACAAGGGTATGTGAGTGTGTGAGCTTATTACGATGAAATGGATGACGTGACAAAATTTGAGATTGAGTTGGACAAAGACATATACTACGCAGGGGAAACACTTACGGGGCACGTCATAGTGCAAAATACTGAAAATATCAAAGTTCAAGGTAAGTTTACTACACGTGCGCCATTGTACAGTATATAAGTGCAAATGTTATTTCGTTTTAGGTTAAGTGAGGATAAAATTTGATCTTTGATCAAATTGAAGGTGAAAAATGCATTATTTCTTAGAAAATCTTTGTTAATGGATATTATGTAGCAAGCTAATACCAAGGGTATAACGATCAAGGGTGTCTCTTCCAAACTTCATATAGTTATAGGAATTTTTGGGGTGTAAGGACGGTTCCTATTAATAATATGGAAAATGCATATTATGATAAGCAAACAATTGCAAAATATGTGGCTCCTTGGTCTGAGTTTCTGTTGTTACGGCTTGGCTTTTTGGTATTAAAGTAAAAATGCAATAATTCTTTTCTTTTCTCTGCCGCTGGATACATAGCAAACAAACTTGGTGTTTTTTTATGATTTGCAAGAATGCCTCTTTTAAAAAATATGAATTTTATGACATGACATGAAGTTTCAGGGATTATTGTGTAACGATCGGGGGCTGTGTTGAGCCAAAAGTAAAGTAGAAAAGAAAATTTTTATTATTTAACCTTATATCTCTGTCTCATGGTAATTAGCAAAGTTGTGATTATTAAGTGTGTCTCTTTCAAAATAGTGAAATTGATGTTCCCCGGGTCAGACGTTATAATGTTAGGGTTGTATTGATTACGGTATGTATCGAGACATTTTTTCTTTGAAAATCTCTACCTACGGTTAGTACACGTAATAAATGCACATTTTGATTTGGTTAAGTGTCTTTTCCGATATTTTGAGATTTATTGCTCTAGCTTTTTGTGGGTTTGCTCTGTCGATAGTAAAATGCAAGAATGCCTTCTCCAAAATTGTAAAATTAAATAAACAACAGGCTTTGGTTAATTTTAAAGAGAGACTTGTGATTATATTTTGTGAAAATGCAGTAAAAATGCATTAATACTTTGAAATACTTTATTCCTATGCATCTGGGATACATGTATGCAAAGTTGAACTTATACTCTACTGGGAAGAGTAATTCCCCTTTGCTATTCACCTATGATAATTAATTACTGTAAAAATATAATTTTCAATATACACATGTATAATACAAAAAGTACTCGCAGTTTTTTCATGGTCAAGTTCTCTTGTAAGTAAACTAATAGTACAAATGAATAGAAATGATACAAAAAAGCTCATTTTTTCTTCAAAGACGAGAAAGTCCAATGTGTGATTGAATATATAAGACGGGATTGAATATGTGACAAATGGGAGTGTAATAGTCTGGCAAGTTAATAGAGATACTGTATGATTAATTACCAGGTACCAGACAAGCTATTATATGGACCATCCTATAAACTTTCTCTTTCTTTAACATGTCTTCATCTCTCAGTTTATTTTGTTTCATTACAAACTTTAATTAATCCTGTAAAGTTTGCATGATTATCAGGTGACAGGTAAGGCTCTCAGGCCTCTTATTTATACTCCATTTTTATGCCTCCGTTATCGAAGAGTTTTTGCCCAACTATATGTCCGTCTGCTTGTTGTTTCCAAAAGCTTTATGGTTTCTTGCGCTTTTTTGAATGCATATGGCTTTCACATTTCACATGTGTATTCCTTGTGACAGTGCCTTTCTTAGGATACAACCAAATCTGACATATTGGCCTTGGAGTTTAACCCTATTTTTGAAAAAAACTTTAACCTTGGCCAGAAACTTTGAACAGTAAGTACTAGGGCTTTCATATTTCACAGGTGTATTCCTTGTGACAAGACTTTCCTTGGATACCAACAATCTTTACTTTTGGAGTTTCACTTTTATTTTGAAAAAAATCCTCGCCATAAGCTGCCATACGGGGGCATCAGTGTTTCACAATCACATCTTGTTGAACATATAATGTAGCTGAACAGAGTATATCGCTGAAAAGACGACTTTAGTCAAGACGAGAACTTAAACTAACAGTTGTAGTTCATGAGAAAATGAACTGCACTTTATTTTGTAAAGAATCATAGGGGAAATTTATTGGAAATGTAAATATATAGACTTGTAACGTACAATAAGTCTGTAACAGACGATTTACAAACTAGTAGAAATGGCTATTACATATGTACCACGAATAAGCATGGATATCTCCATTGTTACGTCATAATACCGCACTTAATATCAAAAAATATAGTGCACACTGTTTTGCTTTAAAATTACAGCTTAATGACGTAAATTTAAGGCAAGTCATAAAAAAATGTAAATATAAGAAATGAATTTAATTTTTGAAGATTCATGAGGTATATGAACTACAACGCTTCACGTCGGCATATTTATCATGAAGCGCGTTATGAAATATGCCGGCGTGAAGCGTCGTAGTTCATAACCTCATGAATCTCCAAAAATTAGATTCTGACATTTCTGAAATATCGTCTGCTACAGACTTATTGTACGTTACAAGTCTATATATCATCTGTTTCAGACTTGTAGCACTTTACAAGTCTATATATCGTCTGCTACAGACTTGTTGTACGTTACAAGTCTATATATATATATCGTCTGCTACAGACTTGTTGTACGTTACAAGTCTATATATATATCGTCTGCTACAGACTTGTTGTACGTTACAAGTCTATATATATATATCGTCTGCTACAGACTTGTTGTACGTTACAAGTCTATATATATATCGTCTGTTACAGACTCATTGTACGTTACAAGTCTATATATCGTCTGCTACAGACTTATTGTACGTTACAAGTCTATACGAGGGATGATCAAAAAGTTCGCAAACTATCTCTATATCTACAAAACCACAATTCAGATTAGAATGAAATTCGGTACACACATAGCCATACACAAGGTCTATAAATAGCATATGCTGAATAAAGTTTCTCTCCTTGTTTGTGACGTCACAATGTGAAAATGACGTCACTATTTAGGTCACTTGTGACGAAAAATGGTTGTCTCAGTCGAACTCGTTCAACAAACGACTGTACAATTTATTGTAATATCTTAGAAATCCCTCTGCAGTATCATATAATAATTTGTTTACTGAGATAAATGAGTTCCCATAAATTCAGATAATGATTGGATTAATTGTTTTAGTGAAGGAAGGCTGATGGTTAAAAATGATACTTGTCATCTTGCCCAGTGAAAGCAAGTTTGAAAAGATATGTATTTTTAATTAAGCAATTTTCTATCAAAGACCTCCAATTAGCACTTTGAAAAATAGTTGAATATTTGAACAATGATATAAGTATTAAATACCTAAGATATAGTTTACTTTAGATTTTAAACATATTAGATATGATAAAAAGGATGCACCCATTCTCTATCCACCTTGAATAAAGGTCTCTCCTGAGACAGACGATTTGTGTTTTAATGGTCGCCATGCTTATTTTTGGAAAGGATGTTATTATCCGCCCATTCTGTTGCCGAGATATGACCATTTCTGACAAATTAATAACTGTTCTTGTCATAAAAATTAACTCACATGGAAAGAAATATAAAACTCGGAAAAATCTTTTGACTTTTGTGACAGAACGCTACGAAGGGGGTCACGTGACCGCCAATATCACGTGATTCGCGCATGCGCAGAACGGTGGTTGATGTGCATTAAAATTGGAGAGGATTGATTTAAAATATAATCAACATTAAAACCAAATATTGTTTCTTTTATGGAAGTTATTCAATTAGTTTGCGAACTTTTTGATCACCCCTCGTATATCTTCTGCTACGGACTTATTGTACTTTACAAGTCTATATATCGTCTGTACAGACTCATTGTACTTTACAAGTCTATGTATCATCTGTTACAGACCTATTGTAAAGAACATGTCTCGTCTCTTACAGGAATACGGCTTCTGCTGCGAGGGAAATCCCACGTGGAGTGGAAGATCACGAAAGCGGGAGAGAGACGGAGCGTTAAAGATGACGAGTATTACATCGATGAGAAGAAAGTCATATGGGGGAAAGGTGTGCATAGTAATGTAAAGAAACGCTTCATAGGGCTTACAGTGTAGATCATGAATGGGAATGTATCGATGGAATTAAAAAAAAAAAAGAAAAATGGTTTACGTTTCCATTTTTCTCATTAGCCTATATGTTTGTTGGTTTGCTTCCGTTTAAACTACAAACCCTTTTAAACTGGTTAATACTTTTAAAAAAAACTTTAAGAACAAAGGAAATTTTTGATATATCCTTTTGAAAGCTTTTTTTCATGCCTGTTTGAATCAGAGTCAAATATTAACCACATGCAGCAACAGTGAATAACATTCCTGGATTCTATACATTAAAAAAGTCTGTGGTAGCTTAAGAATATGCGATCATCAGCTAGGATAGATAACTCTTGAAGTTATAATTTAATTCAAACTGGAAGTCTCAAAATGAAGCTTGAAATTGAATTTTTTCTGCAACAAATTTTATTTTATGCGTCTTAGTGTGATTCAAGTTTCTTAGAAACGGTCTTATAATAAGTTAATATTTGTGCCTCATAAAAAGAATTCAAAGAAAACCAAAAAAATTCAAAATCACATTTCAGTTTTGAATATTTTTGTATATCCCAACAACATGAATGAATTTGAATTACCTTATCTATATTGGATTCCAAACTTCATGAAAAATTCCTTACAAAGATACAAAGTGGGTTCCAATAAATGATCTACCAAGTCTCTTTCTTTACTCCTCACTATAACATTAACAACAGTGGAGGAAAAACTTCAGGAGTACTGTTCAACCAGTATATTCGAATAGTGAAAACGGATGTGGATACTTAAAAATTCCAAGGAACTTTTGAGAAAATTTACTAAATTCAACAGCTTAAAAAATTAAGACTTTTCAACTTTAAACACAAACATTCCCCATGAAAAATTTAAGTCCAGACTTTTTGATATCATTGACAGCTGCTTTTTCAATAAAAATGGAATTCGTAAATTTAATTACCTTGTCATTGGTCATTTGAAAATCATTATGTTAAGACATTTTGATTGTCCACACAAGAACTCAGAAGTTGATATGAAAGAGATGTTTGAGTTTCAGATTGAAAATATCTATGTGTTTTTGGAGACTATGTCTTCCAACATTCTATTGGAATTCCCATGGGTAACAATTGCGCCCCGTTATTAACAGACCAATTTTTCTATTCATATGAAGCAGAATGTGTTCAAAATTTATTCATGAAAAGAAAAAAAAAAACACTAACTGTGGCCTTCAACTCGACATTGAGATTATACGACGTATTGTCTTTAACATTGGCTATTTCCATTTTTATGTCGATACGATATATCCCGTTGAGCTTGAGATAAAAGATACCAGAGATTCGGGCACATTTGTTTCATATTTGGATATTTTACTTAAAAAAGATGCTAATGGTAATCTAACAACCAAGCATTATGATAAATGTGATGAATTTAACTTTTCAATCGTTAATTACCCTTATTTATGCAGCAATATACCTTCATCACCTACACACGTGGTTTATATATCTCAGATAATTCGATACGCAAGAGCATGATCTTAGTATGAGCAATTTCTAAAACAAGGTTAATTATTGAAAAAAAGATGAAACAAGAATATCAGCAATCTCGTTTAAAAAACGTCATTTCGTATGTTCTATGGTCGATACAAGATTATCACCTTTTCAGCAAATACAATTTACCATTGAGTCAAATGCTGACTGAATTTTCATACTAAATTGTTAGGTTATTGTTAACACACTGAATTATCGGATGATTCTTCCGTTATTTCCCGATCATGACAAGGAGCACCGGTCAGCGAGGATACTCACTCGTCCATAGCATCTGATCCCACCTCTGATATTTTGGAGGTCTGTGTTTGCCCTGCTCCTATTTTGTATTGTTTAATGCATGGATTTTTGAGTTTGAATACCCGTACCGTTCGTTATCTTCATATATTTCATATTGTTCGAACAGCAGTGTTCTTTGATCAAAATTTAATTAAATTTTAGAAAATAATTTGTATGTCTATTAATTAAAAATTTTGTTTGAAGGGGAAAATTGTTATATGACAAATAGGTTACCAACATTGAGTAGGAAGATAGCTTCACTTTTTATTCTAGAGTGACTGGTATTTCGTACTGAATAACGAGCATTGAGAGACGACCAACTACATGTGCAGTGTATAAAGGAAAATACGGCATACTGAAAAAAAGCGTAATCTATCTATAATTTCGGAAAGAAAGAATGAACATCAAAAATGTAATATGTTCCCAAGGCTTACAAAGTATTTAGGAATTTTTTGACATTTAATCACAAAATCTGTGTTTTTATAGATAAGAAAGAAATAGAAGGAGGCGTACCCATCATGCCGCGGGGCAACCACAGATATAACTTCCAGTTCAAACTTCCGGAGAGCACACTTCCGTGTTCCTTTGAAAGTAAGGTCGGCACTATTCGATACTACATCCGGGCAACTATGGACATGCCCGTATCCTCCTCCCCACAAAGTAAAAAATACTTCACAATCATTGGTCCACATATAGACTGCATGGACGAGCGTTACCTGGTAATAAAAACTTAATAATTTCTTTGTGTGTGTTTTTTTAACATTTGCAGAAGGTACAAAGAATCTTTTATTCCACTGTATACTCTTCCATGCAAAGATAACCTCTATATTTGGTTTTGTATTCTTCAAAAATCTTCACATGCATTATACATCCCAATTAAACCGATCCCGAACTTGCAAATTTACTCGGAAGATTTCATGACTATAGTTCTTTGAGTAAAATATCCCTAAATGTAGTAGCTACGCCATTATCACAGTAATTGTTGCATACCCTTTTTACAGACGCCCACTCGAGCTAGCGATAAGCGGTATTCCTGTTGCTTCTGTTGTTCTCAAGGCCCTGTTTCACTGGAAGCAGTCCTAGAGAGAAGTGCCTACTGCGCAGGCGAGAACATCAAGCTGCGCGCAGAAATTCAAAATGGCAGCGATCAAGACGTATGGATCGTCTGTAAACTTGTGCAGGTAATATTTTTACTTGATTAAATACTGAATTTCTATTTTCCCCTTTGAAAGGCATGGTAAATACATAAGGTATTGTTAATATTTTTCAGCATGTTGAGTTTTTCATCAATAAAGGAGTACTAGGTTTATGCAAAGAAGTGTCTCACAAAGTATGGCAGTACCGAGGGGAAACGGTGCATGCGCACGCAACCGAAAAGTTTGACGACCTCCAACAACATCTTCAACTTCCGGTTGTGCCGCCATCAATGGTGGACGTTTGTAGTTTAGTACAGATCTACTACACCCTGAAGGTCAGATATGCTCTGTATCGCTTTACTTTTTTTTGAGTGGATTTTATTTAGTAATTTATTAGTATTTTATATATTTTTGTGAATTTTGAAGAATGTAAGTTTCCGTTTTCTAGGCCTGTCTTGTAATGGAGGATTCGGGAGAGGTTCTGGATCTTCATTTTCCGCTTACAATTGCGACAACGCCTTATAGAATATCGAACGCACCTTATCCTATCCTCCAGTATGGTATGAATATTTTATCATCAGGTCCATGTAGATATATAGCTATAGGATCACTGAAAAAGAAGCTGGCAAAGTGACCATTGTCCGTCTGTCAATAGCTGTCTGTAAAAATTAAGTTTCTAAACATTTCCGCAATTTGGTCTATTTGCACTTAAAATTGCCACACAGGTGGACTACACCAAACTAAATTGATATCATAAGCAAAACAGTCTTCTTGAGAATATCTAGTTACAATAAACCGACCTCTTCACTTTTGAAACTATGAAGATTACTATACTAGAAGATTAAAAAACATTGAAGTTCATAATACTTTGTATGTAAACATGAAAAAGTTGTAGACAAACTGCAACTTTCAAAGTAAATTGCAATCAAAAATGTGCAGCATTAAAATATTCTCACCTGAGCTCTCCGATTTCAATTCTATTGCTAATTCAGTTGTGAAGTTTCTTTCATGCTTCGAATGAATCGCAAAACGGTAAATAGAGCAGCATTTTCTCTCCTCCGTGAGTTTGCACCTTGTTACAGAATGTACAGATACGGTTGTGGACTTTTTATTGTAGATCACTGTGTTCCTAATGTAGAGGGAGGTATGTACGTCAGTTCCGAGTTCCAGCTGGGTCAGGTTTACATGGGGGACGGGGAGGAGGAGACGGACGAAGTCATCCTGTACCGCCCCCTCTACGTCTGTGTACCTCACGAGCGTGTTCAGGTCAACAACGTGGATAAAGAGGGCACTGTCAGTCGCGCCCCCTCCCGGATGTCGATGACGAGGCTGAGCGACCGACTGAAGTTCAAGGAGCCCCGGGTCACAGCAATATCGATATCCTCCGAGAAAATAGACTCTTCAAAAACCGACAGTGAAGAGGCGTCCCCATCAATAGTGACAAAGGACGGACTCTCACCTTTATTTGCCCAAGTTGACCTTGAATCACAATTTAATCAAAAACCACCAAATGACGTCATAAAAGGACAACTTGAAGATCTTTGTGAACAGGAACCGGAAACAGAAGTATTAGTGAAAAAGTCGGACATTACAAGTCCAAGTCCCGAGATTAAGGTTCAAGTGGATGTGACAGACGGAACTGTGGAAACATCTCAAGAGAGTTCATGATGGACACCATGACGTCATTAATCTTACAAAGTATCTCTATGCCATCAGTTGAAAAGTATTATACTTGACAAGACAGATCTTGCCTAACTTTATTGCAAGAGAGTTTATTATTTTTGCTTCAAATCAAACGCACATTTCAACAGATAAAATGTATATGATGCACCTTTTCTATTGAAATAGTGAACTTTTTACAGTTTTAAAAGTAGACATAATTCTTGAGGAGAAAAATATCCTTTGTATTCATGATGAATATGTGATTTCGTGTATATTTAACTACATGTAATTTAAAACAAAATAACGTGAGCACTATGTTCAGAGCTACCAGTCACGTGATGAAGATATTGTGCCATGTATAGGACTGGTAATACAAACTGGAATATACATATCCTTGGTATACACAGTGCAAAATGTGCATGAAAGTAATACACATTGAAATGTAAACAATCAAATTAATAAATTATTATCTGGTTATACAAATGTATATTGGTCATTCAGGGTTTCGAATTTCTAAACATAGCTTTGGACTTTGTAAGGAATTGTATATGTTTATTTAATTTTCTAACGTTTCATCCCTGTAAGATGGGAACGCCACTGATTGCCGGTGAAAGTCTACTGTATTACGGTTCAAAATGATCTTTTTCGTACTAGCACTTTAGTTGGTAAGTCTTACCCGATCATGGCACGGATAACTACTTCAATGTCAATCAAATACAAAGGTGGCAGAACATAGTTAGAAGAAGCTATGGGACTGCTGCTCATTGCAACGCAGTAGTCGGAGCACCTGTTCAAATATTATATATATACATATGAAAATTGTAAGTGAAAAAAAAATGGTGTAGGAAAAAATATGAAAGGATATTATTCCTACAGAGATTTATGTTGCTCTTTAAACTTTTTAAAACTGCTTCCATTAAGTCTAGTTTTAAAACAATATCAAGGGAAATTCCATTACGTTCGGGAAAATTTCAAAAGAATACATTAACCAAATTAGATTTTAATAAATTTCACAACCATAAAAAGAGTCATTACATGCAAATTGTATGGTGTGGAGGCACGTTGTGCTCGAATGATCTATAAAACGTGTCGATTTTAGAGGAACATCGACATGGAATACTGGGTAACTGTAACCATACATCTTAATCAGTGGCATTGATTTATTTCGGTAATTGAAAATAACACAAGATTGATATGAGCATTGTTGAGGCTGCTGCAAATGCCAAATACCAACTTGGCAATGAATACTGAGCTAATTTTTTAAACTTTAATTTCTTTTTATGGACACATAGTACTACACTATTGGTAAAAATAAAACTTGGAAGTCTTATTAACAAAACCGTGTTGCACTATTGTAGCATTTAAATTCCCTTAAAAACAATTGGATTCAATCTTTTGATCCTCCTTAAGCAAACAGCGTGTACAGTTTTGATTATTTGTTTAAGCTAAATTCAATCTGTCGTTCTACTTTTATATTTCGGAACAGAAGTAACGTAGTAATGTTCTTGTAGCATATCTCTTTAATCTTCCTTTAGAGGCGACAGTCTTTTTGAAAAATAACTGTATTTGATAGAACTAGCTACCCTGTATAGGATTACCTAATGCAACACAATGACAATCTGTGTAGATTATCTCATGATCGTACGAGGTTCATTATTTAACCAGCCCGACTGGAAATCGACAAATTCACAATCCCACTAAAGTTGTCTTCATGATAGTGCTGAAAATCTTCTAATGGAGCATAAAAAGTTCCATCGAAGGAGTCGTAAAATTCCCGAAGCACTTCTGTTCAGCAGCAATATTTGATCTATAACTATTGACAAAGCTCTTGGGTAATATTTACTTGTAATATTTGTGATTGCGGTTAATTATTGAGAATGCGTGCATCTTCAATGCCATCCTTTTCCATTGGCCGTTTAAAAAGCCAGGTATATTTAAACTCTCTTACACATTTAAGACAGGGTGCCGAAACAAGAGGTTTAAATATCAAAATATGCAGTAAGCCTTTGTAGAAATAATTACATATTTTTCGTTTTCAATAGAAGTATTTGTATCGGTTGACAGCCGCCTTTGGCAGCGAGGACTTCTATTGGCCAGGTATTTTTGTTCATTTAATGCAGTCCAAGTTATATACACAGTATATAAACGGGTACAAAAAGAGGCAATGCTCTAGGAAAAACGGTATATGGACACACACAGGAGAATGGTTAAAGGGTAGCTAGGCAAACTATCGACCGACTCTACCTGTCAAGTACACCGTTAATTACCGACTAAACGAGAGTGAAAATAATGAACAACTGTGAAAACGAAATATTATTCATTAGACAAACAAAGATGGACTTGATATTTTAAAGGGAATTGTGAAATGTATTTTATTGGATTATGTTTCAAAAAGACGGCGTGAACTGGTCAAATGATATTAAAAGAAAAAGAGGAAAGCTTCATGAGCTCCAAAGAAGCGCGTGGGACAAACCGGACAGCTCTGTCACCTGTGGGGCGGCCCGTGTCGTCTGCCACCGGGCGGCTGTCGTCTGCCGGGAGGCGGAGTGAGGTGAACATTTCCGTGGCCTCTGTCACTGATGAGGAGCTCTCGTTCTCCGACTCGGACGATGAGGGGGTCACTCCATGTCAGAATACAAACGACAAATTTTGGAATTCCTTCGGTGAATCTCTGAAGAGAATCAATGATGATAGTGCAAAATTCCTCATCCGACCTAAACCGAACTTCAAAAGCAGTTTTATATTTCAAGGAGCTATGACAGAGACCTGTGGAAATACTCAATATGGGAGTAGTAGAGGATACACCAAACTGAAAGAGACTCTGAACAGACTGACTGACGTATCGGGGGCAGCCGCGAGGATGTTCGTCAATGCCGCCAAACCAAAGGAGGATGCTACTTCAGAAGAAACACAAGAAATTGAAGAAGAGAAACCGGAAACCGGCATGAAAGAAATAACATCCGCGCTAGGTGGCGCTAAAAGAAGTTGGAAATTAATTAAACGAAATGTGAATGAGACTGCTTTGGAAAAGAAAACCGAAAAGACTAAGCTAAATTGGGATATGTTGGCCCATCACGCTAAGGGATTAACAGACCTGGAACGTTCGAGGCAGGATTTGTACCAGAGGTACGGCCTGCTGCCGATGCTGCACAAAGACGGAAGTTATGAATGTCGAAACATAATGTGGAGTGAACGGGCAATTCGCTTAAACATGACAAACCCTATACAGTACAATGTTATTACTTACGACAAGCGACGGGCCCAGAGCGCTAAACCTCGCAGCAAGAAACCAACACCTAAAGTTACCATTCAGCGTCCCGCTTCCGAAAAACCGCGTTCTCTGTGCGCTACCTCAACGACCCCTAGCGGCAGAGTACCATCAGCGGGCACGTCCAGTAGAACAATTACAAGAACTGCCTCACACAGACAAAATGATAATCTGTTAACTCCGGTGAATACATTAAGAAACAATTTCTTTTCATGACTTAAAGTGTTCATTTATTTTTTTTTCGTTTAATATTCGCTAAAAACTTGGAAATTTGTCATTTTGACTACGTTTGAATTGTTTACAGTGTACGTGTAAAATACTTTGAGAGTGCTGAAGGCTTAATTGAAAATACTAGTATGTAAAATTATATATGGATGTTAAGTCCTATTTATCAAAATTTTACCAACCTGTACCCAAGCCCCAAACTGCAATAACAAACGTTCTAATGTTATATATACATGTACAAATTTATTATTGAATCGTTTCTTTATTATGTATTCCATATATTAATGAAGTCTTTTCTATTTAGTAAATATGTATTTAAATGGCATTGTTTGCTTAAGATATTTTTTCATGTTTGATATGAATTGAACGTTTCTTTCTGACAGTTCTAATTCACCCAGTACAATAAAGTTACTCAGAGGCTAGCCTCAGAGAGGTTTCATTCATATTGGGGGAAGTTTAAAGCTTATATTACATGTTCCTTACAAGATCTATTCAGTTTAAAGATTCAGATATTCCAAGGTTTAATAACTTCAAATCAATGTTGTCAATAGACGTTCAATATATTCAACAGGATCTCAAAACAGGTGCTTGGACTACTGCGTTGCAATGAGCAGCAGTCCCATGGCTTCTTCTAACTATGTTCTGCTACCTTTGTATTTGATTGTAATTGAAGTAGCTGTCCGTCTCTCGTCAGTAATACTTCGCCTGATCAAATAGTCCTCTGGCAAACCATTAAATTCCCGTCATAAATACGCTATTTGCTCTTCCCAGCTGTCCTACAAGAGAACAGTGTCGAATTTAATTGCAGTCGATTCGAGAGGGATTATGATGAACTGGAACCTCGATAAATAGCGTGTTTTAGAACTGCTCCTACTCCCCAAGCCTAGATTGTGTGGTAACATGACGGAATCTTACTAACAAGTCGTCTATTGAACGACTGCTCAACAACGTATTACTCAAACGTTTATAATAATAATACTTAGGGTGGGAATTGCTTTAAATTAAAATTGAAGATCAACAAATTAATAAGAAGTGATTAAGTTAAGAGGAACATTGTTTTCCAGAACAAATGTGTAATTCAGGGGATTACTGCGCGGAGTCAGGGGGCGAGGGTAAAAGTCGGATAATCGGGAAAGCCGCCAATTTCACGGCTCTCCGAAAACTGGTGTCATAATTCTTGTAAGCCCTAAGCTACGAATATTCTTTTTCCAATAAGTCAGGGTTAAACAAATTGACCAAACTTTTCCCTAATCGGATTTTAGGCTCAAAGTACTTTTATTAACACAAAAACTTTATATGTTGATGAAGCTTTATCTGTTGGGATTGCATGTGAACGGTTATACATTGTATAAACGTCTGCTTATGACAAAACATATAAATTTCTCTGACATTTTTATGTAACATAGGTTAATTAAGAATAACTAAATGACGCGACTTTTTAACTGTATCTAAAACGTTGAAAATATTTTACTATTGTATTAATCATTTTAGAAATACCATTATTTTCATGCAACGTACGTACTGTTAATAAAAAAGGAAATATCCATGGTCGTTGGATGCAAGGAAATATTTAACCTTGACAAATATTCTATCAAGGGACACCGGAAGTCGTATAGTAGGAGATTATCAGTATCAGTGATGACGGCTGTAGATTTGCATTTCCAATTGTTCTCTGAGTTAACTTTTTGAAAGGTATCCAAAGATTTTTTTTCATATGCACAATCGAAGATTCGGGGGCAAATGGTTTTTGCGCTGACTGACTGTTTGTCCGCAAAAACTTTAAGCATTGTCCTGACTTTTGGTCTATTGGAGCTGAAGCTTTCATATTAAACATTCCTTGTGTCAAGACATTTCACTGGGTAACAAAATATTTTGACCTCTTAACCTCGTATATGGACCCACTTTTGCTAATTTGGCCATAACTTTTTAATATTCAGAACCAGAACATTCTTATTTTGCATGTATTTTCCTCGCGAGAAGACTTCCTTGAGGTAAGAACAATAATAGCCTTGAATTTTGAGCTTGACATACTTTTGTAAAACTTAAAACCTTGGTTAAAACCTTTGAAGGGTCGGTGCTATTGCTTTCATTTTTTTTTTTTTTTTTGTGACATAGGTACCAATAGTATTGACATTGGCGTTTGTTTTCTTTTGAAAAACTTAATCTTTGTCTATAACTTTTGAATGGTGCATGGAATAGGGTTTTCATATTTCACAGATATATCCCTTTGTGGCTAGACTTTGAATAAGTATCAGCATTTTTTTTTACCTTAAGTTTCATCCATCTTTGGACAATTCTAACCTCTATCATAATTTGGCAAGGGCTGTCATATTTTACGGTATGTTCCTGGTGTAACAGGAGTATGGAAATAATCGACAACTCCTGTCAGGGTTCTTTATATTTATTCACAGTGGAGTGACATGGCGTATTACATCAATTTTAATACAGCCCTGTAAATATCATAAAACAATAATAAATAGGATGTAAATATTACAAACATAATGTTCAGTCATTACTTTTACATGTAACATGAAGATAATAGATTATCATCCTAAGTTTACACAATTATCATCAAAGGGAGATAACTCTTGAATATATAAATCTTGACATATTTCTCCCAAAATAATCATAAAAAGATATCCAAGATAAAACATATAAATCTCACCATTCTGTGGGAACAGGCTTTCCCAATAAATTGTCTGACTGACAAAATGTATATCTATATGAATGGTGATCTGTAATTTAATACAATAATGCTTAAAAATATAATCTCTTAAAAATGTACCAATTGCTCACTTTGAAAATATAATCAAAAATATCTTTGATCATCATAAAAACATATAATCTGATTAACTTCAAATTACTTCTAGAAAATACTTCATATTGATCTTGTAACCAATAATAAATATGCATCATAAAATAACTTTCTCTCAAAATCATTCATTCACTTTAGTAAGTGCAAATGGATATAACCTTTGCATTCTATAGGATGAACATTTAAAATAAGAAAATATTAGTAACTTACCAGAGAAGGAAAATCTTCAGTCTCAAGTCTATGTATATAGGTCTGGCCTGATCAACCATAGAACAAAGAATACTCATACAAAGCGGGAAAAATCCAGACTAACCAAGAAAACCAATCGAATCAGACCTTTCAAATCAATAACCAATAAAACCCAAAATAACAATGTCCACTTCCAAAATACCTGATCAATGCCCTGGGGTATATACACATATGTACAGGTAATACAGGTAAGGGAGAACTAAGGAGTGGATCTAAGTTTTTAATAAGTTAAATAAAAGTTAAAATAAATATTCTGGCAAGTTCTATAACTTTATTATACAAATCTAATACTATTACACTGGTGACAAGATCCACTTCCTTTCTTTGATTTAGCTCTGAAAATTTGACCAGACGACTTTTTAAAATTTTTTGTTTATTACGGGGCGTTCGATATTGTTCGAACGCTCGTATTCGGAATGTTTCGGGCATACTCGTAAACTTAATACAAACTCAACGTTCAATAAAACGTCAAGACATTGAACGCTAAAATTCTCTAGATTTTTGGTAGTACTATTGTTTGCAGCTAACTGTAAAGTTTCACGTTTCGTCACGATCTTTTTCATCAGATGCATCCAGCGTAAACAATTCACGTGATTGGTCATCTCAAATTATCAACATTGATACGGAAATAGTCTGTTGCACGAGCAACCAATCAGGGATAAGAAGAAAGTTCCAGTCGTAAAGCTTGCGGTTAGGAGGCGTGTACAATTTACCTTGAGTGCAGCTGTCAACTAGATCGTGACGTAACGTGAAACTTTACAGTCAGCTGCAAACAATAGTATTTTATTAGAGACTATTTATCAGCTACATAACAAGTATATTTATCATCCGTAGTTTCAGAAATTAATACGGTGTCAAATTACATGATATCACTTTCAATTTAATAAATTCATGAACAGTGTTGATAGACTACTACAGAAAATACTCACAGATAAAACCAACAACAAAATTATTGGAATACAATGTTAAGCCTCTCTTGCTTAAATACAAATGATAAGAACCTGTCAGTAGAGATCTGTAGAGCTATGTCTCGTCAGAGACTTTTGGTTCTCACTCATATAAACGTTTTCTCTCTATTTCAAATGTTTGATTCTGTGGTATAAAGAAAATTATTGGCATGTCAGATGCCAGATTTCCTTGATGACTTAATAAAGTAAAACACTGATTGATAGCGCTATTGACATTACCATTGATTAACTATACCAATCGCGGGCGCTAGTGCCTTCATTAAAATACCATTCAAATCTTTAGAAATCCTTTTCAAATAACATTACCTCGAACAGATTCTAACAAAAAAGTATTATATATGAAAGAAAAAAAACCATTCTATATATGATTGCACATTAATTCATACAGACATTGTACAAAATTCCTGTGGTTATGATTTTTGTCTGTAGAAGTGCAAAGGCATGAGGTCTCCGATGTTTAAAAACGTTGACAGATTTACTAACATGGTTTAGCATCACTGTGTTTAAGCCTTCGAAAGATTCAAATTTTATGCAAAAAGGGGAAGGAAATCATAGCCCCTTGAGGAAACTTAGATGAAAAGATGAAAATACAATATCAATCCTTGTAAATCCCTCTTGTATTTATAAAGACGTAAATTCACACTTTAATGTAATTCAATGTGGATACTTTTTTTTTTAAAAATCTTAAGCTAGGTCTCCTTGAGAAAAAAAAGATTCACGACGTCAAGAGAGAACAAAATATTTATAATAACCTTTGATCTTTAGTAGGTGTCTGATACCACAAAAAACCTGATTTTATGATATTAAAATTGAACAATTATTTTTTTTATTATTATTATTAATTAAAGTGAAAATGATTTAAAACGATACAAAATTATGTTGTTATTGTAGAAAAAAAATTTATATATACTAAGTACTTTGAAAAAAAATCTCTCTCTTCTTCATTCCCATCTCTCTCTCTATCGCTCTCTATCTTCTCTCTCTCTCTCTCTCTCATTTATATACATAATAATAGGTATTTGTATATCGAAAGGATATAATGCCTATAGGTAAATTTAAATGACTGAGACACACACACAAAGTTTTTATCGCCGTAATCAATACACATCCTTATGTATAACTTGCACAAAAGAAATAGATACAGTTTTCTGGAAACCTTTAACAGAAATTGTTTTAGTATTGCTAGAACGATCCGACTTCTAGGTGTATTTAAAGATTTGCTTCAATGTAACTCGTACACACAGAGACAATACATCAATTAGGCAGATCGTGTTGTAGTATTTACACATCTATTCAATATCCCCTCTTCCCGTTTACGTTTCGTGTAGTTCAATGTTTGTCCACAATACAAAAAGGCTGAAAAGTTAAACAAGGAGCAGTAATTCCTGTAATCGAAACTCGCTGTTCATCCACTAATATAGTATTACAAATGAACTACTAATACGGCATCAAAGTTTGGTGTTATTATCTGAAAAGTTTATATTTTGAACATGACATTGACTGTGTCCAGAATTTATATGTATGTCCTTTAGTACAAATGTCACTGTTACTACGACATACATGTATTGAATTTTCGAAAATTGATTTTTCAATTCAAATAAAAATTTATATTAGGTTTTATTTGAAATTAATTATAAATTTACATCATAAGATACAATATCATTATTATGTTAAAGCATTATATATTTATTTTTGTATGTAATTTTTTTTAAAATTCCGAAAATAAGAATTTATTATCAGGTACTCGGTAATTGTCGCTAAACATTAATGTCAGCGCTAACTGAAACAGATTAAACAACATGAACAAAGAGCGAGAACTCTGGTTCATATTAACTTCAAGAATTCCAAACAATTCTTGTAGGTTTCGAAAATTACCGATTTCTTTTTAAAAAATAAGGACCAATACTGTAAGATGGATGAACTTGGTGGAGCCCTGAGGCGAAAGATGGCTGTTTTTCTGGATATATTATCTTCGTACGACTTGATTTTTCAACAGATTTAATTTTCAATCTTAAAAAAGTCGACAAAACGAACAGAGGAAAAATGGCAATGGCTGAAAATAAATAACACTATTTTCAGAAATTTGTCGAATTTTTTTCTTCTATTTTCTCTTGGTAAACAGAAATGGTCTTTAATGCATGCAAGCATTACTGCTCGTATTTTATCTCTTTTTTGCACTTTCTTTCATATGGTAGGGCTAATTTCTGTAAAAGGCTTGTGAAAAATACAAAGGCAAGAAATGCTTAAAATTAATACTGCTTGATTATCGTATGTCATTTTCTTGTCGATGATTGCTGACAAAGACGGCACAGCTTTTTGAAAACATACTTGTATCTTTCCTTCAGCTGTTCAGATGGGTATAAGTTTTCTAAAATCTCATGTTACAGAGGTGGCAATACATAAATATATATTATTATAACAGTAACTTGATCCGAAGGGTCGTATCACGTCGAGTTGACAGGCGCGGATCATCAGATCTAACGAGACGCGAAGCGTCGAGTTTGATCTGATGATCCGCGCCTGTCAACGAGACGTGATACGGCTCTTCGGATCAAGTTACTGTTATAATGATCAATTTATTATATACCCCCTTATAACTGGCTAAATATATTTAAATACACCTTTAGAGATAAATTGGATAATATTAATCCATTAAACACAGCATAATAACAAGGGACTTTTTAACGCGCAATAAAAATAACGTCATATTTCTGCGCACCACGTCATCAGTTTCAGAGAGTGGTGATATGGATTCAGAAAACAACATGTTGGTGATCCGGAAAATCGGATCACGACGTCACGTGATAGCGTAAATTCAACAGTAAAATTGGATGATACACATTAGGTATATAATAATGATCAAGAAATGGTTAGTTTTCTGTCCTGTTTGGATTAACAGATGCTCCTCTTGCCTATTAAGAGCCATTCTCTGTAATGATTTGAAATTTTATATAGGAGCTGTGGCACGCATAGTCTCAGAATTTCTCCAAACTCTCAATGATAAAAGTCATTGATACCCTAAACTGAAATCAGGCAAAAATTGGTTGCTATGTTTTATAGTTACCATGGCAACATGTCTTAAAGTTCGAAAAATGGCATTTTTTAACATGTTTAAAGCCCCATAGTTAACATTTGCGGCAAAGCAAACAATTGGCAATGACTGTTTCCAAAAGTTGAAGGTCAGATGTCTCAAATGCATGATAAACATATTTGGTAAATCAACTATTACATACGTTACTATGGTTACAAAGTATTCAAAAGTAAAAAAAATATTTATTGAATTTTATAAAGTCATACACGTAAAAATAAAAAGCAATTATAGGATGAAATGTGACCAAATAATAGAAAAAAGAGCCTTGAAACATATACCAAGAACAAAATATGATATTTCATTTTGGTTGGCAATGGTTGCCATGGTTTTTATACCACAGAGAGCCTTTAAAGTAACACTGTGTATGTTTAAATCTGATCCTATCTTTTGAAAAAGGCACATTTTCTCATAACTAATGATCAATTTTATAAGATGTTGGTATGCTCCAAGTTTTCCCATTTGAAAAAATTCAGATTACATTCTTTAAATAGAGCGTTGCTATGGATATAAGCAGAAAATACATGCTTAAATACCTGAAAAATATTTTCTTTCCTTGGATACGTACCCTTAAATGTAGATTCCCAAAACTTTTGTGATTGATATTTATTAACAGCTAACTTGACTTTTAATTTTGACTATCATCTAATCTCTAAGTGGATGCAAGAAGTTGGCACACAGGGTTTAATATTGATATAAAGTTCACAAAATCGAACATTTTCACTTCTTGGTAACCATAGCAACAGTGTTGTTTTATTCATCAAATTTTCTCAATATATGATATTCAACTTCAGTTCTAACAGATAAATACTATTCAAGCTGAGTCCTTTAATTTGTTGTTTGATTATATGGCAATTTAATTCTTAATGCAGCGAAAAATAATTCACTTTTAAGCACTGGTACTTTGTTTCCATGGTAACACTGCAAAGTAGCAATTATACCCAATTTTTCTTATGGTTTTGGTGTTGCAAGGTCCTAAGGATGCATATTTGCCAGTCTTGAATTTTCATGTTTTTCCTCAAGACAGTAGCATTAACCCAATCTTAGTTACTGGTTTTGCATGGTTACACTGTGTTACCATGGCAACCATAAAAGTTATTTTTAGAATAATATTGCTTATACTTATATACTTAAGGTCAAACATTTTCATTGTTTTTCCTAAGTCGTTGATTGAGTTTGAGCATGTAACACCTACCATTAGTGAATACAGAGTGTTTTTCAGCATATTTCAGCATTTTGAATGTATTCCAAATGTACCCTTGGTTACCACTTACTCAGAGATATATTCTAAACAGTTTCTTTACAGTATAAGTGACATCAAGGTGACATATTTTTGTGAGAATGGTTTGTTTGCTTTTTCTACTTTTTATTAAGACACAGTCAAGATTTAAAGTGGCTGAAAATCTCGATTTTTCAAACTTTTCCGGCTGTTGCCATAGCAACCGAGACACATAGCAACGAAATTTTGTTTGATATTTGTTTCTGGTGTCAAGTACTGAGCATGGGTGAAGTTTCATCAAAATCGGTGACCATGCGTGGCAACGAAGTTTAAGTGGTTACAGAGAATGGCTATTAATCCCCATCATTTGCTATATCGCACTGTTTTTAAATTCTGTTTTTTTTTTTTTTTGAGGGGGGATCATAGACCTGGGCCCATTTACGACTAAGACCAAGATTTAGTTCTGCTTCTAATTTTAAAAGATTTAAATTGAAAATGGTTTTAGTTGTTTTAGATGCAACACAGCAAAATATTTTTACAGAATCATTAGTTTTGTAGAATTTCACAATCAACTGTTTTTTGTCTTAGTTGTAAGTTCTGAGAAACCAAATTGTACCAGAATCTGAGAATGTGAGTATAGTAGGGATATATGAACGCAACTGGGGAGTATAGTACAGATTCCTGAAGGGAGAAAACAGAATCTGTAAATAATACCCATTTGAATGTTAGATCTAATACCTCTGTGTCTATCAAACTTAACCATAAGTCACGTTTCCCAAATAGTTAGGTCAAATTAAGTTTTGGTATTCAGTGTACTAAATAACAAAACCTCTTTACACTCTTCAGAAGTCGACAAAATTATCAACTGATGATAAAGAAACCAACAAAACAATAACTTTGCCTCCTGAAATTCAATCTAGAGAGAAAACAACGTCTTGTGAAAACTAAATATTTCATTTAATTTCGTAATAAAAAAAACATTGGTAAATTGGTTATACCTAAGTATACAAACAAATTTAATCAAAGCTGCATCAAGAATGTCATATAAATGCACTACCCTGATCATAATGAGACAAAGAATGGTTAACATGAGACAAACCTGAAACGCTGACAAAATAAGATATGTGGTATTAAGTTTGATGTATCATAAAATAACACCAAATATACTAGCTGCAGATCTGTAGCGTTATGGTTTTATATATTTGTCTTTGACCATAACGGTCAAAGACAAATATTTAAAACCATAACGCTACAGATCTGCAGCTACAAATATACATGACACGACCACAGCATCGAAACAAATAAATGGACTCGCATCTCTGATATGATAGAACGCTGCAAGGATAACAGTAAACACTTTGTACATATATCACAGACATTTCACACATAAATGGACGGGGTTACTTCTTTGGTCGCCAGCCATTGATGAAGTCTATTATCTTTTTGACGTCTAGAGCGTTCAGTTCCGGGAATCCCTCGCGGAGGAGGTTTTTATCTAGAGAACACAGTAACTGACCGTCTATCTGTTCGTTAGACAACCTCTTCACCACCCGGTCCTTCATTCCAATATACCTCAGAGACCTCGACACCTCCTGTACGCTAAGATTAGACAGGTCAAGAGGAGGTCGCCACCCGTCATCGAAATCCTCGCCATACTCCGCGTAACTGTACTCACTGTCGCCGTGGTAACCGTAGTCACCTGACAACACGGACTCCTCCGGTCGTGACATCATCTCGTTGATTCCCGTGGATGACATTGACCTCTGGTATCGTCTGCTGCCCGGCTCACTCGTGGCGTACAGAGATCGTCTGTCGTACTGTCCGGGCTCAAACAGAGACAGGCGGTGGTTAAATTCTCGGAGCGGAACGGAATCGTGAGGTAAGACTGGATCTCGCTGCTGGAGAGAAGAGTTAATTTCATCACAATTAAACACGCTCATCACATTGTTAACATGTCTCATGTTATGACTACGAACTGTTGCATTAGCATCCAACAGCAAATTCTTGTGGGACCGAGACCGCATTCGGGTTAAAGAATTGAATGGATCGCTGTCCATTTTATGTTCATCTGCACGCATGCGCCTATCTCGGTAAGTAGAACTGACAGTGGTCCCTGGGTTGATTGTTGTATGATATTGAGGTATTTCAAAATCTCGCGCAAGGGATCGCCCATCCTCAAATTCTGTATCCTGCCTAATAACTTGTGTTACACGCCCGTCTTCTGTAAAAGGAAACAATTTGTCAAAATCCAATGGGTCTTCCTTATGAGATCTATAAATTGGGTCTTTGGACTTTGTAGAATTCCTCGGAGCAATGGGAGGTTTACTGTACATGGCACTTCTCTCCTTGTTTCTTCTCACTTGCGCAGGACTCATGTAATCATCATCCTGTGTGTGAGTTTTATGACCATGAGTAATGTCATCCACTGGAGGGCGTGGCGCAACCGGAAGTTCTTCATACAATGGTTCTCGTTCTTCCGGGGATTTCGGAATGGGTGGGAGATTTCTGCTTTGATATGTAGCATCCTCTTGCGAAAATTGAGAGGGGCGGTACACTGGGTCGTTTTCGTCTGTGTAGTCTGGTTTTTGGGACTCTGTTGTCTTTCTTTGTAAATCATCTTCACTAACTTCCTCTTCATCCTGCGTACAAGATTCTAAATTAAAATCACTCTTTGTCAGTCTGGAAGAAAACACACCTTCTTCCTGTAACTGCTTCAGGCTTGCTCGCTCCTTTTTAGCTTTTGAACGTAGGCTTAGTTTATCTAATATACCTGGTCCTTTTGATTTTTTGCTCGTTTTGATACGAACTGGAAGTTCCACTTCCATTTCTAAAGGCGCACTATTCTCGTAAATACGTTCTTCTGTATTCATGGCTATATGGTCTGTTTTACGTTTGCTAGCATGACCTTTCGACACATCCTTCCTAAAATAGATTTTTGCATTGACTGGGATTTCAGCTAGTTCACTATCCTCACTGACCGGGTAAACCCCCGCCAAAATCGTCACTTCTTCCCGTACTCCTTCTATCATCACTAACCCACTAGGCAAGGAGCATGCGCCGGGATCTGCATGGATAAGCTGCGCTCGCACTGGGAGCGAGAATGAAGCCACTAAATCTTGAAGTTCGTAGACAGAATCAAAGTCATTATTCGTTAGATCTCCGACGGGACTGAATACGCCCGTCATTATAAGCGGAATCATTACTTCCTGAGCGTTTGAATCAAAACACTGGAGATACTTTAATTCTTGGTCCTTTTGAGAATATTTCGCCGGTTTGATAATTTTCTTGAAGAAGTTCTTTACATTCGATTTACTCTTTTTCTGGTCCATATAAACAATACCAGTGGTGAGGACCTGCCCTGGGGAGATCTCGAGCGGCACCCACGACCCCACCCCAGCGTCCACGCTCAGCTGATAGCCCACCACGGAGGTTCGAACCAGGAACCGTCGCGGCTTGACATTGGCGATCGCTTGTATGGAATCAAAATATTCCACTGGCCGACCGTCCTCTGGCAGAACTTCAAACCAACCTGAAATGTATGTCAAATTTCTTATTGATGAATGGTCAACCATCAAAAGAAGACTTTTTAATGAAAATCCTATGAGTACTGTAAAAACTGTGTGTAAAAACAGCAATATGTGAACAAACATTCACTTATTAAGGTTTGCTAGATTTGCTTGAAATAATCCTAATGCTGGGGAAATTTAAACCAGATCTGTGAAAACTGTCATGTTAACAAAAATATTGCCGATTTTATTTGTTCATAATGTGCAGTCATTTTACATGTTAGCTCTTTGTTTGACACCTGATTAATACCTGGAATTTGCTGATATGGAACTCATTTGAGAATACTAAGTACTTGATCACGAAGGTAATCTATAAAAGTTAAAACAGGTAAGTTGCACTAAAGAAGTACGGGTGCCTGGTACCCTTCAACATCGCGGATATCCAAATAGAGTTGATTTGAACTTTAATGAGGGGGACACTTTTTTGTTTTAGGCTGACCTTTAGCAGTAATTTATCAGTTAGATTTGATAAGGACTCAAAACCAAAGATTTACGGCGTCAGACTTCTATAAATGGATGTCGCACAGATTGAACTAATTGATATATAAAATATGCAGGATTTTTTAAACAGTGTATTTAAAATGATATGATTGAAGTGATACTCAATATGGATAATGCAAAGTTTTCTTCTAAACTTTAATTGTTATATGGTAATTGTTTCAAGTCAAACTTGTAAGATTATTAACTCTGCCAACCAGCCCCACATTGTATCACATATTGTAACATAATACTTTATACAATATCCATTCTACTTTAAACACTATTAATTATACTTTCACTTGAGATTCAGGGATTACATTATACTTCTGTTCTGATAGTTCCTGCTAAATAAATATTTTTTTTCAGAATCATATTGCTATGTGATGTTCCTCTTTTATGCTTGTACTTCTTTTGAAATGAAACCTACCGAGGGAATCTTTCTTTATTGGCCATATTAATCTATACATGAATCGTGAGAAAACCATTGCTTTGATCCGTATCTGTACAAAAAAATCCTTGGCAATAAAACACTTGCGTGTTTCATACTTTTTATACCTACCTGACAGACAAATGCTTTTGTGTTGGCCTGGAAAATTATGCTAATTTGTTTTTAATCATTTAAAACTCGCCAGTTTTTTTCTTTCTTTATTTTACCCTGTTTGCTGTGTAGTCAATATTGAGCCCAACCGGTTTTATCACGCTATAGCTGAAGTATTTAGATAGCCTGGAGACTTGTTTGGAGATAAAAGTTTTAAAATTGATCACTGTTAATTCCACTAAGAAGTAAAAACAGTGTTCTCCCATATCACGATTTCTGACAGATTTATACAAGATCTAGAGCGTATATTTATAGAAAGATCATAGGGTCCATCTGGTCATCAAGTTTTTCTTGAAAATTTTACGTATCTTTATTAAATAAGAATTTATTGATATTTTTGCATGCTAAAGTCTATATATTATATTATATTATATAAATCTGAAAAAGATAAAGAGAATCCCATACGCCAGGAACATGATCACAATGACAAAAGTTTTCTAGAAATAATTGATACATGACCACTGTTACCTTTTACACTGGACCGGATCTCCATCCTCTTGTTTGCCGTCACGTACTCGGAGGATTTCCGGTCCCAGACCATCTTTTTGCAGACGACCATTTGATGAGTCTTCGTGTCTACAAAGTGCACGATCTGGTCCTCGGTAATGTCGCTGGGACGTTTCCATGTTTTGATATATTTAACTAAATCCCCTTCATGATGTTTGGCCACAAAAGGCAGACGACTAGTGGACAGGATATCACGGAGGAGTCTGGGCTTGTCTTCCCATATAAACACCTTCTGGGGCCGGGGCAGGGCGCCTTGGGGGTCCATCCTGCCCCTCGACACACGGCTATCTGTCCCCTCAGTAGCGTCTTTTCCCGTCACCATAAGCTTAAGTGATCTTCCATTGATTGATAAACATGTACGCAACCATGTATCAGCGTGTGTAGAAAATATACCGATCAACCTATATATGTATGTCAAGACTTATTTACATTCCGCATAGTTCATGTATTTATCCACGTTCCGGTTACTACACAAACACAAAACCAATATAGAAAACTGCCGAGATCTATCCGAATGGCTGATTAATATCGACCGATGCCAGGTAGGTTCTCAGACCGGACAGTTACCTGGCTGATTAGTTAATCACAGGTACTGTGATCTACCTGAGAGCTCTTCAAGTCGAATTCTTGACACGATTTTTTGAGATTTAAATTCTTTTGTCGTCTGTCCATTTGCTGTGGTCATTGATCCGTGAGTCCAGTCAGTAGCGGTTACGGGTGGCCATTACGTAGGTACATCTTCAGTCATGATCACTCGGGAAGCTAGCGGCGATTTGTAGCGATGCTTGTATGCATTTTCCCTAAAACACCTGTGTAAAATAATACCGGCAGTTCAGATAACTGCCTTTCCCATTTTCTGTTAAAAAAGTCGAGACCCAGACCTAGAAACCTATATATATATATATATATATATATATATATATATATATATATATATATATATATATATATATATATATATATATATATATATATATATATATATATATATATATATATATATATATATATATATATATATATATATATATATATATATATATATATATATTTTTTTTTTTTTTTTTTTTTAATTTACCTACAACTAACACATAGAGTTCAATCATCTCAAAGATTGTATTGATACCATAACAGACTTAGTTTTCAGGAACGGTTGTCGCCATATTTCCACTCAATCATATTTTTTACTTGATTGATGAAGCGATTTAAACATTTCATATCTAAGTTTAAACAAAAAAAAATTAAATAGCATTTTCATATGCATGCCTCATTTCTTCAGGAGGTTCCATCCATTCAAACTTTCTCAAATGTATACAGTATATCACAGGTACTTCTGGACAGAACCTTCTCTCGCAGTAATACCCCCAGGATTGTTGGAATGATAATTATCATTAGCAATTTTGCTTTAAAAATGGCACAAGTCAAATCCTATGGCACCTTGTAAATATTACACATTGTAAGTTATTTCTTTAAATCCCTCCTTGGATTTTTTTTTCTGAAAACTCAGTCTTTCAATTGTACAAAACACGTCACATTTGGACATTTTAAAAAGTTTTTATATTGTAAATTGTAGAGTAAAATTTAGCTGACTGTATTATTTCTTTTTAGTAGAAAGTATAGAAGAAATAGATACATGTATTATCCTTTTGCCGCCGTCTTGGCCGGAGTTCAAACTGGTGAATTTTCCTCAATGAGCAACCAATTTTAAATCTTGCCTATCTGTTTACATTTTGAATCATTGGAGCTATGGGTTTCATATTTCACACGTACATTTCTTGTGATAAAAACTTTCTTTGGGTACCAACATATTTTTGACCTCTTAACTTTAACCTTGGAGTTTGACCAACCTTTGCAAAATTTAACCAAATTTTAACCTCCACCATAACTTTTGAACGGTTAGAGCTAGGGCTTTCATAATTAACTTGTTAATTTTTGTGATAAGAACTTTCCTTGGGTATGAATATTTTTGACATTTTTAACTTGACCTTGGAGTTTGACCAAGTTCTGGAAAATGGTGAAAAACTCAATATTTGCCGTTGGTAACCTTTGATTACCATCGGTGTCCATTAGTAACCAAGTGGTACCATTATTCACCTTTGACAAGCGATACAGCAGTTGGTTGTTTTGTCATTAGCTTATACCAATATGCCTTTTGCAGTTTAAAGGCAACCAATTGTACCATTGTTTAACATTGGTCCCAAAGACAAGCCAATGGCAAATCGATATTTGTACGAATGGAAGAATTGTGAACGCACCCAATGAAATCCTAGGTATCCGGGTGCATTTGAAACATAAAGATGTAAATATGTGAAAAGGAGTTTAAGGTACATAAACCCTCTGCTCACTCAATAAAAATGTTGCTTGAACCTTAATGATTTTCCAAAAGAGATGTATTTTTAAAGTAAAATACAAACAATTATAACATAGCTTGCGGGGCAGAATTGGACAAAAAAAAAACACTTCAGCTTGGCAAATTTATAAAGGAATAATAGACGTTTATGTCATTAAGAGTTATCTCTCTTATGAGAGTATCAATGAACCTTAATATAGGATTAAATATTTCTCAGCTCTCTTACTGACTAACATCCGATATTCTACAAATCATATCTTCGGTCTCCGTGAATATTGTGCCTTTCAGGTGGCTAAAACATCGTATTGACATAAAAAGAATAGCAATATTGTACAATATTGCATAAATCCGTCTAATTTCACACGGAAGTCAATAAAAACAAACTCAACTTATTCTTTATTAACAACACCATTAACAAAATAATGAATGCAAATAAGCAAAGCGAAGGCATTTTCAGAACTTGATGTATATTTACAAGAAAAACGTAGCACTATATCACATCTAGAATCCAAGAGGCAGAGACAGAAGTTTATTCCACATACGAGAGCATCCATAAATGCAATCAGTCCGTATTAACTTCCTTATAAAATTAATTCTTGTATTGGGGGGGGTGGGGGAAGACACGTGAAACTGTTATCTGAGGTAAAAAAAAAAATGATATGGTAAATAAATTGAAGGCACAAATCAAGAGCACACAAGCTTGCAAATGTCTCTCTGGTAAAACAAGATCATTCTTCAAAATCACTCGATCACTTGGTCCGACATGATGCCCGGTTGGAAAGGAGTTAACTCCGTCCAAATATTAATCTCTCGTTGATTGACCTACTGTGGGAGGTTCCTTATATCAGAATATTTGGCCGAAACATCACCTACAGTTTTTACACAATTTTTTACAATTATTGTCCACATACTGGTCAATCCCACACCACTGAGTCCATTGTGGACATCGAGCGTCCACATCTACACACGCGGAAGGCTGCGATTGCGCAGGCGTCGAAGAGTTCGTTTGTACAACTACATTTGGGTTTTCAAAAAGTTTTAAATTAAGGTCTAAGAGGGGTTTTGTGGGATAGGGCTCTGTAGGAACAACATTTGGTGGCCGCGTGGATACGGAGTAGTACCAACTGACGTCACTAGACGCCTGTACTCGTTGGTACTGGCCTGGCTGAGTCCCGAGGTTACTTGCTAGGTTAATGTTGGCTTGACCAAAGTTTGCTCTCATTAGAGCATTTTTAAACACGTCTTCAGATTTAGGTTGCTGGTATTGAACGTTTTGGTTTGCTGGTGCCTTTGTAAATTGGTTTGGTTGCTGAACCTGCTGTTGGTATTGTATGTTGATACTTGGTTGTTGTTGATTAGGGGACAAGATAGCAGAGGAAGAACGGATTGGCACGTTTAAGTCGAGGGATTGGACCTGAATTTGCCGAGACTGACCCAAAAAGTTGTTCATTCCCTGCGGGTTTGGCTGTTGTGTCCGATGCTGTTGAAAAATTATTGGCGCCGGTGTGTTTTGCTGTATCATCTGTTGGTTAAAAATCATAGGGGATGGTGTCGTCTGCATATAAATCTGTTGGCGGGTAGCAAAGTTTGGTTGGTAATTGTTATGGTTGTAAACTTGATTTGTCTGCATATGATTGGTTTGATGAGTTTGGTGCAATTGGGAGTTTGTATTTTGATAATGGATATTCTGAGCTTGGTAGTGGTTATTATACATATTGTTGTTAGGGTAGTAATGGTTGATGCCATATGCTCCCTGATTAAAGAACTGCGGAGGATGAGTGGTCGGTGGGCGTGTCGGGGGTCGCGTGGGCGGCGGCTTTGTTGTTGTTGTTGTTGTTGTCGTGGTTGTTGTAGTGGTGGGCGTGGTTGTCCTTAGTTCTACTCCCTCTGGTAGTGGCTCCTGCACCTTAATGTATGGACTTATCTCCCCTGCTGGTTCCCGCGGTTTAATTGGTTGTTTTTTGAAACTCGCTGTTGCTGGAGTATGCCCACGAAACTCTAATCTTATTGTTTCTGTTGGTTTGGGAGTTGGAGGTTCTGTGAATTGTTGGTTTCCTTGAATTTGATTGTTTGTTTGTTGAAAACCTACAAGCATGTTGTTACCATGGCTACTCTGATGACCAAGCATGCCGCCATGCCACGACTGGATGGCAGACGTTGGTTGTACGTAATCATAGGACTGTTGCTGGTTGAAGCCCATGAGAGGTTGCACACTTTGTTGCCCTTGAAACTGTTGAAAACCTGACTGTTGATACATCTGAGGTTGTGGCTGTTGATACACCTGAGGTTGCGGTTGCTGATAGAGAGGCTGAGGTTGCTGAATTATTTGCGGTTCTTGTTGGAAGCCTGACTGAGGTTGCTGCATCATGTATTGGGTCTGTTGATTGTTGCTAGGTTCCTGCTGAAAATTTTGGTCCAGTTGTACATTTTGTACAACATTAGGTTGCTCCTGAATGATCGTTTGTTGGATGTAGTTGGATTTATCTTGGGTTATTTGATTTTGCTGGATCTGTTGTGAAGTCTCTTGGTACTGTTGTTGCTGGTTGGTGTCAGAGTTTCTGAAACAGGATATCAAAGCTATGAGTAACAATAGTCCAAATAAGATTTAAACAAGAGATGTTTGTATAACACAGGATTTTTTATCAAAAGGGCTCAAAAATGATTGTACCCAAAACAGAACTTGACCTAGATAGTCATCTGATAAATCTGTATACTAAAAAAAATGCAAAGAAAATTAACGAAAACTGCAAATTATTGGAATTTTTCTAAGTCCAAGGGGCATAACTCTGTCAAAAATGGTGCCTCCAAAAAGAGATCTTGAGTATACCAAATTTCATTTCAGTATGTGTAACAGTTGCAAAGAAAATGAGCGGAAACTGCAAATAATTGAAATTTTTCAAAGGGGCATAATTTATATACAAAACAGAAACCTAGATATTCATGTGATATATCTGTATACCATATTTATTTCAGTATGTGCAAGAAGAAAATGTCTGCATTGTATATACGACTGCAAAGCATTACCTAGCTGTATACACAATTTTTATGGTGTTAACATCCCTGAAATTCATTTTTCTTTAACTTCATATTAAATCTAATCACTATATATCCCAAAGCTTTCCTTTTTAAAGAGATGACCCAAATCTCTACTGCTCTGCACTTACAATAAGAAAACAAAAAGAAGCACCTGGCCTCCACTTTTAATGTTTATGGGAACACCAATAAGCAAGAATTATTGTCACTTGTGAACTTAATTTAATTTAGATAAAAAACATAGAAGATTTTGGTATCTTAGTTCAGAATACTTTTTTACCAAGTCTGATTAAAATCGGACAAAAAATGTAGAAGAAGAAGTTTACAGAAATTTCTAATATTCAAGACAAAAAGGTTCACTAAAATCAAATTGTATATATTGAAGAGACGAAGACAAAACTATGTAGAGAATAAATTTATTTATTTATTTAATATTTAATCTACTTGTGTATAAATTCTGACTGAAATCCGACCAAAACTGCAGGAGAAAAGCGTTTGAGAGAATTTCACAGATATTTTTTGCTCGTAGCATCTATAGCAACATCGTTTGTTGAAATCAAAAACCCAAAGTATCGTTGAATACTATTGTTTATTCTTTCGGTTTTTAACCAATAAAATTTTCTTCAAAACTTGTTTGTTGTTTATCTTAAGAAAAGTAAATTCTGACAAGCCGAAGAAAAAATCAGTAATATCCAGAAAATATTTTTTTCAAATCAAAAACGTGAGAAAATAACGCACCATTACTTATGTAGAGTGATGTTCCTTGATTGCCCTTTATTGTCCCCCGCTTTCGCGAAAGCGAGGGGACATTAAATCTCATTCGTCTGTCCGTCGTCTGTCCGTCGGTCCGTCAGTCACAAAAACTTTAACCTTGCCCATAACTTTTGATTTAGTGGAGCTATAATTTTCATATTTCATATGTGTATTCCTTGTGATAAGACCATTCTTTGGGTACCACCAAATTTGACCTTTTGACCTTGACCTTGGAGTTTCAACTACTTTTACTACAAAATTCCAAACTTTTACTTTGGCTATAACTTTTGAATGGTAGGTACTAGGACTTTCATATTTCACATATTTATTCTTTGTGACAAGACCTTTCAATGAATACCAACAACTTTGACCTTTTGACCTTGACCTTGGAAATGTATGTACTTATGAAAAAAATATATCCTTGACCATAATTTTTGAACGGTAAGGGCTACGGCTTTTATACTTCATATATTTTCTTCTTGTAAGAAGACCTTTCATTGGATACCAAGAACTTTGACCTTTTGACCTTGACTTTGGAGTTTTAACTACTTTTTAAAAATTATAACCTTGGTCACAACTTTTGAACGGTAGATACAAGGACTTTTATATTTCACACAGGTATTCTTTGAGGCAACACCTTTCATTGGATACCAACAACTTTGACCTTTTGACCTTGATTTTGGAGATTTACGTACTTCTGAAAAAACTTTAACCTTGACCATAACTTTTGAACGGTGAGGATGAAGGCTTTCGTACTTCACATATATAATCCTTGTGAGAAGACCAATAACTTTTGCCCTTTGACCTTGACCTTGAAGTTTTAATTACATTTTAAAAACTTTAACCTTGGTTACAACTTTTAAACAGTAGATACTAGGACTTTTATATTTCACATATGTATTCCTTGTGGCAAGACATTTCATTGGATACCAACAACCTTGACACTTTGACCTTGACCTTGGAGATTTATGTACTTATGAAAAAACTTTAACCTTGACCGTAACTTTTGAACGGTGAGGACTAGGGCTTTTGTACTTCACATATGTGATCCTTTTGAGAAGACCTTTCATTGGATACCAATAACTTTTACCCTTTGACCTTGACCTTGGAGTTTTAACTACTTTTTAAAAATACTTAAACTTTGGTCACAACTTTTGAACGGTAGATACTAGGACTTTTATATTTTACATATGTATTCTTTGTGGCAAGTCCTTTCATTGGATATCAACAACTTTGACCTTTTGACCTTGACCTTAAAGATTTATGTACTTATGAAAAAACTTTAACCTTGACCATAAATTTTATACAGTAAGGGCTAGGGCTTTCATACTTCACATATGTAATCCTTGTGAGAAAACTTTTCATTGGATATCAACAACTTTGACCCTTTGATCTTGACCTTGGAGTTGACCTACTTTTAAAAAACGTTTTACTTTGGCCATAACTTTTTAACGGTCAGGATTAGGGTTTTCATCCTTCAAAAAAATCAACTTCAGAGTTACTATCTAAATAAATGACATATGATAGGATGTTCATATTACACACAATATGTCATAAAAATAACATCTCACCCACAAAGACACCGAAAGCGGGGGACCACAATTCTTTGAATTTGCTTGTTATCAAGCAAATTTTAATATTCCAAGAACTTGAACAACACCATTACTCTAAATGGTATACTGTAAATGTAAACATATGTTACCATCTAGAAACTGAGGGTTTACCATAAGGGGATGTAATCCATGTCCTACTTGACAAATAACTTTGCTCTAAAGTTGTCTCTTGTTTTTCTCTCAGACAACTCTGCAATGAGCTAAACTCGAACAGTAATGAAAAGTGATATTCCTAAGATCAAATTAAGTTTAAAATTTTATGCCGGGTAAATATTTTAGTATAAAAGTATATTAACAATCGAATTAAAGCAAAGAACAATCTGATAAGGGGAAGTAATTCAGGTTACTGCTCTATACATATAAGTTTAAGTGTTGGTGTATGGGGATTGAGGTGAGAGAAGTTATTCAGAATTAAAGGCTTTCTAAACATTAAAAAGATTTTTAATCAGAATGTTCTTTCCCTTTATAAATTACAAGATACATAATATATTTACTTCCATAACGTGAATCAGTAAAAAAATATATGTTTTTCATATTTAATATATAAAGTTTCTTATCTTTTACTATAAAAAAAACGACAGGTCCCTTTATTTAGAACATCGAATTTTACTTATCGCATAAAAACGTACTGTACACAGTTCGTGTTTTATACATGTATTCTTAAAGTAAAATACATTTTTGAATTTCTTGATGCATGTGTCTGGTTTCAATTTATATTTAATACAGTCAACATTTATTTGATGATTGAGAAAGTTTAAATGGGTAATGTTTTTGTTCGATTTTCATCCGACAATAAGTTTTCAAAATATTCTCGACTATCGTTTTCATCACTTAGACGCATGCCTTTTTCACGCATATCGACGCGCTTTGATGATCAAGACTCGTATCCATTGTTAACTTTATTTATTTCCCAGGCGACAATTGATTTTCTCGTTTAAATTGTAACTCGCACACTACAGTTCGTTGAATTCAGTACTGGAAATAATGTAGGACAGCTTATTATTGGAGAGAATATTATATGGAAAGAAACGCAATGTTGCCCAAACAACCAACACCGTAATAGTCGTACATGAGAAAAGAATTAAAAGTCTCGCGAAATTTGCACGACTTTTTCACTGTTTGGAAAAGTGATATAAAAAGGAATATCAAAATAATGAACAGAGTAACTGAAATATGAGATATAAAGTGTTAAACCTTGACAGTGAATTTTATTGACAAAGCATGCTAGGTGTAAGTTGAATCAATTGTATTAAGATGTTGGGAAGATTTGTTAGATTTTTAGCAAAAAATCTTCACAGAAAGAAAATATGTAGTTGAAAACGTGCATAGACTTTCATATTCTGCAAATATATGTGATATCTAAAACAACACAAGAGCAATGCGGTTGTATTGCATGCAAACAAAAAAATCCGTCATATTAAAATTGTAATCATGCAAATGTACTCACTCTGTGCTCTATACGAAACCCCAGACCTTAAAAAACAATTATCTACATTATACAAACGTTTCCCTAGATGGCAAGTTTGGATTTATATTAAAACTACTACTTTAAATGGGATATTAATGGCATGCATATAAAAGATTAAACAAATTTTGACTATAACCTATGACGCAAAATTCCAATATTAACTGACCACATAAAACTACTGATTTTACAAAGGGAGATAACTACTTACCCAGCGGAGGCTGCGGAATAACTGGCGGAGGCGGGACGTAGCACGACTTACACGTCCGCCGACAGTTCTCAAAAACATAGGAATTATTATCACAGTAGACCTTCCAGTACGGACAGTAAACATCCTTGTCTACACAGTCAGGCGGGATCGTGGTTGGAGGAAGAGTAGCTAAAATCAAACATTTTTGCCATAACGTATCTATAACAAAACCGTTTTTTTAATTTCAATCAATTTATGGCTATAATAATTTTTTACAAAGGTTCATTATATATTATAAGACTACTTCAGATATATTTCAATACCAATATTTTTACACACCGTGTACCAAACAAATCATAACATTTATGGAATATATCAAATCCAAGTCTACATTTCTAGGATATACTCACGGGATGCGGGTAAAAAGGAAGGGGCAGAGGTAGAGGGCGCTTTTGTTCGTGACGTAAATACAGTGCGTGACCCGAAATCCGGGCTTTGGCCCTTCTGGGTTTGCTGAACGCTTGTTACAGACGCTTGTTGCTTTGTGGCTTGTGATTGAAGACTGTTGACCTCAGATCTTCCCCAGGATTGTCCGCCACCGGAAATAGTTTGTTTCTGATCGGAAGTAGAAGAGTGGGCCTGTAGGAGACTCAGAGATGTGTGTTGGCGCTCCTTGGATCGCAAGTTGCCATTGGACGCTAGCTGGCTCTCTAATGACCTAGCACCCCCAAAACGAAAGTTGTCAGAAGCGGACAAATCTAACTTGTTCTGGCCGGGCAGCGCAGTTTCTGTAACAAAAAATGCGCACGCATGCTAACATTAACCTATTCCAACTTATTATATTTTCTTATCCACAATGATTTTATATGGTCACCATATTTTCTTTCCTTCCTGATAATTAAGGTTTATAAAAACGATGAAACAAACCACTATGTTCTTAGACAAAAAATCAGCATGTGCCAGGGGTTTTGTAAAGAACAAATTGTGAAAATTTTTAACAGGGTTATTTTCAAAAATTAAATTATATATAAAAGTATTGCACACGGGTTCTTCGTTTAGTGGAACTCTTCAACTCCAGGGAAGAACCCAATAAAGTTCAAACTATATTCCCTATGACCTTAACAGGGTTATTTTATCTATATTGCGTGTTTTGAGAAATTGTTTAAAGGTATGTTATATAACGTTCTCACTGAAGGTAATTATTACTTATCTTTTTATTTATTTTGAATTCTTTCCTTTTTGGAAAAAACATCAGAAAGCAAAGGTTCAATTTACATTCAGTTGAAGACTTTCATAAAACACGGATCGAAATGTTAATATAAAAAACCCAGGCAAATCAGGAACGAGAGGTTACCTGGTACAGGGGAGACCAAAGTTTGTTAGGAGGACAGTTTACTATAAAAATTGACAGGGGTCTTAACTTTATTACCTCTCTGTACATTGAATAAAACAAGAGAATAATGACGGAGAAAGACCATATTTTCTCCATTAAAACGTCCCACCGGAACATCAGACATTTTCCACTTAACGTGCTAAAGCTTAGAGATATTAAAATGATTGTAAGAAGTGCCAGTTGCGCATTGTGATTAATGACAACAGGGAAAGGATTAAGGTTTCTCCATTAAACGTGCCACCGCAACATCAGACATTCTCCTAGCTAGGTAAGGAAGAAATCAGTGCTAGAGTGCGCAGTGTGCCTTGGTTGTGGAAATTAGTAAAAAGGAGAGGGAAACCTCTACCTGAGTGTGAGATCGAATAAAAGAGAGAACGCATTAATTTGGAAATTCAGGAAGGTCGGGAAAAGGTTGGATACCAGACAGACAGAATATGCCCATACGAATTACCTGGTCTTCGCGACTTAAAGTCAGTTAACTTAATAGATGGACGAGCGTTTTCTCTAGGAATTGCTTTAACCCTTCTGTCTTTTAATGCCTTTTCTGTAATCAAAAATTCCTTTAAAATCAGAACAATTCCCGAGAACAAAATCATTGTTGATCGTGTACACAAGTCATATACAACTTATATTACCTCTTTGTGACTGTGTTACTAAGGAAGAGTTCGGTTTGTAGTTGAATTTCAAGGTGCTTCCGCTACCTGCAAAAAATGTGCGTAGTAAAATTTCTGGTTAGAATTCTGATCCACCACCATGTTAACCCTACTGATGTAAATGTCGTCTGTTACCTATGGTGAAAGAGACCCTGTTTTTATTGGGTTTAAGTGGCCTCATGCTGGTGACGGTTTTCTGTAAGGACGATATTTGGGGCTGGGGATTCAAGACAAACAGCGGCGCACGAGTCGTAGTTGGTTGCCAAAGTCGCACAGAGGAAAACTGATTTCGAGGACGATGAAAGGAAAAGAAAGACGCCTCCTGGACGTCGGAGACGGGTTTCCGGCGAGAGTCTCTGTCGCCGACTGAAGAGATTTGTATGGGCCGCCTGACAAGTTCTGTTTTGTCGTCCGTCGGTCCGCTGCGCGTCCCAAGCATTGACGAAGACATCATCCCATTTCCTATGAGACAACAAATAATTTTCAAAATAAAAACACGTAACAGAGCATGCGCAACATAGAGAAAAAAGTTAGAGTAACAATACACCAATGTTAGAAACACCAACACAGTCTCTATATACATAAAAGCAGTTCACCACAAGTCCCTGCCAGAGAGTTGTAGTAATGCGTCAAAAAAAATCATTTCTTTTATGGATCGCCAAAACTCTTTATCTGCAGCATTCAAATAAACCGTTTTCTGTGTAGTATAAACACCGCATTTTTTTCAAATCTCTGAATAAGCTGTCTGCGATGAATCAAAGACATTAATGGTGTATCACATCTTTGAAGTCTGGGACGGATGCCAACACGATTGTCCGTTTGTCTGTCCCTTGTCCGACTCTGGCAGGAGTTATTTCCCCTGAGAACCTCGCAGAACAGTCACCAGCATTAGAATGCTACTCAAAGAACCAATATATTACACCCCTACTTTTATGAAGGAAAAGGAATATAAGGTAAAATGATGCTAAGGATGAAAACCATTAAAAGCAGACAAAGAAGAACATGCAAGCACCCGATACTTATGTTACAGATGAATATAACCAAGACCAAATACTAAGTAGTTTAAGCTGATTATGAAATCTTGAAATAACTTTCAAATTTCTTACAATAAGATTTTTAACATTTCAAACAAGAAAAGATTTATTTTGGTCTTGGTCTTAAGAATTTTTCCACAAAATATCCTCAATATTAAATGAATATGATGAAATTTAGTAGATCTAAAGAGATGCTTGAAAATCACGATATAAAGATGTAGAAAGAAACATCGATGCCATGAATTTTTGTCTCATGTCTTTGAAATTCATAAAACATAATTTGAAGAAAAGAGCATGCTGTAAACGTTTAAAATAGAGAAATTTCCTTACTAGTGTTGGTGCTTCCTTGGTCCACATCTGACCTGCGGTTGACATCTGTAGGGAGACCGTTGCTCCACGTCACGCTAGGTTTGGCGGTGGTCAGGCTCTTCCCCACCAACAGTGTCTGCTCTATCAACTTCTGCTGAGTGCGCAGCTGCTGTTCTAACGCCTTCTGTTTCTTTAAGGTTTCTTGCAGAAGAGCCTGTTGCTTCTCCAGTGCTGTTCTGTGCTGGAGTTCGAGTTGCGTCAGTTCCGTGTTTGAGGATTGTGAACCAATCTGTATGCTCGGCAACGTCGGGGGAGGTGTTGTTTTGACTGGTTGCGGTGTGGTTGGTGCATATTTGTCTAACAATATAAAGCATTACATCAAGTATGTTTTTCTTTGAAAGAATATTTGTGTCTGTTTAATTAAGGTTGTACTGTACCTGCACATAACTTGTCGGAACAAACTTCCTTGGCTTCGCACTTCTCACAGGCACCGCCTCTCGAGTAGGGAAGATCCCCAAATGTGTTTCCTCTATAAAAAGTGATAAAGAATGTGTAATAAAGTATAATTATAATTAACCGTACAAAAATAAGGATCTCGGCGTAAAAAATGCATCTTACTTTGGATCATACAGACAGTAGAGGAACCACGCTCCTGGGATGAATTCTTCTGGCATTGTAAGCTCCGTGCATTTCTGGACAGCGCATCCGACACGTTGGGTTTTTGCCCAAACAAGCTGAGACATATACACAATTCATTGTTAAAGAAAATCATTTCTGTATATCAAAGAATATTGTCAACATAATTATTCCAAAGCTAGAAAAATACTGTCCAAAACCTTTTAATTTACAAAAGCAAATTCAATGGCTGAAGGTCGTAACAGATTTTCATACAGTATCTCAAATGAGTGGACTTTACAGGCTTCTATTTTTAGATTTTTTGAAAAGTCATGTGATACCTGTGTGTAGCTACAAGCCTCCGCGCAATCACCGGACATGCGCCATGAGTACCGTTCACTGTACCACGCATCTATGGCGCGTTCGACTAGCACATTGTCCGGAAGTCGGGACTCAAAGTAATACATGTTCTCCCCGTAGCTGCCGTACCGGAACTCGTATATACAGTTTTTGGTCCACGAGGCGGCTTCTGAGGCCAGATTGGCGTCCCATACCTGTAAAAAACGCAATCCTAGTTATTGAAGAGGTGAAAATGAAACAATTTGAGACGTCGTAAGTAGGAAAGTATCAGTTACTGAAATTAGCTTTAATATTGCTTGGACAAGGTTGTGACGGTATTGCAAAAATAAGGCTGTGACTACATGTATATTGCTTAGATAAAGTTGAGACTGTAGTGCTTGGATTGTGAGACGGTATTGTATAGTTGAAGATTTCACTTGAGAAAATTTTCAATTAAGGTTGTTATGGTATTTTGTTTGGATTTCCAATCTTAAAAAAATGACAAAACGAACAGCAAAATAGATTGCTATGGTGTTTTTTTGATATAAAAGTCTCTTTAATTTCATTAAAATATATACTGTTTCAATTTGTAATTACAGCAAAGTTCTGGTAGAAGTTTCGAAGATAAGGTTGTCTAATGTAGAAATACAAAATTCAAAAGATATAACATTATGTTGTTTTCGATATAGTAGTTACAAAATTATAAAATGGAACACAAGGTTGTTGTTAAGGATACACTAATGTATTTACTTTTTTGTTTTTTTTTTGTTATTTTGGAATAATTAGGAAGGTTATTAGGGAAAAAGTAACAGTATTTTTGTGATAACCATTGCATCGCGACCTTCAGATTACCCTGGTTTAAATCAGAATATATAGTTGTAATTGTGAATATGTGCTGACATCATTGTTTTGCTATTTTTTTTGATAAGGTTGTAATGGTAGGTGGATGATCATGATATTTTAGAATGAAAAGTAAGGATAGTTTTTATTGCAGTATTTATGCTCAGATCAAACATTTAGGTAGCCAGCTGTAATGATGGAGTGATTATATCATTAAGATCGGTATTGCATGGTACTGCATTGCAGGTTTTCTTGCGGTTTCAAGTTTCCACTAGTCGTGATCTAGTTTTCTTTGAGACGGAAATACCACCGGGGCCGGATTTCGGCCTACAAACCATTATAAACCAGTACAAACCAGTATTACTGAGTATTATGTTTTATTGTTATCTGGTTGACCGACCATAAAAATGGCTGCATATTTGTGCTGGCTTTAACGAACGGCTGTTGAGATTCGCTGTCCCTCTGAGGAACAGAGCACCAAACGGAGTCGTCACACGGACAGCTAGAAATCAGGAATCAAGACAAGCAGACATAATACAAACACCGGACTGACATCTTCACGGCTTTCCTTTCTCTCTGTCACAGTCAAAGCCTACTTGAAAGCACGTGTTTTTTACCAAGTCTCTTCCTTTCCTTTCAGAACAACAGTGTGCATACTTAGGTTCATTATTCAATTGATTGGTTATTTAATGTCACAGTCTGACATTGCTTGCAAATTTATTGAAATCAGGATCAAGAAATAGACGCGCCTATAAACCTACACTACATAGATTTTTATGTCTTCTGCTAGTCAAATCGTGCTCGCTGTCTGTCAGATTAGATGCTATAGTATCCGATAAACTTCAGTGAGATGAAAAGGTGAATATACATGTAATTTCTTTTTCACACTTTTATATTTTGCAGAATATCATATGTCCATTGAGAAGTTAGTAGAACTATAGAATGAATATTTGGAGATAACGAACAGTATTTAAGGTCAAAAGTTCATAAAACAATACAAAACAGGAGCAGAGCAAACGCGGACATCCAAAACATCAGAGGAGGGATCAGGTGCCGTGGAGGGATGATCATCCCCTGTCTACCGGCCACACCCGCCGTGTGTCCTTGTCATCATCGGAAAATAACCGGAAAATCCGCCGTCAATTCAGTGTATAAGAAAAGAAAAACAAACACCAACGGAGATTTAGACGATTGCTTTCAATGCGTGATAACATTCATAGAGTACATACTTCGTGTTTGTGATTTACATCTATAGATACGAGTAATAACATGTCAATTTCCTCGTAAGTCACCCGAAAAGGGAGATTCCATGCTCCCAGGTAGTCATTGACCTAAAATATACTTATCTAGTGTACGGAGTAATGAATCACCTCTGTCATATATATATATATGTTGTAAATTAATTTGTACTCAATTTGACGCAACATAATCATGAACACTATGGGTAATGAAGGCACTGAAATATCATCTTTGGTGTACCCCTCACTTCAACTTTAAAGAAATATTTAAAGGAAAGTATTAATACACAAGAAGGCCATAAAGATTGTTAATTTTTCACTTTGAAAGACATTAGATATATATGCACATCATAATTTCCAAGTCAAAATAGGTTTTTTTCTGTTGTTGAAACTGTGTTTTTGTGCCTTCTCAAAGAATTAGGTGTGTGTTACTGTATCAAAGTTAATACCTACCACGAATTTCTTATTAAGAACTCGCTGTAAATTTTACCTTGCTTTTTTGCTTACTAGTGTACATGTATCGGTATCTTTATGATTTTGTTCCACTTAAGAAAGTGTAAAATACTGAAAAAAGGTAACAATGCCAATGAGTATAAAACAGTGTTGCATTTTATTAATGTACGTGAACTCTATACAGAAGTAAATGCATACAATGAAGAAATTATTTCAAAAATTGGTCGTTTGTAAACTCAGATTTGTAAATCAAGTCATGTATTTTTATAGCATTGTTTTACATATGTACACATGTAGCACCAATATAGTAAAAGCATCTATTTTTTCATGTCGACTATCAGCGTATATATATTGATGTCTACCGTAAAAAAAAAACAATAAGATAAATGACCCAGTCGTTCCCTATATATATATACATGTATAATTATATCATTTATCATAAGTACGCATGTTAAAGGTATGGAGCAAACGGCTGATAAAGTAGATTTACTATAAGTAATGATTCAAAGTGACCATGGTTAGCCAGAAAAACCACTTATGTGACTGACTCTCTTAATATCATAAACACATGCACCATCCCAGATCATTAACAATCCTCAGACAGGACTAAGAATAACAGCTGATTGGTTCTGTTAGAGCAAAGGAATACATGATTAGCATGCAGTTGGATATTATTTACATCTAACAGCCTTTGATAATTTGTTGATACTTTTTGTTTTCACAATATAAAATGTACACAATGTAAATTGTTCAATCTATACGTTAAAAATTTTCTATCTGTTTATTATATTTAATACTCGTGTAGAATATATTCCAGTATTTATCTGTAAGAATTCGCTTTCTACGTAAAAGAAACCGTACTTATGATATTTACTCTGAAAGAAAGGTCTAGAAAATACTTTCAGTACTTTGATTTTAATGACCAATAAGCATAAAACTTTAATCTTGCCTATAACTTTTGACTGGGTGGAACTATTGCTTTATTATTTCACAGGTGTATTTCTGGTGACAAGACTTTTCCTTGGGTACCACCAGATATGACATCTTGACCTTGGAGTTTGACCAACTTTTACCAAAAAATACCGAACTTTAACCTTGGCCATAACTTTTTAACAGTTAGAGCTAGTACTTTTATACTTCACATGTGTATTTATTGTGACCAGATCTTTTAATTGGTTGAAATATGTTTGACCTCGACACCCGAGAGTTTGAACCATTTTGTAAAAAACTTTAACCGTGGCCATAACACTTGAACAGTTAGTACTAGGACTTTTATATTTAACAGGTGTATTCTTTGTGACAAGACCTTCCTCTTGATACCAACAATTTTGACCTTTTGACCTTGACATTGGAGTCAGACTTTGCATATGATAAACTTCTGTCATAAACTGCAATACGGGAGCATCAGCTTTTTTACAAGCACTTCTTGTTTTCAGTAGCCTTTGCAACACCATTCAATATATGTTTACTTTTGGTCACGTCTTACACATTGGATTATAATTAGGAAGAGTGGCAATTCCTAAAAAAAATATTGTTTTGCAAACGTTAAAAAACAGGTAAACAGACAGACGAACGAACTCCGCACTATCACTGTGTGTGTGGAGTTAGGTGATTAGAAGGCATGATGCATTGATATGTCAAACATTTAAAGCAATATGAGCTGTATCTTTGAGAATTTTATTTTTCTGGTAAAATGTGCTATTATGATTAATTTGTATGTAATTTGAACCCTTATAACCAATAAGCCCAAAATAAAGTTTTAAAATGTTTCAAAAGAAATATTTCTGTACAAACGAATACACAGTTTTATATAAGAAATCATTATTGTACAGGACGACAATACTAGTTATTCAATTTTGCTTCAATCAAAGCTAACAAAAATATTTCCATCGCAAATATGAGCAACAGAAGTTTATAAATGATTTATTTGTCTGTCATTCAATTAGTTAATTAAAAATTTGCAATAAAATTTTCTGATGTCAAACATGCAACTCATATTGCTTTGATTTTTTTTTTAAATAAGTACATTGAAGGATATTTTTAATTTAAGACCAAATTTAAATGAATATTCCTACACTAGATTCATACAAAAATAAATGTTTATATATAAATATGAAATAAACATGAACGTATATAATCTCGGATTACATTATTTCACGGAGTCAGTGATCAAATATTAGTCTGTCTGACTATAATGTATGAGACTGTTATAAATATCAAATGTTTCATATCTTAATATTTTTGTGGCGTCATCTTTATTCCCCCATTGACCAATAAATCGCTTTATCATACATCTTTGTGTCTAAACCGTTACCTGTAGCTGTCCGGTGATTTATTTGATGTAGATATACAGGTAAATGAACAAATGATTCCGAAACATTCTTAGAAATTCCGACTGTTACTACAAAAGTGATGAACAGGTAACTCTATACTGGTGCTCAGCGTCCGTAACATATACATGTAATGGATGGAGATAACGAATAGTATTCAAGATTGAAAGTCCATTTAACTGTACAAAAATGAAGCAGAGCAAACACAGACCTAGGAAACGTTAGAGCTGGGGTGCACATGTACTTATTTATCCGTTTGAATATTTCATGACACAGTTTTAGATTTTAACATTCTTTCCTATTGCAAATAATATTATTTAAAAATTGGTAAGGTTCCTTTTTCCTACATTGATTTTTTCGGAAAGATGTGCCTTGTCTGGTGACAACTGAGGTATTCTTAATATCCTATTTAATTTTTACTCAGCAGAATACAATGTATAGGAGTGTGGCCAAAAATTGCAATCCACAAAATTTGAAGTCAGCGTTCTATGTCTTTCTGTCGATGCTTTCATCTAAGGACTCTCCTTAATAGATTCCGATTTTACGTATAAATAAAAATTTCAAAAATTTCAAAGCTTTTTTTTTTTTTTTTTTTTGCTTAAGGTCATACGCAACGTAGTTTGAACATTATTGGGTTCTTCCCTTGAGTTGAAGAGTTCCACTGAATGAAGGACCTGTGTGCAATACTTTAAATTTCTATACATGGATTCATACACCTCTTCTAAAACAAATTTGATGGGGAAAAAATCTGGAATTTATGTTTTGTAATTTTTGTGTATTTTTCTTTGAATAATGCAACATTTTCATAATTTGATATCTTCCAAAAAACCCTGGTAATACATGCTGAATTTTTGTCTATGAACATTTGATGGCACTTTAATCTTAAATTAAGAATTAATATCTTGAAAAGTTATCAGTAGGTAAGGTACGTTGCATATGTCCTTGAGAAAAAAAAACTCTCGTGATTTTGACCTATGATCTAGATCTACACTGTGTGAATACGTTAATTTCACAATGTAGAAAGAACAAGGTAGGTTAAGATCCAATTTTAGCCTCTGATTTGGGGTGTTTCTCTTAAACAATGCCTCGTACTAATGAACATGTATCCACCTTGAAACAAAAAAAATATACGAGTATTCACGCTAAGTTATAACATACACAGTGGTCACAGGAAGGTTACACAAGGTTGGCCGTTTCCCTAAATGTCTCTCTTATATTGAAATTCTCATCACTTTAACAGCACATTTTGATCCATCAAGTTAAATCACAAGGTCGAATATCTCCAAATTTATACTTTCCACGCACCAGTATGAGATACACATTCAAGATTGTGTTTTAAATCCCCGATTGGTAAACTTATATATACTCTAATTTTTCAGAAATCAAAAGTGTCTCGGATTTGACGAAATTCCTTTAGAACTGATGAAATTCGGTAAATTGTTCAACTTTCTTCGCCTTCGTGTACGGTTTAAAATAAATTCATTGCTAGTATAAAGCAAGCATCATTTAGATTTCTTAATTGCAAGTCCTCACAATTATAACTGTGTTTTATTTTCGTTTCAAATAAGGGACGAAATCGGCTTTATCATGCCTTGTCATTTAAGCGCATCACAGAAATAGTTGTTATTTTTATTGAAAAATGCGGATTCTGATTGCAACATTTGCATCAATTTCATGGCTAGTCATTTATATTATTACAGAATTTAAAAAAAGAATCACATGATTTGATTTTAATGAATAACATATGAAGAGATTAAAAAGTAAATAAATGAAAAGTACAGATAGTAGTGAATTACGGCTCCCAATATGATCAAACTGGAGCAAATCTCAGAACATTCCCTGATCTAGGGCATATTTTTCTTCTAAAATTCCCAACCAGACTCTTATTAGCCGGGCTTATTGCTCAAAGAGCAATTGCCGGCTTATGTGATCCCGTTCAAGGCAGGAAGTCAACCCCATAGTCGCCATTTTAAAGTTACGTGCAAAAATATACTAGTAGTTCTTACTCTCAACCGCTTTTGAGATAATACAAACGTTATATAAAGCAACAAAAATAAAACGAAGTTTTATCTATATAAATAAACATTAGTAATAATGACTTTGAAAACTTTAGTCCTAAGTCAAAGAACATACCCAGTAGTTCAAGGATTTTTTTTAAATCAGTGTTATCGTAGTTCTCTACACATACGAGGTAAAGCAGGAGAGGGAACCAGACTGGCCTGTTTGTTTACATTCAGCTGCGGTACCAGATTAATTCTGATTCTGACAAAATCGGACCTTGGTATTAGGATTGAAAAACTCACTGTCAGTGTCTTATCATTTATATTGATAGTTTTAAAATAATTTTTTCATCAGAATATAAACATGATTCATGTAAGAAATTCATTCTACTCTGTAAATGAGCCCGGCTCTCTGTACTTCTGAGTATTTTGATATAAATTTCTGTGGTGGCGGATGTATGGAAGAGTTATAGCGGGTAAAGCTCGTTTGAAAAATAATTTTTAAGGTATTTCCACCCTCCTGTGGTTTTCGCAGAATCTGTTAAAAATTTAAATCCATACCAAATAGTAACACATGTATGTCTTTTTTGGAAAAGTTCAATCGGTGAAATAAGAATCATTGTTTATTAAAAGAAAATAAAAATAAAAATTTTCTTTATTTTATTAATAATTCAATCTTTAAAAAAATGCTAAGGGCAATAACTCCTCGTGTATCTTTATTCAGTATTTTTCTTCATCGTGCTTAAAATGTAGAATGCTTGGCCTGTTATTCACAATTCAAACATATTTGTACAAACAATTAATTAAAAACTTTCAGCATTTAGAATTATGTATTCTGAACCAGTTTAAATAAATTTTATCATCCCTTTCTAAGATTTAAATGATTTTTTAATGTTGGGAACTATATATACTTATTTTCGTTCGTGCCTTACATCTTAAAAAATATGGCAACCTATACGTTTCAAGCGATAATTAGTAAATAGTTAATTTTAACTATTGTCATTGAACATAATTGCAATTTTTCTACTTTGAACCAATAAGATTGCGAGGATGGGAATATCTTAAACCAAATAAAAGTAACTTTTTGTACATTGACATGATTTAAAGGCTTAAAGCAGCATTTAGAAGGCCATACCTATATATTCTTATGTTTATATCATCAATTCTAATACATCATTGACATGGCATTAACCTTAAAATGAGGTCAATATTTCATTTACTTCTATTTTGCTTCCTTTTACAATCTTAACGATTTTATCAAGGGCTTTCCGAGTTATAGAACATGCTTTAGTTTCTAATTCATAATTCTAAACGTCAGAACAATATTTCATTATGTTTCTTTTTATCCTTTATGTAATTTTATGACTGGGGGTCTTTATGACGTCACATATTTTGTCCGCAGTCTGCATTTCTGAGGACACGAAAACTGGTAACACTTTACGCCTGGGTGGTTTTAGAACAGTTCCGCATGGATAGTTTTTAGAATTTTCTCAACAGTAAATGTATTTTGGTCGTGACAGGGAACCATCAGTTGAGACGTAAATACTGTCAATTTCTCGCTGTTTCTCCGCCAGTGATTTATGGTTCTCAGATGACCAGGCCAATGGTCTTTCCTATCACAGAGCTTGGTTACAATCAAGTATTGCACATTTATTCATAAAGGAAATACATTTTTTGTGCCCCAAAAATCCAATAAAGAAAGTATGCATGTTAATGATAATGGCGCAGGGGTCCTTTGGGTATGATATAGCTAATGAACTTTTTCAAGAGTACGAGATTTTTTTGCTTAATATTTTGGTCCATTACACGACAGAAGTAAAAAATGGTACGTATGCTAAAATTTACAACTGATTTATGCACTTAAATGTGAAATATTGACACATATTAGTCTTTTAAAATATATTGTTCAATTGTCAAGAATTTAAATGAGAGAGAAAGAGATCTACAGAGTTATGATAATTTCATTTGAAAAGATTTGCTTTCCATATACTAATATTTACTGAACAGGTAATGCATTTTACCTTTATTTATTTTAGTAGATAAATTCTTAATCGTATTGAATTATTGTTAATCAACTTTATTTATTTATGCGTTTTTTTCTTCAATTTTTAGTTGTTTTTTTTTCAAGTTAATTTATCATAAGTCGACGACGTTGCGCGAGTCTTCAGAAAGCGTGAGAAGTAACACGCATTGTTTGTCGTTAGTGATGGACAAAAGAATAGCTTACATTTATTGTGATGTTAATTTGTTCGCTCTATATGCGAAAACATATGTTTTATGGGCAAATAAAGAAAACGTTATGAATTGTGCATTTGTATTTGTAACACCTGTGATGACCAGCAATAGTATTTCATTATCGTTTGTATCTTAACTTGTATTTTAATATGAGGCAAATTTTTTTAAATTGCTGCTTCGCATTTCTTTTAATTATTACATATATTTTTTGGTTTCCCAATTTTCTCTTAGTGAAACTGCTATCAAGCTAGTCTGATCCCCGGGTTCTAAAATCAGTTTTACAAAAATGTCTATGAATTCACGAAGTAATACGTGCATTTACCCATGGTTTTTCTTCAAAGTTCATCATTAAAGTAAATCACATTAAACAAGGAAAATTATCAAATCTTAAATATATTTCTGCAAAACGTATTGAGCTTATTGCATTGGTATCTAAGGATAGAGGAATTTTTTTCTTCCAAAATTGCATTTATTATTTTTTAAATTATTTTTATGGGATATAAAGTTAACTTTTTACACCGCCGTTTCTGAGACTTCGAAAAACTTTAATCTCATTTTTAGACCTTTTAATTTAAAAGAAATAATATAAAATGTTATCGTTCCTGGCTGAGTAGCCGATATTCTTAAGAATTCATATGTGAGTAGACGACAAATAAATTATATTTTTTTCAGTTGTCTACTGTAAATAGTAATCAAGATAGGATGGAAGAAAAATCACGAAAATTGGAGTGAGACAAGGAGATCCACTCTCGGAATGATTACTTAATAGAAATACAGTATAACTCGCAGCTCACGCAGATTATCATTTTGACATTACCCTTATTTTGAATTTATACATATGAAAATAACCTATTAAATCTTTATTTTCTCCTACTGAATTCAATCTTGAATAAAAATGAGCTTTTCTACACATCCACGGCATTCACTTTGTGTCTCTTACCAGTTTCTTCATGTTAGAAGCCATCTGAAGCCGCCTATATCCATTGTGAAGTTTAAGCACCGTGTCCTGGAGCGCAGAATCTTTAATTTGGCAGTTGACATTTTGTAGAATCAGAGATAATCCTGCAATTGAGAGGATGAGAAACATGTTGGCGCTCACAGAGCCGGCGATGGGACTGAGGCTCTGGCATAGAGTCACGCTTCATTGGGCGCGATATACATGTCATGATCTACTGTGGACAAAGTCCGTCATCCAATTGTCAGCCGAAATATGAATGTTCTGACGTCACCAACAGTACACAAATCCAATTGTTCTGAAACAACAGACTTTATCATTTTTCCTAAAATGCATGTTATTCAGTGCGAGTTGTTTAATGTGTCTGTCCCCTTAAAAAGGATTCATCTTAAACTGTGTAAAGGAAATACAGTCATGCTTAATCATTGCAAATCTAGAAATTGCATGTTAAAGGGCAAATTACTTTTTGATCTATGTAGATACTTTTTTTCTTATTACTAGTCGTCAGTGACAATGAATATGAATGACAATTTGAGCCTTGTAATCACTGATCATTTTACTCGACCAAAATAAATGAGAGTTCTTCATTTTTGTATATAATCTTACATGATGTCATCTTTCTAACTTTTCCTTGATAACCTTTCTTCTTATTTATAAAAAAGCAAAGGTTATAATGCCCATGTCAGAAAGCTTTTAGCTTCCCTTCATAAACCGTCAGAAGATTAAGGCGACATGTGCATGGATAAATATAAGGGAGGCAACTGAGAATATGTCATTTATGCTGCTGTCTAGTCTGCCTGAAGGTTGTAGATGTAGGGGGTGTACGTCTCCGTAACAGAAGAGCTACTCTCCACAGTCGAGTATAATTAATTTGAAGTGGAAGGCAATGCTTTATGGTTCTTAAGGTCCTCGGAAATGGTACGAAAACTCTTGTACTGAGTACGCTGGATCAACGAGTTCATATGTCGACAATAACTTATGCACTTAAGTAAAACACACACACACACACCGTAATCGAAGATTCGGGGGTATATAAATTTAGCTTTTGCCCTGTCCGTCCGTTTGTTTGTCTGCCTGTTTGTCTGCAAAAACTTTAACCTTGCTCATAACTTTTTACTGGGTGGGGCTATGGCTTTCATACTTCACAGGTGTATTCCTTGTAACGAACGTTCTTTTTGATACCACCAAATTTGACCTCGTGAAATTGACCTTTGAGTTTTCCCCCTTTTAACAAAGGTTTCCGAACTTAAACCGTAGCATAACTTTTGAATAGGTGGTGTTATGGCTTTCATGCATGGATAAATATAAGGGAGGCAACTGAGAATTTGTCATTTATGCTGCTGTCTAGTCTGCCTGAAGGTTGTAGATGTAGGGGGTGTACGTCTCCGTAACAGAAGAGCTACTCTCCACAGTCGAGTATAATTAATTTGAAGTGGAAGGCAATGCTTTATGGTTCTTAAGGTCCTCGGAAATGGTACGAAAACTCTTGTACTGAGTACGCTGGATCAACGAGTTCATATGTCGACAATAACTTATGCACTTAAGTAAAACACACACACACACACCGTAATCGAAGATTCGGGGGTATATAAATTTAGCTTTTGCCCTGTCCGTCCGTTTGTTTGTCTGTCTGTTTGTCTGCAAAAACTTTAACCTTGCTCATAACTTTTTACTGGGTGGGGCTATGGCTTTCATACTTCACAGGTGTATTCCTTGTAACGAACGTTCTTTTTGATACCACCAAATTTGACCTCGTGAAATTGACCTTTGAGTTTTCCCCCTTTTAACAAAGGTTTCCGAACTTAAACCGTAGCATAACTTTTGAATAGGTGGTGTTATGGCTTTCATATTTTACATGTGTATTCATTGTGACAAGACCTTTCATACGGGTTTAAGTATTTTTGACCTTGACCTCAGAGTTTGATCCACGTAAAAAAAACTTTAACCTTGACCATAAATTTTGATCCGTTTGTACTAGGGTTTTCATATTTCACTAGTGCATTTCTTGTGAGAAGACCTTTATTTGTGTACCAAAAATTTTGACCTTTTGATCTTCGAGTGTAACTTGCATTTGAGAAATTTCAACCCTCGTCATAAGCTGTCATACGGGGGCATCAGTGTTTTACAAACACTTCTTGTTTTTTCTTGTAATCACCATAAGATATCATTTTGTAAAATAATGTCTATTTGAATTTACATTACATTTATCTTTCTCCCAACATAATTTGTAACAGCTAGAGAACAGAGAAATCAATTCCACGTGATACATGTATAGTTTGAGAGTGAAATCACTCGTACGCATAATATTCTTGTTTCTTCTGGTATCTTATTACCAATTTCTTACCTATTATAATGACAGTCAGTTGCGTAACTTATGTCATTCAATCTGTAGTACGATAGTATTCTTTGAACAGTGCAACACTGCACCGGAAATTAGCTCGCAGTTGCTGCCGTGATTGGTGCTCCGTCGATTCTGTCTCAGTATTAATGAGACGACTTCTGTTGAGTGATATCAAATGTCGAACAATTCAATATCAATTTTTTTTCTACTGGGTTTTAGTAATAGAAAAATTAAAATAAAGACAGGTCTTCAAGTTTTTAGTTTAAAGTTGAACACCTAGCCTTTAGAAGAAAACCAATAATGGTTGCAATTTGCCGCCATCTTATTCCCTAGTTTTGACCGGAAGTTTCTGCGATTGTTTTAACGCTATCATTTCTTGAATGGCTAATAAATTTCTTGATGGTAGTGTCCTATCCCAGCAATAACATGGTCATACTTTTTTAAAATATCAAATTCTGAAATTTCAATAATTGCCTGAAATCATGCTATTTTGGTGGGTATGGAACATTTTTATGTTCCTGTATTTCAGGACATATAATTTTGATCTGTCCATCTGTCTGATTGTCCACTAAAATGCTAACCTTAGTCATGACTTTCGAACGGTTTGTGCTAGGGCTTTTGCACGTGTATTCTTTGTATCCTAGTCTCACTAAGTATAAAAAAAAATTGATCTCATGAACTGAATCTTGGAAACTGATCTTCTTCTGTAAAACTAATTTGCAAAAACCGTTAACGTTGACCTTAGTTAGTAATTGAAAATAAACGTAAAATGTAAACATATATTTAAATTCTTAGCCAAAAAATGTTCATTTAATATCAAATAATATATCAATTAAAAGATAGCTTCGTTGTACATATATTCGGGGATGTTTAAGCATCAGTATTCAGTGTCGGATTTAAGGGGGGGCGCACCCGGCCCCCCCCCCCCCACCCCTAAAATTGTCAAAGTTAACGTAAATCACAGTTTCGTCTAGAAAATGTAAATACGTCTACTTGGTAGACCTCATTTTTACCCTACAAAATCTCTAGAACCCAGGAGCCCTTGCCTACTTTTGGCACCCCCTCTTACTTCAATTCCTGGATCCGCGCCTGGTATTCGATATGTTTGTCAGGAAATTATTTTTCATTACAAAAATCTGTTTAAAAGTCAACAAAACATAAAATAAAATGTTTGAATTACAACCAATCTAGGTTATTTTATATATATAAAGAAATTATTAATTCAATTTTAATTTCAGGAGAAAAATCTCGAAATAAATAGAATCTATTTGCTATCTTATACACCAGTGTCGATCGTGTTAAGAAATCAATACCGTGACAATTGTGGCCTTGGAACTTGTCATTGTGCATCTGGTAACTGTGAAATTGCTTGTGGTCACAAAAAGAGAGCAGTATAGGTCCACTATTCTCAAACCCTCAATACTGCTCTGCTTTTAATCGAGCTGACTCAAGTGAAGAAATCTTATTGTTCATATTATGGAGGAGAGGATTGTAACATTATGATAATCTTAATTGAAATAAAAATTATACATTCATCAATATATTTAAAGGTTAAAATTAAGACGATGGGGGAATGCCGAACTATTTATGCATTTTTTTATTTTTTAAGTGTGACTTGAATTACACATAATGTTTTTTTTTTTTATTTCGAAATTATTTTTATTTTGAGGAATAATGTATATGACCTTGTGATGGGGACTGAAATAGCCACACGTCTTCTATCCCGAGTCCTCTTGGCAGCCCTGTTAACTACCGTCTATTATTGAAGCCTGTCTAAGGTAGGTCAAAGATTCGTGGGCGGACCGAAGGTCGTACTTGATGTCTTACAAACTATAGACTACAGATATGTTTAAAATCGAAATCTGAAGTTCACTTTAAGGCTATTGGACAAGTTTTGTCGCTTCAACTTTCAGGGATTTCGTGAAATATCTGGAAATACCAAGTACCTGGGTTCAGGTTCAAGTCTTCAAAAACTACCAAATCATGCACACCAAAGATTATGATGCAAAATTCGGAATATCAAAAAGCCATTACATCGTCAAGCCATACAAGTTATAGCAAAGCAATGCAATTTATTATTTTAAAAAAAATATCAGTATTTAAAAACAAGAGGCCCAGGGGCCACATCGCTCACCTGAGCAATTTGCTAGGAGAAAGCACATTTCAGTTCAGAACTGAAAGTTTACTGAGTTTGTGGGGGGGGGGGCGCTTGAATTTTAACCCCCAGGGGGTCATAGTTTGAATAAACTAGAATCTACACTACCTGAGGATGATTCCATATAAATATCACTAAGCATGAATTTGAAGTACTTGAGAAGAGGATTTTAAAAGGCTTCCCTATATATTCCTATGTAAAACTTTGATCGGCCATTTTGGCCCCACCCTACCCCCGGGGTCATGATTTGAACAAACTTAAATCTACACTACCTGAGGATAATTTCACATGAGTTTCATCTTTCCTGTCTCAATGGTTCTTGAGAAGAAGATTTTTATAGATTTTTCCTATATATTCCTATGTAAAACTTTGATCGGCCATTTTGGCCCCGCCTTACCCCCGGGGGTCATGATTTGAACAAACTTGAATCTACACTACCTGAGGATGATTCCACATGAGTTTCATCTTTCCTGGCCCAGTGGTTCTTGAGAAGAAGATTTTTAAAGAATTTTCCTACATATTCCTATGTAAAACTTTGATCGGCCATTTTGGCCCCGCCCTACCCCAGGGGGTCATGATTTGAACAAACTTGAATCTACACTACCTGAGGATGATTCCACATGAGTTTCATCTTTCCTGGCCCAGTGGTTCTGGAGAAGAAGATTTTTAAAGAATTTTCCTATACA